GAGATGAGCCGCGATATTGCCAGAACCAAGTATGACAATATGGTGCGCACCATGGAGGTAACCGACGAGCGCCGAATCTCCTACACTCTGTACATGGCCAAGATGTACGAGGATCAGAAAGATTTGGCTCATGCCCAGGCAGTTCTGTCAAGCCTGTGGGCTGGTCTCAACTCGCGCGATATTGACTCGGTTGATATGATGGACAAGAAGTCTAATGTGGCTCTTGTGTACTATCAGTTCCTCCGCCGTCAGGGCCGAAATGATGACGCTGAGGTCATCATCCGTGAACTGGTTGCAGATCTCGAGGTTACTGGTATTCACTCCGAGGAGATGATGCAGCGCGTGCACCTTCTCCGCGCTGAGACTCGGGAAATGCTTATGTACAATCTCGATCGCTCTTTGTCAATTCTCATGTGGCGCTACTACAAGGAGACTCACCAAGAGTACTCGGACGCGTCAACCGCTCTGGCGCTCTCAATTGCCCAGAGCATGGCAAATGCAGTCTCTATCCAGGATGCATCCTCTCTGTCTTCTCGGGACCGCAAGCTGCTGATTGAGCTGCTGGACGTTATCTCGGCCAGTTCCGAAAATATGACTGTCACCACCTTGATCCTATGCCACAACCTTGCCAGTATCTACGTGCGTGAGGGAGATTGGATCCAAGCCAGTGAATGCTCGATGGGGGTTCTGCAACATATCTGGCCCACCGTCGAACAGTCTAAATCTCACCAGAAATTCACGCCCGCGCTGGCACCTCCTGCGGCAGACCTGGCTTTGGTGTTGGCCTACTGCCACTTCCGCAGGCTGCATCTGGAACAGGCTACAACCGTTTATGAGAATGCCTTCGGTTCTTTGATCTCCTCTGCCGGAGTCCCTGTGCCGTCGGTGATGGCCGTTGCCAAGGCCGTCGTCGAGTTCCACGAGACTACCTACCAGTTCACCAAGGCGCTGAATTTGCTCCATACCATGAGCGACTTCTTGGCCGCCCGTCTCGGAGAGAAGCATGAGCATACTATCGATAATATGTATCTCGAGGCTGCTTTGGCAACTCGTCTGGAGAAGACTGGTGAAGCTAAGAGCATCTACCAGCGCATCTTCAAGGCTACTTCCGATCAGAATGGAACTGCCCCAGAGGGCATGGACGCTGCAATTGCCCTCATCAACCTCTACGAGAAGGAGATGAAGTGGGATTCTGCTTTGGAGGTTTACCGATCTCTCTGGCCGACCCTGGTTGTTGAAGACAACAAGGTAGAGAGCTATGATAATGCACTGGTGGACCGGATGCTGGAGAAGACTTACCTGGGCTACATGTCTATTCTGACTACCCACAAGAGCTCCGACTTCTCTGAGCGGTACCGGGTTGCCTCTGAGTATGTCAAGACTTGTCGCCACGTGCACGGTGCAACAAGCGAGAAGACGCTCAATGCTACCTTACTCTTTGCCGAACTATGTGAGTCCAGCGATTCACACGTTGACCAAGCCATCGCGCTGTACAAGCTGCCTCTGGCAACCAGCGACTGGGTGGCTCCTTCTCAGTCGTCAAAGGGCCTGGACCAGATGACTGCACCGCTGCCTATCACCCTCAAGCACAAGTTGGCACAGCTGTTTGTGCGCAAGCATGATTCGACCGTTGAAGCCCGTTCCCTCTACACTGAAGAGTTCCAGCTGGCCAAGAAGAACCAGGGCTACTTCTCCACCACGACTCTCTCGTGGCTCCGTGAACTTGCCCTTGCCCATTCGCGGCAAGGAACTCCTACTTCTGTTCAGCAGGGCAACGCCATTCTCCACGCCTACTATACCGATGTGTTGCATGCCGACGCTGATCCAGACACAATGGGTGACTGGGCCCGCCGGATCGCAAGTATCTACCTTGAGTGCGGTTTCATCGAAGGTGGCAACAATCTCCTCGACGAACTCCGCCATCGCGTGGTGTACAGCTCCGAATCTTCCACGGTGGAGTTGAGCGAGCGTCACGACGCAGTATTTGTCGCTGCCTTCGAGGAAGTCTTCAGCAGACGTGCCAGCTCCGACCAGATCATGACCGAGATGGCTCGTGAGATGAGGTCTTCCCAGGCCTTCTCCAAGAGCCTCTCTGGCCATGACTTCGTTCCCACTCTGATCTCTGGTCACAAGCTCTACAGTCTCCAGATTGGTCAGAAGCGAGTTCGCGCTGCCAACGACACCAAGGACAAGCTGTACGACTACTTCTGCTCCAACTTGTCCGCCACCAACGTCGCCGACAAGGAAATCGTGCAGCAGTTCTACCAGATCTGTCTGCGTGAGGTTCACCGAGAAAACTACAACATGAACATCCTCACAATGACCACCAACCTCGTTCGTGACCTGTGCAACTCTTCCCGCTTCCAGGAAGCCACCATCCTGACAGGCGTTTTGCACTCCTTCCTGCATCTGACCGACGGTCTCAACAACCAGGAGAGCATCAACACCGCCACCCAGCTCTGCCTGTACCTGAGCGGCCACAAGGCAACCAAGTGCACCGACGAAAAGACCTACCAAGCCATGTCGATCAAGTCCAAGCTACTCCTGCAAGAGATCATGGCAGCGTCGAAATCCATGGGCATAGATATGGTCGACCTACCCTTCAACCACCTCAACGACGTCATCACCCTTCTGGGCCAGTACGAGATGTTCGACGAGCTAGAAACAATCCTCAGCCAACTCTGGACCTCCCGAATCGTCCAGCGCACCTGGACACCAGACGTAGTCGTCTGGATCGGACGACGACTAGTGGAAACCCGCTTCTGCCGCGGCAACGTCGATTCCGCCATCCAGCTCTGCCGCGACATCTGCTACAACCTGCGCCAGGTGTGGGGCAGCTGCGACCCGGTCACACTGGACATGACCAAGCTTCTCTCGGCCCTGTTCACAGCATCGGAGAACCACCAGTCTGCAGCGACTCTGCACGAAGGAATCCTGTACGACCTGCTCGGCGACTCCGAGGCAAAGGGCCATGACAATGCTGCTGATACCGCGTCGCAGCATATGGAGCTGCTGCGCCGTGCCCTTGCTCGTCTGGGAACAGGCCAGACTTCGAGACGGGCGTCTGCGCATGCGGACCTGTTCCAGTCGGTGTCAGATCGTTTCGGTTTGCAGTCTGAGCAGATTAAGAGTGTTGGTGAGGCGAATGGCGGTGCGCAATTCGGTGTTTGGTCGAAGCCTAGACGGTTTAGTATTGATGTTGAGGATATGGAGGAGGATGGTCAGACTCACCACAACCATCTGCGTGAGTCTAGCAGTGCTGGGCTGGGTGGTAGTGGTTCTCAGAGACGTATCTCGGTGCAAGCTCTTTAAGTATACACCAGGGAATTTTCATTTGTATGTCAGATATTTGGATTTGAGTTTATGCTGGTGTTTTCTGATGTTTTAAAAAAGTGTTTATAACAAGAATATGAGGACCTGTGGAATTGACGCCGAAAATAGCTCCCTTTTAGCTAAATCCAAGTCCCCTCTCTTTTCACCTAGTCTAGTTAAGCGCTTATAAGCTAGTTCGTCTTCCCTTCTATTATCCTTATACCTCCTATTCTCACTTATCCTTATTACCTACGCCTTAAGTCGAACATGATCTCGCAACTCGTGAAAAGCGCAGTACAGGATATCTCGCTCTTTCAGTCAGTGAAGACAAACTATCCAAGGTTCCAGAAAGGAAGTTGTTCCGGAAGAGACTGACTGGGATCGCCATTCAGAGGGATCCACAAGTCGAGTCAACTCCAAACTAGAGTTGTAAATCGGCAGAATGGTTTTGAGGAGTCTTTGACGAACTATGGCCAGGGTTAGGTCAATCTATTCATGGGCTTCCATATTGATTTAAGGGAATTGTGTAAGTTGCATGCCGTGAACGAAGAAAAGAATTCGTGTTTCCGCACAAATACCATCGGGAACCATGTCGAGTGGTAATCTCTCATCGTTTGCGGCATATAGGTCGACCCTAGCGGAGAATAAATACCTCATCTCCATTAGAAAAGTCTCGATTTGGACCAATGCTCGCTCGTAGAAGTAAGAAGTATATATTGCATGATAAATATGCTAAGTCAAGTTAAATCACATTTATTTAGAACGGCCGAGATTCGACTTTGCGATCTTTTCACTTGACAGTAGTTCTATTTTCGAATAGGTGGGTTCGTCAGCGCCAAAATTGTCACATTTTCCCCTGACCTTGGCTCTCAAATCTTTCTCGCCAGATCTCTTACCTGCGACATAACAGCCGGACTCGCATGATGTTCCACCCACTACATGGCAGGCACGCTGGGTGAGACGACAAAATGCTTGGAATCCTTGGGCCTCGCCCATACAGCGTAAGGTCTAATGGTATGAGGCGTATTATTCCAAAGCTGACAAGCATTATAGGCTCGATCTACTACGCTAGTACTACGAGCGTCTCCGAGATAAGCCGAGTGCGATGTATGTTGTACAACATAGACCTTACTTCAAGATAGATCTACACAACTAACATTTTAGTGATACATTCAGGGCAGACTTACTCCGTACAGGGTTATGCTATTGGTCGTCTTACCGGACTAATGTTAGTAAAAGCGGGATATTCTCCACTGATGGTAAAGTTGTACGTACATATATGAAGCAGTGGAGTAACAATATCCCAAAGTTCGCTAAGTAAAAGAAGAGTGACCGAATCCCACGTAAAATGGTCATACATATATCGTATCCAAATACATAGGGGATTTGTTTGAGGACACATGACCTCACTGTTTGCTCCTAGTCTTCTAGTCCCAGATACTGTAGATAGCTTCCTTCTTCTTCACGCATCTACTATAGTAGATTTTATATATTTATCTTCCCCTAGGTCTCTAGCGTACTTTTTTGACCCACTCTTAGCCAATCAAATCGCCTTAAAATCTTCCCCCAGGCTGGGGGAACGTCTGGAATAGAGTTAGTAGGTGAATTGCTTAGTTTAATGGAATCAATGGCGTTTTGGTTAAGATAATTTCATTTAAAATTAATGGTTTAGTTTAGGTGATCCATTACTAAACCAGCCGTTTTATGACGGCCCTGATATCCTCATCGGAGAACCTGGGGATACTAAGCAACTCGTTGTCATCCTTCTCCCACCTTGTTTCGTACTTGGGATTATTGTCCGCAACATGGATAAAGTCTAGGAGGCTTTCCATTCCGATGTCGCCTGATTTGAGCTTCGTCATCGACTCTGCGAACATTACGTCCGTATTCAGATGCTTGACAGTCCAGCCTTGGTCACCCACCACTTCCTGTGATAAGGCAAATAACTTCTTCTGGTTCGCGTACGTGTTTGCAATGTATACCGGTCTATTGGCCGTCTCTTCAGGATGCGTTAGCACACGGACAATGGCCTTGCCGAGCCATTCACGGGTCGTGTAGGCGATCTCGTTGCAGCCTTCGTCATACAGTGTTATGACACGCTGGTGTAGAAGGATGCCCGTGAATCCCGTCTCGAAACCCCAGTCCAGGAGGCCGCCGTTGTGTACGTCCGTATACGTCGTGGCACCACCAGAGGCGGCGCACTTCTCTCGCATGTGCTTTAAACCTTCCGAGGCAGCCTTGAAGATGGGCAACTCCCCGATCTCTGGCTTGTTGTTGTTCAGCCCGTATTCGGAGGGCAGATAGCGATAGACACCGGCCGCGACAGCTGCATCAATGAGATTGATCTGGGGGATGCTTTCGACAATGTTTGTGGTATTGATAAGTGCATCTTGGCCCTTAAGAGCTTCCGTGAGTTCAGGCACGGATGAATAGTCGACGTGCTTGACAGCAACCCCATTTGGAAATATGTGTTTAGAGCCCTTGCGGGTCAGGACGGTCAAATGAAAAATGTTGGTAGCGATGAGGGCGTTAAAGATGGGTGCGCCGGTAGTGCTGGTAGCCTGTGGATAGTCAGCTTAGTGATGGAGAAGTCAGGAAGATCAACTAACTCCGGCAATGGCTACGTTTTTGATAACAGGGGGCATTTTATGGGACAATTTGATGATATGTGCGTTCCTCGGCGATTGGCATACGATTGTAAGTTTCCTAGGAGCGTCACCAGTTTACACATCGAGACATGAAGCAGTAGAGTAGTCTCATCTTGGTTTACGTCATGATTTAATATGCACCTGGGCAGGAGTGCTGTGTTGGGCGTGCTACGGGCGGTGACTCCCCCGCCCATAGTTATAGTCGCTAGTTATATCCTACTACATAGTATATATTATAGCTTCTTCCTTTCTAAGGGATAGTTTAGTATTATAGTATACTTTATATAGTATTCTAAAGTATAAGGACGAATAGGGGGTTCCATAGTGAGCTACTTTATGAATTGGAAGAAAGATATTTCCAAATCTAATGCATTGTCTGCACAGAATGTACATACAGTACTCAATAGTACTAGGTAATTGTGCTTCTACCACATCAGTGAGTCGACACCCGTAGCAGTTTTGTTGATAAGAAATACATGTATTGTCCAAATATGCACCTACCCTTGCCCGTTTGTGCAGGACCACACCGTGGCCATGTTGAATGAATGCAGTTAAAAGCAAAAACCTACTATGTGCGTTCATGCATGCCAGCCGCAAAGACTGCAAAGGATCAAACGCCAGGCGTATGATGAAAATAATCACCAGAGCCGAAGCCTGGTCAAGCGGTCAATGCAAAGCTGAGGCCCATCAACCCCATGCCTGCAACAGCGAACCCGATTCCCATTCCGCGGCGATGGGTGAGACCAAGTCCCTCGCTGAAAAGTTGCAATGCAACTGAAGTCATGACTCCGGCGGTGGCGGCGAACATACCTCCATATATACCCCACGAGGGACCTGTGGCATCGTCGCTACCGTGTTGTCCGGTGCTCCAAATCCAAAATGCGGCTAGGCCAGCACCAGCTGGTTGACTGATACCTCCCAGGAGGCTGGACCAGAACATTGCCTTCCAGCGGGAACCGAGGGCTAGGTAGAGCGGAAGTGCCATGGCGAATCCTTCCACGATGTTGTGGATAAATAGGGCTAGGAATACGGTCATACCGAGGGTTGGGCTGGCGTGGTTCGTTGCGTAAGTGATGAACCCCTCGGGAAGCTTATGCAGAGCAATGGCGAGCGAGGTCTGGAGTCCAATGGATAGGAATGCATTTTGAGGGACGTGATGGTGGTGGGGGTTGCCACCGGCAGATTTGGGACGCTCAGAATGAATGTCATCGTGGTCATGAGATTCGTCATGGTGATGATGCTCAGAATGAGACAGATGGTTTGAATGTGGGTCTAGGATCTGAGACGGAGCGGATGAAGCAACACGTGGGTGCATGTCATGCTGTGTAGAAATGTTGTCAAAATACCCCCCTTGCGGTGCAGTATGTTCACTTCCAGTGTCAGTTTCCGCAGGGGAAATTTCCGATTCCAGCGGCACCGATATACTTTCACGATGCAGCAAGTTTGCTCGCGCGGTCTCATTGCTGCTGGATGGCGGAAGCAATTTGGTGCATTCAAGGCCGCAGGTCTGAGAAACCCCGAAGCAAGGTCCATCCTCGTCGCAGGCCGATTTGACGCCACCCATGAGCGACGTAATGCGACGCGTTAGCATTGCCCGCATCGTCTCGCGGCGTCTGGGTGCCGGCTCGGTATGTTGGCTCCGTTGTACCACCGCTGGCATTGACTTGAATGAAGTTGGCTTATTGGGTTGTAAGAGCGGTGTTCGTTCAGTATGTCCATTTGTATGGCTGTGGATATGGTCCTCGTGTGCGGGCTCGCCGCGCTCGGGATCACCTTCCGACTCGTCATGGGTATGGGCACAGTCGACAACATGAGATGGGATATATCGGTGTGCAAATGCGGATACTATTTGAATGCCTGCGACTCCGGCAATGAAAAGACCGATCAAAATATATGCAGATACAGCGGGGGAGAAGCCGGCGCGGGTGAGGTACTGCTTCGAGGTGGGGAGCATGCTATAGAGAGAGGTAAAAAGCTGCTTAAAATTAGTATAATTCATGCATTCCAGCTATAGAATGATAGCTCACCATGACTCCAGCACTGAGACATAATGATGCTGACAGGAAATTACTACTGTTGGCTATCTGGAAGCTCTTGCGGTGGGAAAGTACCCGCACCAGCACATCGACGCAGATGATGGACGAGCCAAGGACGCAGGCTGAATACATTAATTAGTGATCGCGAAGATTTCGAATATTCCAGGCGACACTTACCGACGCCTGAGACGGCGCTCATCACCCACCCCCGGAGGTCGTTAGCAGACATGGCGTGGGGAGTTGAAGAAAACGGAAACGGTGATGTAATTGGCAATCAACTTGTTGGCGGTCAACACTTTGCCTCTCTCCCTGTCTATATTCGAATGACAATATGAAAATATGACGATGTTCATGGGCACTTATATGTGAATCACCTTGTCTGAGGACAGTGCATTCGTCCCCAAGGTTCTCACTGCACATCTGCAACCTACCCCCCTCATGGTTGGGATCTGGGATGTGGAAAAAACGGTCTGGTCTGGCATCGTGAATCTCCACTGTGAGAGTCCCCGAGACTATGGGATATGAAGAAAAGTTCCAACCTGCAGAGCTTCATAAATACAATCTCATTGGGACCTATTGGTGATACTCGACACTTTCTCATATGATCAAGGGTGTACACATGCAAGGGGTCATGCAACTGACAGTATCTGGTGATTTGAACAATTTTAGACTCACCAGACTCAAGAAAATCACGAGAATCATGATAACCATGATATTCAAGAAAATCCAGAGAATATATATGCAAGACACCTCCCATGCAGAACAACCTCGCAACAGACCTTTCAATAGCAATAGTTCGGGGATTTCCATGTGATGTGATTGGCCCGTGACTCCCCATCGTTTTTTGTTGTGTTTCGGCTTTCTCGACTCAACCCTCAGCCCTACCTAGGTAAATCCAAGGGACACTCAGCCATGTCCAAAGCAACCCTGGCAGTCATCGCTGCCGCCAGTGCAGCCACCGGAGCTGGTGTCACTGCGCTGCTCTTCTCCGGCAAACCCTCAAAGCCCCAACAACAACAAACCCTCCCACCGACACCGACAATCCCAGGCCCCAAGGTACCCTCAACCATCCCAGTCCCAGCCCTAGCATCCAAGCTAGCCACCGGTCCCGTCGACGCAGCTGGAATCCTTCAATATGGCTTCCCGGGCCCAATCGCCGACGAACTCTCCTCTCTCCCGTTGCACGGCGCCTACGACCGACGCACACGCAACCCATCCTGGGTCGCAGAACACATCACACCAGAATCCCTAGCCATTAACAACGGCGACCGAAAGAAGAGCACCTTCTTCGAGGACACGACCGTCCCGGCGATGTTCCGCGCCAAGCTGTCCGACTATTTCCGCTCAGGCTATGACCGCGGACACCAGGTGCCAGCCGCAGACGCGAAGTGGTCACAGGATGCGATGGACGGCACGTTCGCGCTGAGCAATATGTGTCCGCAGGTCGGCGAGGGCTTCAACCGCGACTACTGGGCGCACTTTGAGACTTTCTGTCGTGATCTCGCTAAACGTTATCCCTCCGTTCGTATCGTTACGGGCCCCCTGTACCTGCCTCACCGTGACCCGGATGGAAAGTGGCGCGTTAACTACGAGGTTATTGGTAACCCGCCTAACGTCGCTGTGCCCACGCACTTCTACAAGGTTATCTATGCCGAGGATGGCACCAACTCGCCCACGAGCAAGGTTGCCCTCGGTGCTTTTGTTCTGCCCAATGCTCGCATTGCAAATGATAAGAGTCTGACTGACTTCGAGGTTCCTCTTGAGGCTGTTGAGCGTGCTTCCGGGTTGGAGTTCGGCTCTAAGTTGGATCTCGGTCGTCGTCGTCGCTTGTGTCAGGAGGTGGCTTGCTCCATCACTGTGCGCGAGTTCAACAATGCCAAGAAGCGTTCTTGAGCTTGAGGCTGCAGACAAGAGAGGAGAGAGACTGGGTTCGCCTGTTTGACTTCTCGCATGGCGGCACTGTATATTTAGAAACATTGTATTTGCATGGTTCGGGCGTTAATAACCGCTCCGGGCGGCAATATCAGGATATTTTTATCGTACACATAATCGAAACCTGTGGTGTTTCATGTGTCTTTCTCGTTTGTTATTACATAGTTTCTCAGCACTGGAACGCAACCCCGTTCTTCTTCCCCATATTCCCACCTTTGCTAGCAAACCCAGTCCCCTCGGAGGAGATCTCCACCATACCAGGCTGAATAGCATCCTTATCCTTCTTCTTAGACTTCTTGCTATTCCCATGGCCATTGTCGTTTGGTTTTGACTTTTCCGTAAGATCCGTCTCACAGACGAAACATAGAACTTGACCATGGAGAGCAGCAGTCTTCTCCTGCTCCTCCTTCGAGGCATGTGGATCGGGGACATGGTGGTCGTGGGGAGTCATGAATTTCGTTACGCATGGAGAGCAAATGACATGCCCGCAGGGTTTTGTGACTGTCATAAAAGATGATTAGCAAGAGCCAATGGGCTGTACCGACTTCCACTCCACATACGCATTGCCTTGAGTCCATTACTCAAATTCTTCTTGCAACTCGGACACACCCTGGATACAGTCCCGTCGGTAGCTTTCTCCTCTGTGAAATTAACATCAACAAGCGACTTGAGCGAGTAGCTATGCTGGCTCTCATCCGTCGAGCCAGGACAGACAGGCGTCAACTTGACGGTCTTGTTGGCGGCGATTTCATTCGCGTCCGTGTTGGGCGTTAAAGACGGGACCCAGAAGGACGGGAGAGCAGATTTGCTAGACGACTAGAGTAAAGTTGTTAGTTCAAACCAAACTCCCAATTGAAGACCGAATCTTCAAGCTTCAAGCTTCAAGCTCCAAGCTCTAGCCCAAAGAATAACCACAAACCTTCTCCATCTTCAACTCCCTCCTCAACCTCTCCCTCTCCTCCCCAGCAACACGAGCCATCTCTTCCTCCCCAAGCTCAAAAACCCTCTTCCGCTTCCCATTAACCTCAACCTCCCTAGCCTTAAACTTCTCCAAAGCCTGCTCCTCCTCCGCCTTACGTTTCCCCCCACCAACCGCAGAACCACCACCCTTATTCTCCAATCCCATAGAAACAAGCTCAAAATCCTTAAGATCCCTCTCCTTCATTTCCGCCAACGAGCGCTCCTCATCCTCCGCAATGCGTTTCCGCGCCTCGTCGCGCTCTTTTTCAAGCCGTTTGATCTCCTGTCGCTGAGAGAGGAGGTCACTGATCGCGCACTCGCGGCAGAAGAGATCGCCGTTGTTGGTGCATGCGACTACAGGCGCTCGCGCGGGTTGCAGACATAGACGGCAGGAGCCGAAGCTTAGGAAGCTGTCGCGGCCGATTGCGCTGCGTTTTGTGCCCCAGGTTGAGCGGAGAAGACCGCGTTCGTAGGAGGTGAAGTGTGGGAGGGAGGTGTTTCGCTTTGAGTGCGCCATTTTGGGTGTGGTTGGCGTGGAAGTTGATGGGGGGTGAGGGTGGCTTTTTGTAGCTTCTGGATGGCGTAATGGGTTTTTGGTCGGGGTTTGGCAGCGCGGGTGGATGATTGGGACTTAGGATTGGTGCGTTGGTTTACCGCTTACCTCACCGCTTTTATCAGCCCTATGCAACATGTTTGGATCTGTGAAGAGGAGGGATTGGATGCTCATGTTTCCTATTGAGAACAAGAATTGACTCCAATACGTAGTTGTTGGGTATAATTGTTACATCTAAGCTTGTACAGACACTGTGGGAAGCAAGAGAAAGTATCAAATCAATCATTGTTAATCATAATTCGCTTTTGTCTATCATTGATTCCACAGCCTTACACTCGAAAGAAGCATAATCGAAATGAAATGGCCAAGCCACGAGATATCAAAGCACGCCCATAAATGCAGCCTGTCATACAGATCTGATTCAACGATCTGGCAGTAAATGAAGAGTTCCCAGAAGCACAAACGCAGACGCGGACGCAGACAGATGCTCAAAAACCCAGACCGAACCGAAAACCTGTCACGAAACCGAGATTCACCAGATGTTAATGCAAGAGACAGTAAGGAAAGTCAACCAGGAAAAGACAAAATGAGATGCATGGGTTTGGAAAGGGGGTATAATAATCGTCAAGCAGAAGATCAAGATGAGAATGGTTAGGATGTACAGAAGAAAGAAAAAGAAGATAGGGGGTGTAGACTCAGGCGCCTACGGCCTGCTCGCGTAGGTTTTCGCTGGACGGTGTATCAACGATTCGCTCGTTGATTGATGTAGATGAGGGAGAGGGGGAAGGGGAGCCATCGTGTCTTGGTGTGGAAAGATGGCCGTATATTGTGGATGAAGGGGAGTAAGGAGTATTTTCGGTGCCTAGGGGATCTGCATCTGAGGTCGGGGGGAGGTGATCACCGGGGAAGCGGGGCTCCCGATATCCTCTTCCGGTTGCTCTTCCTGGGCATCCTTGAACTCCGCCAGATCATCGCTGGTGCGCAAGCTTAGGCCCGTGATGGTGCTCGTCCTGCGTGCCGAGTGAGGACGTTCTGGGCTGCGGTCGGTCATAGTCGACTCGCCGCTGTCCAATATAGTAGGATCCGACGCCCGCGGCTCTTCATGAGGGGTGGGCTTGCGGAGCTTGAGGCGCTCTTCCGGGGGCATGTTCTGCCATTCAGACCCGAATGTGACGATGGATGCTTTCTTGCCATGCACGGTGAAACTGGGGGCTTTGCGAGGAAGGACTTCTCCATCGCCGGAGAGCTGATCGTCCTCCTCCTGCCCAATGCTAGACACTGAACCCCGTTTCTTCTTCGGATGAGAGTGGTTTCTATGAGCATGCGAATCACGGAGGGTGCGATGAAGGCTGCGACGGACGCGACTCGGTCTATCGCTCTTATCGTTTAGATGTATCTCGCCTTCGGTGTCTTTACCGGCGAGTGCGTCAGGGGCGATATCTTCATCCTTGTGTGTCGACGGGGACGCCGGCAGCTCCAGTAGACCAGCTTCCCTTAGAACGCGCTCCTCGCCATCATCGAAGCTCACAGGCGATGTTAGTTTCGATGTACGAGATGCCAGACTAGCTCTATCCCACCGGCTGGCACGGCTGAGGATCGAGGCTTCACGCTCGAGTTTAATGGTCGTTGGATCGGGTGAGTATGACTTTGCACGTTCGGGGATGGCCACAGCAGAGCGCCGGCGACCGACACGAGCAATGTCAGCTGAAGTGACAGATCCCGGGATACTGGGACGACGCAGTTCATCATTCGAAGGTCTAGCCAGCAGTCCAGCCTCCGAGGGCTGCTCGGCTTGGGTCACATTAGGCTCAGGGGTATCAGCGCTAGAGACGGTATGCACAATACTACCGGCTCTTTCCACGCTAGGCTCCGATGTCACGGACGGTCCGGAAAGAGAGGCCATGCGTGCTCCGTCCGACTGGGATGGTGTCGGTTCAGCAACCGACCCAACCCTGCTTTCCACCGCCTCATCATCCTCTCCCAGGTCTCCCAGGAGAACCTGGCGGTAACATCTGCTGCGCCAGATATCCTGTCGCACCCATTTGATCTTGGCAGACAGACGGCCTGCAGCCATGATGACGCTCTCGCGGGCCCGAGCGTGAAGAGGAGTGAGCACTTGCAAGTGTCGAGCATTTTGTAAAAGATCATCCAGTTGTTTTTGTGACACGGCGAGCTTTTCATTTCTCTCCTGAATTTTTTGGCCCATCAATTGTCGTCGCGCAGCAACAAATTCGGCAACAATGTCGATATCGATGCTGGGAGAAGGGGGCTCTATGTCTGTCGACTGGTGAGACCTTTGTGAAGATATCGAGCTTAATCGCTGACTCTTGCGGTATCGCTGTCCCTCATAATTCGTGGCAATCATGCCCTTAGTGCGCACACCAGTGGTCCTGAAGGCTGCAGCATAGTTGAGGTGTGCGAGCCAGTCATTCATCTCAGACTCAGAGCTCGCAAGGAATGTCTCCTCCAACGCGTTGTGTCGAACAAAGATAAATGCGTGTTTATGCTTTTTATAACTCGAGTCTAGCAGAGCAACTGTGTCACCAGTAGACACGATGTTGTCCGGCTTGAATTCAGCAAGGGGTGGCTTGAAAACAAGAGTCCCCCGACGGCCGTTCTTGACATATGCCTCATGCTGTGCCATGAGTGAGCGCACCCAGTTCACATTGCGGAAGAAGTAGAGTTGAGAGAATGTGAGAATCGCACCCCATTCCTGCCAGGGTGACCTGGCTTTCTTCTTCTTCGGGTCTTTCCGCCAAAGCAAGCCGACCTTGGCGACTTTGATATCTACCAGACCGGGATTCGAGTCGAGTGGACTATCCAAGCTAGCCGGCATGAACGCGTCAGGACGAGAGCGCAGAGAGATGATCTGCAAGATTCCAGACTTCGTGAAGGCCTGGTGAAGAGTATCCATGTCCGGTGGCCCAGCGGTTCCAAAATGATTGTATGTATCATCAATATCCATGACCTCCTTCAAGCTGGGACGAAGTGATCCTAATTTGCCTTCTAGAATAAGCGAATAGGGATCGACAGGCTCCCGTGCAATCCGGGCCAAATTTTCGGAGCTAGTGGGTTTGAATAGAGTGCGACGTGGTTTCGCCAAGTGACGGTCAGGCAGATTGGCGTCTTCGACACGAATGAACGGGGTGTATGAGATGTTCTCATAGAAACATTCAAGAATGTCCTCCGAGATTCCCTCACTGCGACTTATCTTGACATAGTCCGCCTTCTGCATCTTCCGTTTGTTGTTCTTATTGAAGACGTCGGTGTGAAGAATCAAAAGTGAAAATGCAATAAAGTATGCGTTATCCGGGGCTGTGAAGATGCCCGGGTTGCATTCGTGATAGCGATCAGCAAATGCTTGCACGAAACGATCAATCTGCTGTGTTTCTTTCGGAAGCTCGACTTCCATCAAAAGCTTGCGGATTGACATGTCGAGTGGGTCACCGAAGTATGAGAAGGTCCTCATATATTTTCGGAGACAAACCTTGTAGAATTCCTCGTCTGATTGAGCGAGGACACCCGCAATCATGCCACGGGGTAGAGCTTCTTCCAAACGAGTCAAATATGAAGCGGGTGTATCGTTTTCTTCCCGTTTTGGGATTGCTGGTAGCTCTTGCTTTAAGACGAGGGTGGAGGCGCCACCTATCGTGGGCGAGCCGTGACGAGGAGAGGGTGGGGATGAGTTTTGCCTCAATCGCTGCGTGATATTGAAAATATCACCGAAACTCTTGCGTCCACTGGTCGAAGTGGAGGTGCGCGCTGAAGATGCCAAATATGGGGGTATGGACAAGTCGTCCTGGTTCTCGGCCAGCGACCCCATGGTAGACGAACGTCCTCTGTTCTTAAAAGAGGGATTGGATCGAACTGAGCGAGCGGAATTCGTCGAATCATTTCGAAATAGCGGTGGTACACTCGAGGAGGCGGCGAGTCCCACCGTGGAACGGGATGGCGAGGGTAGTGGTGAAACTTGGTCGTGGCCATCTGAAGTCTCGGATTTTGGAGTATCTACCGGGGGGAACTTCGGTCGATTATCCACACCTCCAGCCGGGTGCGAGACTTTCGGGGGTAAAGGAAAGAGAGGGCTCCGGGTTCGTTTCAGTCGTGGCATACGGAATCGCTTTGCGGTAGTGGCACTTTGACCATCACGAGGGGAAATGCTTCGGGTGACTGTCTGGTCACCGTAGCTCTGGTCTGATCGAGACGATTCGGAAAACCGGGGATCAATCACCGACGAGCGCTGAGAGTCGTTGGGCTGCGGGGTTCCGCCCCGAAGTGAGTTGGTTGACAAGCGTCCAGGCTCTTCGGTAATGCTCTGGGACATGGCAAGCGTCGAGTCGGTAACATGGGAGTCGGTTGATCCCTGGCCCCTTCTACGAGGCTTCGCGGGTTGTTCCATTGATTTCCGAGACATTTCCTCCATGGACTGTTTTCGTGACGATGGTCGAAAGCTGAGCTTGGGTCTCTGTTTCACGGGTTGGTCGAGCTCGTGACTGGTCGGAGCGGTAGTAATAATTTTGGGAGCTTTATCCGGTAGACACAGTTAATCAATCCATCCTAATAAGCATTGGGGTTGTCAATGTTTCACTTACGAGGTAAGGAAGGGACTGGGGGAGTATTCTGGCCCGCCTTGACGTAAGACTTGGATAGCTGGGGGTCAGAGGCATGGCGTAGTCTCATGAAGCTGAATCGCTTCTGGCGTGAGCTGGGACGGTCCCCTGAGGATGGTCCTGCAAAGTCCGGCTGAGCTACCCCATGGGTTGACCCGTTGTCATCCGGTGGCTGAAGTCCTGGCGAATTCACTCTTTCTGGTAAGCCGGATGAGCGAGGAATTGACTCGGATAGTCTAGGTTCGGCGGGGGGATAGGGACGAGGAAGGTGTTCACTGCGACGGGATTGGCCATGAGGCTCCATGGTGCTCTGCCTCTTGCCATCGGCCACGAGACGCAGTCCTTTCCAATGCATGGTGAAGGACAAAGCGTTAGGATAACCCAAGCTAATGATCCATGAAATGTAACACGTTAGATGGGAATTGAAATAGAAACGGCGAACATTGCCCAGGTGGATCCAGACGCGGTGGGATCTGGAGGTCAGCCCTCGCAAAAAGGGGAACGCCGGAAAGGGAAACGTTCTAGATTTCTTGTTTCTGCCGCCACGCGTATTATTCTTTTTTTTTTATAGATCACACACAAAATTATATCGAATTAAAAGATAGAAGAAAAGAAGAAAAGAAAAAAAACTTAGAGGGGCAAGGCAGACGAGTTAGAATCTAGGCCTGAGCGTCGGGTAATTCACCGGGTTTAACTATAGAGATGAAGAGGATTGGTTTTGATGTTTATTAAAGGTAGTTGATTTCTATTTAAATTGTACAGATCAAATAGACTAAATAGATCTTTAAATAATAGTCAAATCTTTATATTAACCTACGGAGTTGGAAGTATAACGTTATCTAGGTAGAGTCCACGGGTATATATCGAGTATACTGAAGTACTGGCCACTGACGTAGAACAAAAATAGCCGGGGTCTGCATGTCATTTTCATTTCTCCGGATGTCAAGGATAATTTCTTTTGCATTCTACTCCAACTTCTTGATGTCATATTTAACTTGATAACTGAACCATATCTGCCATCGTTATCTTCACCGACGCTTTGTCCCCGCCCGTTTTTTTCTCTTCTCCGCATCCGTACATAGGCTCTCACACCTGGATATCTCTGTGAACCTCCCGAGGTCTGAAAGAACACCCACTCCCCCTCCATTCAAAACTGGATATTGCGACTCGGCATGCGTCTTTTTTCTCCCATATTGGTCGCGTCGACCTTGATCCCTCTTATCTCCGCCGTCCCCGCTGGTTCAAGCATCACCCCACCGCCACCGCTGCTGCCTTCCCACCTCACTCATTCCAACCCACGCCCATGGGGTCGACTCCGCGACTGGGTAATTGGCTCGATATGGGATATTGATCACAAACGTTGCTCTTCAAAACATTCGTCGCCACCGTCAAACATTCACGATCGGTATGGCAGTGATGTCGTCCTCCGCTTTCATTTGCGCCAGCCGGGTGAGGCAGAAGCATTGGCTTCCGCCTCGCAAGTGCTGTTTTTGGACATTTGGGCCATAACCTCCAAGTTCGTAGATATTAGACTTGCAGATGACATGGTGAGCTATTGTTCTGAATGCCTTATGATCGTCTCACTAATTATTGTGTTAGATCCCTTCCTTGTTGGACCTACTACCTTTAACACTCCGCACCTCCTACACCCCCCTCATGGACAACCTCGCCGACGAGATATACGCTTCTTACCCTTCACGTCACCGTGCCAACTCAGACTTCAGATCAGGGATTGCATCGGCTGAACTGAAGACGATATCGAACGGCGACTTATTCTTCCAAGAATACCAGCCGCTCTCCGTCATTACGCAATGGATGCGCTTGATGGCATCAATGTTCTCCTCTCACGTACAGATGACCAGCGTGGGAGTCTCCTACGAAGGTCGCGATATCCCCGCATTGCGACTTGGCACCTCTCCCGACACCGAAACCAGATCGGGCCCTCGCAAGACAATCGTCATCGTCGGCGGTACTCACGCCAGGGAATGGATCAGTACCTCCACGGTAACATATGTCGCATACAGCCTCATCACGCATTACGGCTATTCACCCGCAGTAACACGGCTGCTGCACGAGTACGACTGGGTTTTAATCCCAACCCTCAATCCCGACGGATACGTCTACTCATGGGAGTCAGACCGTCTGTGGCGCAAGAACCGCCAGCCAACTGGTCTTCCATTGTGCCCGGGCGTTGATCTAGACCGCGCCTGGGACTACGAGTGGGACGGCGAGTCGACTCGCTCGAACCCGTGTTCAGAGAACTACGCTGGCGCAGAACCATTCGAAGCACTCGAATCGCATCGTCTGGCGCAGTGGGCTCAAAATGAGACCGCGCATGGCCGCGCTGAGATCGTAGGCTTCGTCGACTTACACTCCTACTCCCAGCAGATTCTATACCCTTACTCATACTCCTGCTCGGCCGTGCCCCCCACCCTCGAGAGCCTTGAGGAGCTAGCGTTGGGTCTGTCCAAGGCAATCCGTCAGACTTCCCATGAATCGTATGACGTTACCTCGGCGTGCGAGGGGGTTCTCACTAATGGGATGTCATCGGGCGGCAGCGCGTTGGATTGGTTCTACCATAAGCTGCACGCCAAGTTCTCGTACCAGATCAAACTCCGCGACCGCGGTAGTTACGGGTTCCTTTTGCCTTCGGAGCACATTGTCCCAACGGGCAAGGAGATTTTCCATGCTTTGTTGACATTCGGTAAGTTTGTCTGGGGTGAGGAGGCGTTGGATATCAGTTTTGAGGACTTGATGGGCGATCAGATACCTCTAGCCGACGGCCGGTAGGCTTTTTCCTTTTTTGATGATTGCATGTTGACTTTATGAGCGGATTTCCTTCTTTGATTCTGGTACTTCTGGTGTTGCAGAGTCCTTGTACAGTATGTTGGCTGTTTGAGCCTAAGAATGTAAAGATTGTAATTGCAGAACATCTTCCAATACCCGTAGGCATGTGATATGACTTGAAGAGAAAAACCACTTTGTTTATCTATACATATGTAGATTGGGAGACTAGGGCCAAAAGGTTATCTCTACTACTATGTATGAATCATCTTTCGGAAAAGGCACCAAGAAGATGAAAGATAATATGCTGATCAAGACGAGGACCACAGCCTCTGACCGAGCTTTCAGATATATATGCTGGAAGTAGAACAAGCACAAACAGACATGAAAGAAACAAGAAAGAAGAAATGAACAATCTTAGGTTCATGCTTCTGAAAGAAGATGGGTCTATATAACTACGTCACGTATTGATACCTACAACATAAATCTTATTTTCTGCCTGCAGATCAATTTAGCTATATTAACCCCTAAATCATCTGAAAGAGTGCAACTCCCGCTGCATTCACTGAAACCACTTCGGTCATCACGACACTCTGCACAGTTACGTCTTTCTTTGTTTCGGTATAAGTGGCCCATTTTACGTATAAAAAGGACCAACGGGATATGATACTTAGATATCTTTTTTTGTTCTTTTTTAGTAGTCTCCTCAGGTAGTCTTCTTAGAAAGTTTCTTAGTCTTTTTAGATATCTGTTTTTATAGGTATTTTCTCCCCTTCTCAGTTTGTTAGCTAGAAGGCAACAAAAGGCGGAAGAAGGCTTAATTTGTGCTATGGACCTTTTTCTATGTATAACCTTTGATGAACACCCAGCAAGCGCAATTTTCTGTTTACTGCAATCTTTGGCATTATCTGAATACCCGGGTAGGCCCCAACTCATCATATTGCCATCTTTAAACTTGATATTACTAGCTCAGGCTTTCCATCGCTGAACCCTTTTTTCCTATACCCCCGTATTATTTTTCACTTGCTGCTTCTCTGAATTCCTGATAGCCTTATATTCTTTCTCCACCTAGGCTATCAATCATATCCATGGAAGCACCACCTCCATATTATGTCCTTCCACTTCAGATGAAGGGTCTCTGAGGCCGCACACTGCAGAACTAGGACACCATCTCTGTGACCATTTATCTCGAAATCTTAGTCTGTTCAGCTGATCACCGAGCCGAAACACCAGCCGTGTATCTTCAGGGCCCCATGAGATCACCTCAAACGAATGTTTCTCTGTCATAGCCGAGTCCACACCGGAAAACGAGAATGTCTTGTATCAACTTAGGTATCCCAGGCTTTCCTCCTGCCGCTCCAATTTCGATACCAGCCTTGGTGTTTTTCTCCTTTATCAAACCTTGTCTCAGAGCGATGCGCATTTGAGCATTCACCGGTGCACAGGAAAGTACGAAAAAGTGGCACGAAGGATTGGAACGTTTGTTATCTAGGCTGGGCATCTCCACTGTTGAAGCCTAGGAGCAAGCGCAAGATAAGCACCTTGACAATTTGTTGACACACAGAGAATCGAAGGGGCCAAGAAGATCAAGTCTTTGGCGGAACTATCAAGTATGTACGGAACATTGTTTGTAGATACGGAGTACGCTGTAGAGATCGAGGAAACTCCACACCCTGACGCCTCCTCGTATATACGTACTTTGTGTTGCGCAGCCTTGACGACAAAGCCACCGGGCCAATCCTAAAGCCAATAGTACCAGACTCTCGCCACAATCCAAAAACCTTCCAGAAAAATATCCCCGATCAAACCCCCGCTAACGCAAAATTCCCCCATAGATTAACCTTGATACGACCAGACCACGCGCGCACCTGCCAAGAGAGATAAGGATTGGCTGCACCATACGCGAACATTCTTGGCGCAGCTGCCCAGGCTCAAAAAGGTACATCTCCTCCGGGTTCAGTTTAGCGTTCATGGGCCAAGGTGGAATTCCGTCTTGGCAATGGCTGGCTGTACTGTTTAGGGTTGGGCTTGATAAGGGTCCTTTTCGCGAATGGGGCTATCAGTCGGGTGGCTGAGTCAAAAATATGGGTGGCCGGTTTGGCCCCGGGCGTTACCTTTTTCTTGCTTTTTTGGATCGACGTTGGCTCTGTAAAACAGTAAAGCATTGTAATTCTAACATTATCCATAGATATCAAGTGCAATTAACTGGAAAGCTCCATATTTAAAATCTGGGGAAATGGGGCAACCTAAAATTTTCCGGCGAATGCCGATGAAAAGCGCTCCCCGCAGAGCCCATAAGTGTCCGATCTTGGCGCCAATGTCTCCGCTTTGTTCCCTGGTTGGAGTAGTATCTGTTACCATATCAAGCTTTGACAGAAGTTGGGCATAGTCTATCTAATACAGGGGGAAGTACTTCTGTATACAGTAATTATCTACGTTATGCCGAATATGTCACTGCGTTCGAGAGATCTAGAGCCTCATTGAAAATCATGAACACAGCCCTATTTGCCCGATTGTACCAATGCGTAGCCCCCGGAAACCGGAAACGGCCAAACCGTCAGATCACGGATGAAACCCTTCTTCGGGAAGGATTCCAAGCCAAGTGAACTTTGCAGGTGTGTGGTCTGAGGTGTTTGGGTAAATTAGTATTTTACCCCATGAAATGAGAAAAAAAGCCTTGGCTATGCAAGTCCCGAGGTCTTTCCAATGTCTCGTATCTTATTTAATTCTATTTTCCCTCAAGCCTCTAGTAATTTTGCATTTGATTTTACTCTTGCTTATCTTTCTCCAGGGCTGTGTACTTTCCACTCTTGGCTTTTTATTTAATCCCTCTTCACCCCCCCGTCTTCCTGGTCTTACATCTGGGATTACTCTTATCTCTTACCCGGGCATTTTTCCTCGCGCAACCCTCTGCGCGTCGAACACACAATGGAGAAGTCTATCAAGGCTGAGGAATACCCGCACCACAGCGTCACAAGGGAGTTCAGTGAGGATGCCAAGATTGAGCAAGCTCAGAGTGGTCTGAATGACCCCAACCATGTTGAGCTGCATCGTGCGCTCAAGGCGAGACATATTACTATGATTGGTAGGTGAAGTACTCGGGAGTCGTACACAAGCATGCGCTGACAGTGAACAGCCATCGGTGGTGCTATTGGTACTGGTTTGATCATCGGAACGGGAGAAGCTCTTGCAAAGTAAGTGGCGATTGGTCTCTTTAACATTTTATTCTGAGACCCAAGGCTAACACAATGTCGTGCAGGGCTGGCGTGAGTGTTTCCACCGAAATTGACACCCTGAACATAATTTCTTACTGACGTAAAATAGCCCGGTGCAATTCTCATTTCTTATGCTTGGGTTGGTTTCATCGTTTTCCTGGTTATGTGCGCTCTTGGAGAGATGGCGGCTTGGCTGCCATTGCCCTCTGGTTTCACTGGTTACGCCGTCCGATTTGTTGACCCTGCGCTTGGCTTCGCCCTTGGTTGGACGTATGTACCACCCGTTCCCTTCGAGATGATCTTGCTAACAGGAGTCCAGATACTGGTTCAAATATATCATTCTATCACCAAATCAAATGACTGCCGGTGCATTGGTTATATCATACTGGATACCCTCAGAGAAGGTCAACGCCGGAGTATGGATTACCATCTTCCTGGTAATTGTCGTCGCCATCAATTACTTCGGTGTGAGGTTTTTCGGTGAATTCGAGTTCTGGCTGTCCTCCTTCAAAGTCATTGTTATCCTCGGCATCATCCTCCTATCTTTCATTCTCATGCTTGGTGGTGGGCCGGACCATGACCGCAAAGGTTTCCGCTACTGGAAGAGCCCAGGTGCGTTCAACCATTACAAGATGGATGGAGCACCTGGTCGATTCTTGGCTTTCTGGTCCACAATGGTGTCCGCCACATTCGCCTACCTAGGCACTGAGCTGGTCGGAGTGACGGTCGGCGAGGCACAGAATCCCCGAAAGACGATCCCTCGCGCGATCAAATTGACCTTCTACCGAATCCTGGTGTTCTATGTGACGAGCGTGCTTCTCGTTGGCACACTTGTTCCGTACAACTCCCCGAAACTTCTCTTCGCCCTTTCGGACGATAACAAGAAAAAGGGCTCAGCCGCAGCCTCGCCCTTCGTGGTCGCCATCGAGCTGGCCGCCATCCCGATCCTGCCCCACATCCTGAACGCCTGTATCCTGCTCTTTGTTTTCTCAGCAGCCAACTCCGATCTGTACATCGCCACCCGTACGATCTACGGCCTGGCCCGCGAAGGAAAAGCCCCCAAGATCTTCGCCCGCACCGATCGCCGCGGCGTCCCCGTCCCCGCACTGGCTATCTCATCCGTGATTGCCTTGCTAGGCTACATGAACGTTAGCAGTGACTCCAAAACGGTCTTCAAGTACTTCGTGAACCTGGTCACCATCTTCGGTCTCCTCACCTGGATCTCCATCCTGGTTACCCACATCTACTTCGTGCGCGCGCGCAAAGCCCAGGGCATTCCCGAGGAAAGCTTGGCCTACAAGGCACCCCTCGGCGTCGCAGGCTCATACTTCGCTCTGGGATTCTGCATCCTCATCGCTTTCACTAAGAACTTCGACGTCTTCATCCACAACCCCAAAACATACGGAAACTTCGACTACAAGAACTTCATTACCGCTTACCTTGGTATCCCTCTATACCTCATTATGATCTTTGGATACAAGTTCGCGACCGGCAGCAAGGGTGTTGACCCCATGACAGCCGATCTCTTCACCGGCAAGGACGAGATTGATCGCGAGGAGGCGCTGTATCTCGCCAGAAAGGAGGCCGAAGCAGAGAAGAACAATAACGCAAGCTGGTTCTACCGGAAATTCGTCTCTTGGCTTTTCTGATGCAGGATCGATACCTATATCTTGTTGTGGAAATTGAGCGCTGTTTGGGCGGTCGTTTTCTCCATCGATGGGCCGTTAATATCTTGCTGTACCTTTAAATGTTTCGATTACGAGAAATGAGTTTCGGTCTATGATTCCTTTATCCCTAGTTCTGTAAAACAAAGCCCACGAACGTACGGACTAGCTCGTGATAGTCAAAGGTTATACGTAGAAAAGTCCTCTGCACAGTTTATGCTTTTCCCCGCCTTCTTATACACCTAAGAAGACATCCAAGAAGACATCCAAGAAGACATCCAAGAAGACATCCAAGAAGAACATCAAAAAAGAACATCCAAAAAGAACATCCAAAAAGCACTTCGGAGGGTTCTTATAAATACCATCCCTAATACCATCTTGGTCCTAATAGATCAGACTATTAATGTCTTAGGTCGTCAAGGACAGAGGCCGCATAAGCGGCCGACTATTCTTGAAATATCAAGTTGGAAAGTAACAATATTATCAAGTCGGGGCCTACGCAGGTATTCAGATAATGCCAAAGATTGCAGGAAACAAAAAATCGCGCTTGCTGGGTGTTCATCAGAGATAATGGAGCAAATTAAGCTCGATTTAGGTGATAGCGATGAGATCCAGAGCACGCATAGCTGACGTGGAAGACGATAGCCCCCAACCAACAACACATCCACAAGCCAATCAGGCTTTAGTTGGGGTCACACCGACACGGAGGAGGAGGCTCTTTGTGGGAATCAGGCAGATTCAGCCTCATGAAAAGCCCGAAGAAACGAAGCTACCGGTTAGATCGGTCATTCATTCGTCCAGAATCAAGAGTCACAGATGCAGGTTGCGACCCACAGCGCTTCGATGCATTATCAGCAACGTGGCTTTCAAAAGGCGGAATCATGTTTCCTCGTAATGAGCATCATTTGAGGGGGTATGTAGCCACTATATGCAAGTCTAGCGCAGTTGGCTTGAGGGAACAAAGGGTTTGGCTGGGTGCTGCCTCTCACATGTGAGAGGCAGCCGCTGTTTTCAGCCTCGTACTCGTAGGAGCGACGCATATCCCGGGTTGGGTTTAAAGGGTGAAATAGCGGCGATGGGTCCATTTTGGTGCAGTTAGGGGGACTGAATGGAGGGGCCCCAGGGATGGCTCGTATTTACTTAACTAGGTGGCACCACCGAGAAGACATGCACAATGACGACCCCTGTCGTTGGACAGGGTACAGTTCATGCTACACAACAACGTGTATGCAGTGACCGAGGGGAACTGAGCCAGTCAAGATCTCATAATATCCGCTGCTACTTCGAAGCTAGTACAAGCTACCGTTATCAAAGCATGTTCCTGTAAACACGTCCGAAGCTAGTAGCTGGGGGACATTCTCAGCCTGTCGATGAAAGTCAACGTTACCAACACACTGGATGGTGGAAATGTGATCAAGATGTTTAGGTGGGGGCTATTTTGTCTGCAAATCCAATGTCTTGAAAGTGTGCTGTGGCGTGCATAAGTGCCTTAGGGCAGCGATCAATGGAGGCCGTCTATTGGGTGGTGAACGCCGCAGCGGTTACAAGATATTTTTTATTTTTATCGCGCTGATCGGAGGATGATGATTCGTGCAATGAAGGTGGAAATTTACTATCATTAGAAATACTAAATAGTAGTTAATTTGGCAGTTTTCCATGTTAAGACTTGAAGAGATGCGGGGGAATTGATTGTTGACTCCCCTGTCGTCCCCTATATCAGGGTCTGGCGGCAGTCGAGTATCTGGATTCTTCAACTTCCAGCTCTTCAACCAAAAAAGGGGCTTCCCCTATAATCAATCTCAAATCCCCAATCAACATCATGGGTGTCATGCGTCTCCCCCGCCCAACGGGCATCTATGTCCCCAATTCACCAAGAACCCTCACCAATGACATGATCTCTCCACCACTCTCTCCAGAATTCAGCTTCGATTCCGAGACCGTCACACCCTCTCTACTCCCAGCTTTAGAATACATCTCCGCCAAACTCCAACAAAGAATGATGCACATCACCCTCCTTATCGGCCGCGGAAAGCCCTACCCGACCGGTCAACCCTCCGACCTAATGATCATCCCCATCCACTCAATCGAGCCGCAAGCATGGCGAGTTCTTGAACGCGCCATCGCCAAAGGCTCGAGAAAGTTCTCACTCGGCTCTAGCTGGACCGACGCCATCAGCCGCAGCCAGTATGAGCGCCAGGCAAACGATCACCTCGTCAAGCAATCCATCCTCCAGAACGAAGTCATCTTCAGCCAGGAGGGTCTAACTCTCCTAAATATGGACCGCATCTACACCTTTAAGCGCCGCATGTGCATCCTCTCTACCCGCCCTTTCTCCCGCAACGACGAACAATCAATGTCATCCTGCGTCCGCCTACTCCACCGCATCGTCGCGGATTTCTCCGGTCGCCCCTTTAGCAAAGCTTTCTTCCACCGCGTCTATGAGCAGCTTGATGTGCCAGACGAGCAGCTCACTGCCGTCGCAGTTGCGTACAAGAATGTCCACAGTCAGGATGCTATCATTCTTCCCGTTCAGACAAAAGCTCTAGCTCCAGCTCCAGCGCCTGCGCCAGTACCAGTTCCGGCCAAGGTCGAAGCCAAGGTCGAGGCAATTGTTCCAGCGAAAGATCTACCGAAGGTCCAGGCCAAAGTCCAACCAAAGCTTCAAGCGAAAGTCCAGCCCAAAGCTGCTGAGCGAGTCATTCTGAAACCCAAGGCTGATCCCATCCCTATCCGGGTGAAGGCCGAACGCCCTCGTGAAGTGAAGAGATCGCCCATCCAGACTGTGCGCGGTCGGAGACAGCCTCCGCCGTCGAAGATGCGAGGACACAATAAGCGTGGGCCCAAGACGCCTCTTTCTGCGTCGGATGTCACTCCCATCACGCGGAATGAGTGGAATATTCTTGTCAGCCAGGATATTCGTGTGCAGCCTATGGTTACCAAGTGGACTCCGTCGCCGACCGTGTTGGCCGCTGCTTGAACTTGATTTTTTGTTCTGTTGATGCAAAAAAGAATTCGCTGTGCTAAATCCATAACAAACCACCAGACCTTCTTGCGAGGGTTGGGTCTCGCTCACAGCTCACATGCCATCCCCCACGCTTGTTGGGTTTGGCTAAGTTGAGCCTTGAAGACACACACGAGAACTACATCCAGCCCGTGTTGCTAGATCACCTCTATGTCTTCGCCGTATCTGATTCCACCAATGCTGGACCTTTGTAGGCCATTTTGGTGAAGGACAGATTGGCCAGTCTTGACATACCGGGTGCAAAAGAGATACCGGTATCCAGACTGGCGTCAAGGACTCCTTGGCACACTAATGACGATATGATAATGATTTCAAAGCTTTTCATGGCGAAGCTTGGCAGCAAATTTCAAATATTGCGATATTCAATTCATGGTGTATATAGTTCACTTCTTGGAAGATATCCATACAATTTTTTAATGAGCCAATCAGACAATATCCCAATATCCAAGTAGAATCATAATCAGCCAACCAATCCGAAAACAATCAAATTATCTACAGCCCTACATCAAACGCTGTTGAAATGAATCGGCATCCTAGTTTGCCGAGCACTCATGGGTGGCCCCGCTTAAGCTCGGCGACCGGCGAACTGAGACAGCTTCCCACCCAATCACAGGCACGGGAAAGGATTTGTAGTGGGTATCGAACGGTGTCGGAATTAAAGTATTCAAGCTATTAGCACATGGGAATACAAGCTGTGAATAATCCTGGGAGGTTTCCTATCAGCATCCATCGGAACTCGCCGTTACTCTGTCTATAGCACACAGAACCGTGGACTTTTTGGATGGGATGTGAACGTTCATACTGGCATCTCGCTCCAATATTCAGACAAAATCCTGCGGAATCCTACATGTACACATACGGGAAGGGGGAGGTTGCCCGAAAGCACGAAGACGGATGTATGAAGGCTTGGCAGAGTTGGGCTTGGCGGGGTTATCTAAAGTTTAAGAGCTGCATATAGCCCTGGAGGAACCCCTCATCTGTGTTTTTCAACGTCTATTAAAGAGTTGAATATCTCTTATACATTTATAGATATTGTTACAGAAATTTAGTCTGACGATATCTACCATGTCGGCCTTCAATGAGCCCGCAGATATAGACTCGCGCAGTCTAAACAGCGACCGCAAATGGAGCCTACAGCCTCTTCTTCGCAGTGCTGAGCGCTCGCATAGCAAAATGCCGGGTATTAGGAAGATTCCTCTTCGCGCCATTGGAATTATTGCATTTATTGCGTTGTTGAATATCATAGTTTGGGTGGCGGCGGCTATTGTGCTGGTATGTTTTGATAGGTTGTGTGACATTGGATTGATTCGCTAATGCTTCTATAGAGTTACCATCCGTGAGTCTTCATTATTGGATATCTTATAGTTTAAAGGTTATTTCATATCCTAATTGTGTGGAATACAGTTCGCTGGTTTCTACAGCTGCCCTTGCCTATTCTCTTGGATTAAGACATGCATTCGATGCAGATCACATTTCTGTATGTCGAACTCGGCTCAGAAATAGACCAAATGATTAACAATGCTATCTATAGGCTATCGATCTAATGACCAGAAGACTCCTGGCAACGGGGCAAAAGCCCGTTACCGTGGGCACGTTCTTCTCGCTTGGTCACTCAACGTGAGCACAGTCACCTCATTCAATATCAAATCAAATCTGACCCAGTCCAGCATTGTGATCATCACATCTATTGTCGTCGCAGCCACAGCAGCAGCCGTCTCAGAGCGCTTCGACAGCTTCAGCACGGTCGGTGGAATCATTGGTACCTCCGTCAGCGCTGCGTTCCTGATCCTGCTGGGTCTTATGAATGCGTACATCCTATATAAACTCGTGAAGCAGATGCAGAAGGTCTTCAGTCTCCCCGAGGGTCATGAAGATGAAGCATGGAAGATCGAGGGCGGAGGAATCCTTTTCTCTGTTTTGAAGAAAATGTTCAAGTTGATTGACCGGTATGTCTTTTAGCCAAGCTATTGATTCTCCGTATTGTCTGACAAATGTGTCTATTTCTGGCTAGTCCGTGGAAGATGTATCCCCTCGGAATTCTGTTCGGTCTCGGCTTCGACACCTCCTCCGAGATCGCTCTACTTGGAATCTCATCCATCGAAGCAGCGAAGGGAACATCCTTTTGGGTGATTCTCATTCTCCCGGCTCTATTCACCGGTCAGTATCCTCATACGCGAGCCCATTAATCCCATCCTTCAGCTTTGACTAACACTTCACAGTCGGTATGTGTCTTCTCGACACAATCGACGGAGCCCTAATGTTCTCCCTCTACATCCAACCAGCGGCCAACTTCCTCCCACAAAAGCCAACAAGCACCGTCTCAGACACCTCATCAATAGCCACGGATCCAGACGAGCTCCCGCAATCACAAAACAACCACCGGGACCCAGTCGCATTCCTGTACTACTCAATCGTGCTGACTACGCTAACCGTCATCGTGGCGATTGTGATTGGCGTGATCCAGCTGCTCAGTCTCATCCTGAACGTCACACATGCCAAAGGCAAATTCTGGGACGGTGTGCAGGTCGCTGGTGACTACTACGATGCTATTGGCGGTGGTATCTGTGGTTGCTTTATTGTCTTTGGTCTACTGAGCGTTCTAGTCTACAAACCCTGGCGCAGGTGGATGGATCAGCGACATGGAAAGAATGTCGTCAATGATTTGGAGAGGTATACAGATGACGATGTTTCTCCTGGCGATGCTCCTGGCGGTGGTGTCATCGTGACCCAGACGGGTCGTACCCAGCACGAGGATGCAGCTACTGAGGTTGCTGGGAAGGGGGCTTCGTCTCGGTTTGCTGTCAAGGAGACTGGTGAGTCGAGACTTGAAGACCACATCGTGTAGATTCTAAGGCTGCTACTATATTCTAGCTAGCATAAGCTGGTTGCTAGTCTTGAAATGCAAGTGTTTTTAATATCTATCTATCTTCCATCGCGTAGACTCTACGGGTGTGTATACCCAAGTAGAAATCGTCCAAGGGAAGGAAATTACTGCCTGAAGGGTAAGGTGTATGAGACTCTGCGGGTTTACCCTAGGTCCCTAGCTCCTTCCCTTTTGGGTCAAAACTCGTCACCTACCCCAGTTTCCCCAGGTGCCTTCCCTTTTGGTCAAAAATCGTCACCTACCCCAGTTCCCCAGGTCCTTAAGCCACTGGAAAAATATAAATACCCCCACCCCCCCAATTTCTCTCTTCTCTTCTTTCTTCCTCCTTCACATCTCTTCTTTTCTCTGGGCCCCCACCTTCCACTTTTCAAGGTCTCATCTTCCATGGTCACCTTCCACCATGACCCCCATTCACCATGGACCTTCCATCTTCGTCATGCCTCAGGACCTTCCACCATGACCCCCATCCACTATGGACCTTGGACCTTGGCCCCATCCACCTTGGACTTTCCATCTCTGCCATGCATCAGGACATTCTACCATGGACCTTCCACTCTGTTCACCTTCCACTTATGACCTCTGTCCACTCTGGTCACCTTCCACTCTGGTCACCTTCCACTCTGGTCACCTTCCACTCTGGTCACCTTCCACTCTGGTCACCTTCCACTCTGGTCACCTTCCACTCTGGTCACCTTCCACTCTGGTCACCTTCCACTCTGGTAACCTTCCACTCTGGTCACCTTCCACTCTGGTCACCTTCCACTCTGGTCACCTTCCACTATGACCTCTGTCCACTTTGGTCACCATCCATTATGACCTCTGTCCATTGGGACACATCCACCTTGGTCGTCCACTATGTCCTTGCATCATGGCCTTCCACCATAACCACTTTGAACTGTCAGCATTCATTGTGACATCCATCTATTCATCTCAAAAGACGAACCTTGCTAACTTGTTTCTAGTAACGTTCATACCTTCCCACCCACATCCACTCAACCACATTCACTCTCCAGCCTTACCGTGGCGGGCTTCGGCTTCAGGACAATCGGCAGGCTTGGAACGAATCAACCACGTCCAACCACTCACCCACATCCACATCCATCTCCAGCCTGACTGTGGCGGGCTTCGGCTTCAGGACAATCGGCAGGCTTGGAACGAATCAACCACATCCACATCCACTCACCCACATCCACTCTCCAGCCTGGCCGTGGCGGGCTTCGGCTTCAGGACAATCGGAAGGCTTGGAGCGAACAATACCCACTCAACCACATTCACTCTCCAGCCTTGCCGTGGCGGGCTTCGGCTTCAGGACAATCGGCAGGCTTGGAATGACAGCAAAGGGCGAAATCAACCACATCCACTCAACCACCACTTCAGTAAACCATCCACAATCAATCTACCACCTCAATCAACTATGCACATTCCACCAACCATCCACATTCAATCAACCACTTCAATCAATCAACCACTTCAATCAACCACTTCAAAAAGCCATCCACAATCAACCATCCACATTCAATCAACCACTTCAAAAAGCCATCCTCAATCAACCACCTCAATCAATCAACCACATTCAACCAACCATCCACATTCAATCAACCACTTCAAAAAGCCATCCTCAATCAACCACATTCAATCAATCAACCACCTCAATCAATCATCCACATTCAATCAACCACTTCAAAAAGCCATCCTCAATCAACCACCTCAATCAATCAACCACCTCAATCAACCACCTCAATCAACCATCCACATTCAATCAACCACTTCAAAAAGCCATCCTCAATCAACCACCTCAATCAATCAACCACATTCAATCAATCAAGCACCTTCAATCAATCAACCACCTCAATCAACCATCCACATTTGATCAACTATCCACATTCAATCAACCACCTCAAACAGGAGACTCTGAAGACTGTCTGCTGTGGTGGTACAAAATATGGTCAAGCATCTTCAGCTTCTCACCAGCTGTCACGAACACGATTCGATTATGGTCAAGCACCTCTTCCAATCACCATGCTCTCATCGCCCTCACGTCAATCCTCGCGCTCAAACCTGCAAACAAATGGCTTCAGCAATCTCCTTGATCAAACTACTTTTTCCCGGTGTCTACCTCATACCGTGTGCTAACAATCATCAATGCGTCATCTCCTGCTTTCAACGACAATGATAACAACGCTGGTCCCAACACCACTTCAAACAAGAAGCCCAAGCCCAAGCATTATTGCAACATTGTTCCAAAATCCAGTGACTCCGCTCACACAGGATTCTCAGGCCACCGCAGGATCAACCTCTTCAGCCCAATTCAAAAACCAAATCTTCCACACATCCACTGCAGACTCGGCTGGCAGGATACACACAACATTGGGCTTCCCAGGATTCATATATCTGCGCAGCAGGGTTGGACGTGGGGGCTGCTTCCTTTCCTACATTTGATAATTTTTTTGCCATGGTTCCAGCAGTTGTCCAACGAGAACTTCGATGAGTGTACTGTCAGCTTCATCCTCCAACATTGCACATCCAGCTAACATCTTATTTTTATTCAGTGTTCCATCGATGGGATCTACAGCCACCACAATTCTCACGGTTGGCCTTCTTCTATGCCAATCGGGGATCATTATTCCATTCAATGAATGACCTCCCGGATTCTCCCAGTTTCTGGACAATCGGCAGGCTTGCAACGACAGCAAAGGTTAAAGCAAAATCAACCACATCCACTCACCTACCTCCACTCAACCATATCCCCCCAGCTGAGCTTCTTCTATACCAAACCCGGGCTAATCCTAATTTATCAATGAATTTCATTCATGATCCTCTGGTTGACAGGTTGATGAGGAAGAAGAATGAGGTCAAACCGAAATAGAGCACCTCAAGAAGTTCCGAGCTCATGGTTTGTTCACAAAAAAAGAAAAAAACGAATCATTGCATGTCTCATATATACTGTATATACCTCCATAGCATTGTTGTTCCCGCACACTTCATAAAAAGCCAATCAGTAAGGAACTTTCATGGTCATCTTTCAATTTCCTCTCAATAACAACTTAGTCTTCCAAAGTAATCAGTGTCGATCGAGTTCTAGTTAGTTCCAATGTCAACTGTTGTCCTCTATATAGTACTATTTGTTTCATTATGGTACTGTGTATTGTGTCAAAATGGCCTCTTTTAGCTTTTATATACTTCGTTGATGCCTCAGGCGTCACACTGGTGACGTCAATCCCATCTCCCGAGCTGTATCCCAAATTAACATCTCAGCACAACTTCAACCAAATTCAAAATGAGATGAGAGACATCCCTGCATAAACGTGCCTGTACAAAATTGCATGTTCGAGGCGTTGATCTCACTTGCTCGCCTCAAATGTGTGTCTTAAAGCATCAACGCCAGCAAAGGAATGAGCACGCTCCTTGAAACACCCTTCCTCGCGTATATGATGATTGCATATTATAGGTCTATCAAATACTCCTTTTTCTGGAGCGACCAGAGACCATGATCGCAGATCAGAGCTCCTCTTCAAAGGAAAAGACAGAACATGTCTCCATCTTCTCATCCCAACCACCCATCTTCATTTTGCCAATGCATCTCTCCCTGGAGGAGCTGGATGAGATTGAAGGCCGATTGGTAGACTATGGTGGTAACCTGACTTACGATATCGCCGAAGCTAGCCTTGTTTTGGGGAAAGTCGGGCGCGCGAAGCGTGCGGCGCTGGAACTGCGGACCCGCGGTGTCTGGACAGAGGAACTTATACCAAACTCAGCTTCGAGAACAATTGGCGGTGGCGTCGAGCCCCCTCACAAGCGCAGGCGCACAGATCAGTACGATGGGACCAAGGATGTCCCGGTTGAGATTATTGATTTCAGTACTGAGTCTGAGGGCGAGGATGGAGCTACGAATCGAGATGTCACTTCAAATCACCTGATTCCAGAGCAGAAGGTAGAGGTAATTAAAAATTCAATCACAGTCTTGAAGCTCGAGTGGCTGGATACCTCTATCACATCCGGCGAATGTGTGTCCCAAGACCCATTCGTTGTCTACCGTGGGCGAAAGATCCCCTCTCCCCCTCCCACGACAAAGGCAGAAAATAAGCAAAACCTCCTTCAACAAAAACCAAATCAAATCATGCAGCGTGCAAAGCAAGATGCTGGTTTACCAACACCACGAACTCCCCCTCCAGACTACACCCACACACGGCGCTCAAAAGAACCCCCCGACGGATCTTCCCAGCGCTCCCGACCAACTCTATATCGACAAACAACCTCGGAACACGAGAGAGAGGAAACCAACACACCCCCACAACCAAACTGGGTCCGTGACCATGTCGCATTTGCATGCCTGCGTTCAACACCCCTGCACCCTCCAAACGAAGACTTTATCTCGCAACTCGTGAAAATCAGGCAAATCCGCGAACTCACCCTCGACGAGATCGGCGTGCGTGCATATAGCACCTCCATCGCATCAATCGCAGCATACCCACACCCCATCCAGCGGCCGAGCGAGATCCTCGCTTTACCAGGGTGCAACGCCAAGATCGCAGAGTTGTTCTCTCAGTTCCAGCAGCACGGAGGCTGCAACCATACTGACGACGACGGGAACGTTGCCGCTGCCGATGCACTGGAGACAGATCCCATGCTCCGAGTTCTGAACTCGTTCTATCAAATCTGGGGCGTTGGAGCGAAGACCGCGCGCGAGTTCTACCAGCGCGGGTGGCGCGATCTGGACGATATCGTCGAGCATGGGTGGAACACGCTCTCGCGCGTGCAGCAGATTGGAGTGAAATACTACGAGGAGTTCCAGGAGGGTGTCCCCCGTGCTGAGAGTGAGGGTATTGCCAATGTTATTCGGGACCATGCTGGACGGGTTCGGGCGGGAGATGGAAATGGAAGTGGAATTGAGTGTGTGATTGTTGGCGGATACCGTCGTGGGAAGGAACTCAGTGGTGATGTTGATATTGTATTGAGTCATCGTGATGATGCGGTGACTCGGAATCTGGTTGTTGATGTTGTTGCGAGTCTTGAGGCTGAGCATTATGTCACCCATACGCTCTCTTTGCATTTGACTTCTTCGCTGCGTGAGCAACAGACGTTGCCTTTTCATGCTGATGATACGAAGAAGGGATTTGATACTTTGGATAAGGCGTTGGTTGTCTGGCAGGACCCGCATTTTGATGAGACTGTTGGACATGGTGAGCATGAGGGGAAGAATCCAAATATCCATCGTCGTGTCGATATCATTATATCGCCTTGGCGCACGGTTGGTTGTGCGATACTTGGCTGGTCTGGTGATACTACTTTTCAGCGAGATCTACGGCGGCATGCGAAGAAAGCACGCTCGTTGAAGTTTGATTCGAGTGGTATCAGAGATCGAAATACTGGAAGACAGGTTGACCTGGAACATGACGGAAAGACCTGGGAGGAGAGGGAGAGACTTGTGATGGAGGGACTTGGGGTAGGCTGGAGACCACCTGAAGAACGGTGCACGAGGTAGAAACCGACGAAGGTCCCAGGAGAAAGAGGTGATATACTCTGGATATATGGACTTCCCAGAAAGATAATCGGATGTAAAAACATGCATGCATTACGATGTGTACTGTTAAATATGCATCAAACGCCATCGCAGATAGTATTTCAAACGGTTTCATGAAAAAGACGTACGCTAGAGTGGTCGGAGATCTCCTACGTGGAAGGATCTCTTGTCTAATGAGTGATGACACTGAGGTACGAAGCTCTAAATCACCCAACCTGGGTACATCTACACACTTTATTTATGGCGATGAAATAAACTGGAAACGGAATTTTACTGAATCATGTCATGTTCAAGTTTTTTCGCAAGAGTCAGCTACTGCCACATCAGGTAAACAAGAAAAAAGGTAATATGTCACAGCCTCCACACCAATCGCATGGCTATAAGAAGGACCCAGAGAAAAGGAAAAAAAGAGCATAAGGTACACAAAGATACAAATCAACCAAGCTTTGGTATGGATGCATACGAAGAAAAAAGACAAGCACAACAAACCGCCACTGTAAATGCACAATGCATAATCAACCCACAGCGAATCAATCATCACGCCGTAGGCCTAGAGCTAGCCATCTCACCATACCGCCCACGACTCCGGGTAGTGTCGTAAGCATTGAGAACACGCATCTGGCCGCCATCGTCGGCCTGGGAGAAGGCGTAGCCGCGCTGCTTGCGCATGCGCTGGACCTGGCGGACCTTCCGAATGGCTTTTTGGAACTGTTCCATGCGTGGACGGTAGTCCTGGACATTGTATTTCTGGATTTCCTGGACGTGGTGGTATTGTTGTGGGTAGTACATGCGCTTGGCGTACTTCCAGGCATAATCACGTAGGAGGCATATAGGGGGTAGGACGATGGCCATCAGGTAGAAGATGGGAGACTTGAAGAGCACGGGGATGGTACCGTAGTATTCTTGCGAGAAGCCCAAAGCTGGGGCGGCGTAACCGTATGCCGGGAGGAAGATGAGCCACAGGGCCATTGATCCTGGGATGGCAATGAAGGTGTACTTGGTCCAGACGTTGGTGATCAGAGCGGCTTTGCCGAGAACGGTACCTAGCACGGCGGTGTACAGAGCTTCACCCCAGACCCAGTGGCCGGCGACCTGGCCGTCTGACATGGGAAGGTCCCAGAAGAAGAGCAACTGAGAGACAAGGTAGAGGATGAGAGAGTGGAAGAATCCATTCAGAATCCAGGCCCAAAAGCTGTGCTTCTTGAAGAAGACGCCTCGCTGGCCCAACTGGTACAGCTGTGGGTAGCGGTCGAGCAATCGGGCGGAGATGAACTGGTCAAAGATTCCCATCGCGAATGGAGGTAGGACGGTGAAGAGCACGTTGTAGAAGGAGAGCGTCCAAGATTCGTAGATAACCTCTCCAGAGAATGCGTTTTGGAAAGAATACTGTAACCAGTCAGATACCACTCCGAATAATCCATCAAGGTCAAACTTACCCAGAATTGAGTCATATACAGCGTAATGTTCTTATAGTATGAGTATAGAATGACTCGACTGATACGAGAGTAGCTCCACGCTCCGTGAACCAAAAGCAACTTTCGAAGGAACCTGAACTGGCCAATTGCGACATCAGCAGATCGTGCGGCTTGAAGACCTTCGACACCGCTGATGCCGACTCCGACATGAGCGGCTTGGATCATGGACACATCATTGGCACCGTCGCCAATGGCCAAGAGGAGAGCCTTCTTGTGGCGCTTGACAAGCTTGACGACCAAAGCCTTTTGAAGTGGAGAGACCCGACTAAAGAACATGTTAGACCAGAAATAAAATCCTCCAAAATTCAATAGCACTTACCAGCAAACAACGGCTTTGCAAATGACAGCCAGATCCAAGAACAACTTCTCCATATCTTTCTCCAAAGCGAAAGTCAACGATCGCCCGTCAATCACTAAAGCCAAAGGGTCGGAGTCCCCAGAGGCCATTTGGCTCTGAACGGCGTCCATCTTCTTTTGCAAGCTATCACGGGTGGCTTCTGACGACTCCTCGTTGATGATAAGAAGCGTCATGTCTTCCGAGATGAGTTTGCAGGACATGCCAATGTTGATTGCAGTCTCCTGTCGGTCACCAGTCAAGACCCAAATCTTGATGCCTGCAGTCTGGAGGGTGTGGATAGTATCCGGAACACCATCCTGCAAGCGATCCTCAATAGCCGTGGCGCCAAGAAGATAGAAATCCTTTTCAATCAGCTCAGCCGCTTTGTCCAGTTCATCCGCACGGTTGCCGTCGACAGTGGTAGAAGCCTTATCAAAGATCTGGTACCATTGCTGGAACTCGTTTTCCGGAACTTCCCGCATAGCCAGACACAACGTGCGTAGACCATCCGAGGCATACTCCTCCAGGTGCTGGAGAGTTGCTTCCACGGTAGGGTTATCGGGATGTAACCGCTCAATAATGACCGTGTCAGCACCTTTACAGTAGACGCGGACCTTTCCGTCAGGACACCGGAAGATAGTGGACATTCTTTTTCTAGTAGAGTTGAACTCGCACACTGCTAGCAGTTCGTATTCAAACTCCTGCCCTCCAGCCTCAAAGATCACCGATCTCGGTCTTCGGTTGGTGAATCGGAAACCCAGCGAGGCAGCCCCGTCTACCAAGGCTCCCTCGTCCGGCGATGCTGCTTGGTACTTTATCACATTTGGGTCTTCGCCGTTTCGCTCGGGAATAACAGTGTGACAGGTGGCAAGAAGTGTCAGGAATTCGCGAATAGCGTTCTGGCTGGGGTGCGATTGAAGGTTCGCTTTGAGTGTTTTGAAGTCATGAATACCAATCTCACCACCATCCTCCACGGTGGCGCGTCGATCTTCAGGAACATCATCGCCATATTGGATTCCGGCAATACTAACTTGCTTAAACTCCATCATGTTGCAGGTTAGGGTACCTGTTTTGTCGGAGAAGATGTACTCAATTTGACCAAGCTCCTCGACAAGGGAGGATGTGCGGCAGATGGCGGGGGTATCGGTTTTATCGTAGTAAATGTCGAGGTCAGAGTTGATGAGGAACGCCTGGAAGTATTTGACGATTTCAATGGTGACGAAGAGGGAGATCGGAACCAAATTTGAATAGAGCACCCAGTACGTGAAAATGTCCATAAAGAACTGCTTTACCATTTTGACCGACCCATAGTCGAGGTATGCAAGCGTTGAAGATCTGGTTTTCCGAATAGCGAGATCACCGACAGAACTGATGACACTCAGAATGATGAGAATGCTGACAAGCATCAAAATCTGAATGTTGACTGTTCGTTCCACAGCCGTTCGCTTGATCGGGGTTGCCGTCGCATTTCGCATCAGTTTTGTCTCGTGGCCACTAAAAACCACAATGCCATGAATCCAGGGAGTGTTTCGCAGCGTTGCACCACGAAGTAGGAGTTGATCTGGAGCCAAGGGCAACTCTTTCTCGCCACCTCCAGCATTCATAGTCAGGGTGGCTTCGTAAGTATACAGACTGCTATTTGGCTGTTCTGATCGAACGCGTCCACTCAGACGACTCAGATCACTGGGGCTGACCAGATGCGCAGTCTCCGGGATGGCTTGCTTGATTTTGAGATTGGTCTCGCCGTCCAGGTTTGCCGTCTCAATGTAGCATAGACCTTCGGGCTCAGATGACGCTAGTAGTACCAAGTCAGCTGGAAAAGGCTGCTCGGACTCAACCCGAACTATATCCCCGACCACAACATCCACCCATTTTGCATCGTGGAACGAAGATCCCTTCAGGACTTGGGTTTTTGAGTAATTCAGTCCTCTGTCCGACATTCTCCGTTTGTAGTCCTCTACCAATTCTTTGATCGCCGACACAGCCAAGACGATAGCCAGCGGAACGATAGTTGTGAACTTATTCGTCGGCGAAACATTTGGGATTTGTTGTAGGACAGCGGTAAACAAGAAGAACAGGTTGGCGTATTTAGAGAATTGCTCGAAGAGGAATTTGGGGATGAAGGTAAAGATGTTGTACTTGGCCGTCGATACGAAGTTGTTGACGAACCTGTGAGTGGCATTGGCGGGCGGGTTGTTGAGCTGGATCATGCGCGGGCCGAGTGTTGAGGGATCAACCTTGCGTGCGAAGATATTAAGGTCAGACGCGCGGAACTTCTTGCGTTGCTTCGGGGGCGGGGCCGGAGAAGCATCGCTACCAACTGTCGCCCTTCTTGCGCCTGACTCGGTCAACGGAAGATCCATTTCCGAATATTGCGAAGACCCCATGCCAAACATGTATTTCGCCTTGCCCATCAATCCACCCCCGAGTCCGAGGACACTATTGCGCTCATTTGCCTTGCGGACATGGTGTGAACTGGCAATTCGGTCTTCGTCCGCGTCGAGATCATAATAACCTGAATGCCCATCGTCAAAGTCATCCAAAGAGTACCGCCGATAATTGTCTAGTCCAGAGGTCTGGGAGTAGGTTCGATCTCGCGTGCCGCTGGAGTAGGGGTCATTTGAATGGAGACCGGTGTTGACAGGCGGATGCGCCGGTCCAGAAGCAGCATTGTGCTGCGCTGCGCCATGCTGTGCGCTAGATCCAACAAAGTTATCGTAGGAGACGGAAGGGCGCGGTTGTGTTTGGGTGTACGGTTGTTCGGAGTCGTCAATGTTGTAGCGTTCTAATAGGTGTTCGTCATTCACGGGGGGGCCTTGACCGCTATTATACATAGATCCGGAATCCAGCAGCAGGTCGTCATCGCGGCCAGCGGCTGGATGCGACCCAGGAGGCCTACCGCTGGCCATGATGCCGCGGGGAAGCTGACAGCCTCACTGTTGTAGCGTAGTAACAATGCCCCTGAGGCATTAATCGCAAGGCCAGGTCGACAGAAAGCGCTCTGCTATATCTGTCAGAAGCAGGGACGATTGGAAACGAGGTATGGCGAACAAGTGACAGATTCGACGGGGCTTGGACTGGAAAATGTGGGAGTAAAGTGAGGATGAAGTCCAAGGGTGGCTTAGCGGGCGAAGGCAGCAATTAAGCTATGTTGATTTGATGCGCGGGTAGGCGGTAAAGCGCTTCACAACAATCAAAGAGATCGAATATTCAGAATGATACTCTAATTATTATTAGTAGAGTATAATTGTATACTTTTAAAAAACACTTGACTATTTTCTGTATTTTGTGTACTATGGTCAAAATGCACTTCTATTCATTGGCCGACTCCGGTCTATAATGAGTTGAGCTAAGAATAGGGGGCTCTTGGCAGCCGGAAATATATTAACCGCTTTGTCTGTACGGAGTATGGAGTGCATATACGATGTACGGTTCGACACTGGTTCCACTTTAAAATAAAGATATGTTGATGGAGAATAAAAAGGATAGAAGTAGGCGCTTGAGCTATTTCCATAAAATCTTAGGAGTTTACATTTACAACATAGGAAGAGTGGTCAAGTTCATTCAGCTACTAGCTCGTACCCATATGTCGCCCACCATGTGGCAGTCAAGTATCATTGATGTAAACGCCATGCGAAACTCCAGTCCCCCAATCATGAAAGTAATGGTAGTACATGCTGTTTATTCGATTTGAACCAACCGGTCATTTTCTGCCCGAGACTCATCGGCCATGCCAATCTTCGCCCGCTTAGCCAGGTCGGCCTGGAGGACCTTTTCAACAGCAGCATTGATCTCTTTGACTTTTTCCCATGCCACATTTGTCTTGTTCACAATTATCATGGCATCTGCTGGTGCACCTGAGTACTTCGAGAGGTAGCAGACGTCGCCCGCGCTATTAATGCCAATGACAAGATCTCCCTCAGCCGCCTGCTCCTCCTTGAGGGTGGCATCAACAATGACATGCTTGCTTTCATTGAAGGTGTGGAATGTGACTGAGAGAGGCTTGTGTGTGATGTTGAGTGCGACAGGCACACGCTGCTCCACGCCGTAAACTATAACACGTCCGTCTCTCACCACAGCATCCGGCCGGCGGAAGTGTTGCAGTCCAGCCATGATCGCAATGCAGGCCGCATCGGTGATATTTCCATCGTAGTCGATAATGTGAACATCGGCCCGAATGGACCAGCAGCTCACACCCTTCAGAATACACAAGGATTCGGTATCGAGGGCATTGGAATGGCGGATGATACGGTCAAGGGTGTTGGTGGCGTATGCTTCGATGTCGTTGGTTCTGCAGAGATAAGTGTGAGAACAAATCAGTGTATAACAAAAGCGTTGGGTGATATATACCTTCCGTTTTCCCAGGCAGGTGAACCCATTGCACTCAGCTCCAAGTTGATGTTAAAGAGACCATCGAAGGGTCGGTCTTCACGCGGTTTAGTAACCTCAGCGGAGATGCGAACAATAATGCTAGAGAATCAGTCAGTGATTGTTTTTTGGGGTAGACCAACAAAAGATCTGGAGCTCACTTTGTCTTCCCAAGCTGCAGCTTCACATGTCCATATTCTTCACCAAAGGAGAGGTCCAGAGGACGATAGTCGTCAGGCTGGCGACCATCGAGACGCACGTTCTCACGGAGCGCCTCGAGAATAAAGTCACGCTCTGCGATTGAGAGTTGCGCTTCTTTCGACATCGTTGAGGGAGGTCTAGAAGCCCCGGCGCGGGGATCAGAGTTGCTTTCTTTTTTGGGCCATTTTGCCCGTGCAGGCCGCATTTTCGCGGTTCGGAATATCGTTATTCCGAAGTTTACGCCAATAATAGCGGGGTTTGAGTAAGGCGGTGGGCGGAGCGTGAGGAGATTCTTAGTGCCTGAGGCGACCACGTACATCCAAAGGTGGAAGCCGTCAACGTCCAAGCACTTCCAACATTAACTTAGCAAACACACCACAAAATGACTACAGGTATGTCATCTCAGCCAAAATCTAAGGATTTGAATGATCATAGCTAACATTTCTTTAGCCCACAGACCTACTTTTGACCCGGTACTACAACTTTTCTCAAAACGGCTCTTCATGGACACTGACTGATTTCAACAGGCGCAAGGCAAAGAAGCCCTCCGTGGCCCCGCCTACCACCAGCGACTCCTACCTGCGCATAAACACCTGAAAGTTCGGTATGTAGAACGGTACTTGGCCAGACCGCACCAATCACTGACTTTATTCTAGCCAACCCGGACAAGGCGGCGAAGCCGACGCCGACCCATCACCCCGTGACCTTCGCGCAGAGCTTCTCCAGGCTGAGGCTGCACACTTTGCCAAGAAGAATGGCGTTCCGGTCGAACAGCCAGCTATTGCAGAATCCTCAATCTCCAAGCGACAACTTGAAGCTGCGCCCCAAGATGGAGGCGATGGCGACATCCAGGAAGAAGACCCAGAGGCCAAACGCCGACGCATACTGGAGGAGTCGCGCGACATAGATGCCGATTCAGACGGGTCAGAAGAAGACAGCAGTGACGAGGATAGGTGGGTTGCACCCCAGATCTCGTGCTTAGGACGAATAAACTGACAAATCGCAGTGATGACGAAGATGAAGCAGCCGAGTTAATGCGGGAGCTTGAGAAGATCAAAAAGGAGCGATTGGAGCAAAAGGAGAAAGAGGTATTTCGCTTTCTCGCACCCTGAATACGATAACGGTGGCTAATGCATAACAGGAGCGTGAACGCGCAGTCGAGGAAGAAGAGCAGCGAGAGGTTGATATCGCGCGCGGTAATCCTCTGCTTAATTCCCAGGATTTCAACATGAGACGGCGCTGGGATGACGACGTTGTATTCAAGAACCAGGCTCGAGGAACAGAGAACAGAGACGGCAAGGAATTCGTCAACGTATGTTTACTTTCCTTTGACTTGTTTTTATGACGTTAAACTAATTCGTTTCCAGGATCTTCTTCGTTCTGATTTCCACAAGCGCTTCATGGTATGTACCTGTATTCGCTATTATTCTCATATATCCACTGACCAGGCATTCAGGGCAAATACGTGCGCTAGGATCTTCTGAGATACTTGTGTATCGAGATATCGGTTCAAGGGGGATTTCAGTTTAGCGAATGGGTATTATTTTATGTTATTTTCAACGTTGTATCAAAAGAGCATTATAAACTGTCAATGGTTTTACCCCAAAGCAATGCTCCTACGGCTTAAAAGACACTGTACATGTACCCGTTAGGACAGCCCAGGCGAGAACTTGAAGTGGGTCTCCCATATGTGCATTAACCTGCATTAGCCCTGTCGTCAGGATCGAGAGCTTGAGTTGAAGGGGAATAGGGAAGGGGGATAGTGGAATTTTCTAGAGTGATATTTCGGGTCCTTGAGAGCGTAAACGCATATAAAAACTTCCCCAGCCAACATTGTTTTGGTCTCATTCAACACGATTGCATAGGCAGCTCGAGGCCGACTTCTTAGTTCGCCAGAACCCCGGCAGCCTCTCCTTATCCCCATAAATATCAAGCATCTCAAGGGCCCGAAGATAGAAGTCATGCCAGCGACCCATATGACCCCACTCAAAGGTGTTATACATATCGGTACAATCACTCACATTCATATACCATCCTACATCTTCTTCTTCTTCCTCCTCCTCCGTCTCCCCATCATGCCACTCAGGATGAATCTCATACTTCCTCTCTTCAGGAGTTAAGTTTACCCATTGCCTGTACAAGATCTTAACAACTGGGTCACGGGTATGGTCTAACGACTCCAAGCAGATGTCATCCACGAATATGGCGAAGTTAAACCGTGCCCCGAGAGCGTATTCTGGACCGGGGATAGGATCAATAGGAATGAAGGTGGATGGGTTTGTTGAGGATTCGTGGTAGAGAACGCAGTACCATGTTGAAGTTCCCAATTGTGTGGAGGACCTTCATGTAGAATAGATCTTATATTAGCCTATACCACCTAGACGCTTTTGAAAGTTTGGACCTCCAGAAGTATGTATAGAATGCAAGAGCTCAAGGTAGATGTTGCATGAAGATAAATAGGAGGTCAAACTCGTGACCGTCTCAGCGCTTTTTTATATCATTCCTATCACTTAACTACCACTCACGTCTCTCAAATGCCCAGCATGGAAGCCCTTCTTGGGGAGATGGCACTCTTAACGAGCTGGACAGCAGTGGAGGAATGGAGGACCAAGCATCATTTAGCCGGGTGCTTTCAAGGGAGACCAGTCAGCCGATTTCACCAAATATCTCTAGTGGAATAGGAAAATCTCATTCGCCTGGGGAAATTTAGTACCCATATTTGCACATGAATGTTCCAGAATTCTTCATATAATTGCTCATGCCTATCTTATACAGAAACCCTAAGCCCACTTTCTCCCTCTGTCGATCTTAAGAAATCAATTTGTGATATGCGCAACTCATTTCGGTGCCTCGCCCCACGAAGGGAACACCATTGGAAGAGTCTCAGGAGTCTGATCCGGCCAATTGGCCTGGATGACCTTCATAATTTCATCGTAGACGATGCGGTTACCGGCGGGAGTCAGATGCAGACCTGTATGACGAGTGAGTACAAGAAAAATGAAGGGGGAATATGCCCATTTCCACGCACCATCAGTAAGAAGACTAGCCAGTGTGTCATTGCTCGGCACATCACGAGCCCCAATCAGAGGTTCTCCCTCTTTCCAGCCAGCGGTCTTCATGAAGGCGGACCATAAATCCACCACCGGGACATTGAGCGATGCGCCGACTTCGCACGCAGCCACTGCATACGACTTGGTGAAGCTGGCGGTTCTGCTTGGGAACGGGGTGTCCTTTGCAGCATCAAACCCCTCCAGTTGATATTCATTGACGGGAGGTGGACTGATCAGAATGAGTCGCGGGTTCTGTGCGTGTGTCGCTGGGTGCTGAATGATCGTCTTCAGGTTCTCTTTATATTGATCCAGGGGCACATGCTGGTCATGAGTTGGAACGCATGCATCATTGGCACCGAAGAAGATGGTCTATCGGATGTTAGTCAATTGGTCTTTTGAATGCATTCGAGATTCAAATGGGCCTGTCAATATGGAGGGCTTACCATGAACCGCACATTAGCGGTCTGCGGCGAAGGGAAGAACTTATGAAAGACCTTGACAGCATGGGCGGTGGAATATCCACTGTTTCTTGTTAGCATATCTTAGAGTCTATGTTGCAGTATAGCCTTGGATGATCTTACGCCAGGCCCCGATTGACAACATCCAATCTGCGGCTGTAGGCTGATTGTTTTTTTCATTAGCTTATTGACCTTGCAAATCTCCGGGGTTATCAGAAGAATAACTCACATTCTTGGAGTGCAGCATGAAATGCGAAGCCTAGCTCTTGGTTACAGGCCATCTGTGTGATGGAGTCTCCGAAGAGAAGAAACTGGTCATACGGTTTGAAGGCATCCCCATTGCCTTTGGTCTCGATGGCGGCCATGGCGAGGCAAGAATATAATTATAAGATCAAATTACTTGAGAGTTTGAAATTGAATGGGGATTCGGGGGGCTTATAACAATAATAAGCAACGTGGATAGAAGACGGAGTGGGGGAAGTCACTCCGCGGACGAAAGGGAAATTGGTGGATCTTTCGCTTGTGGTCAGCTATCTAGGTATGGAATGAATATATTAAGACTAGATCATAAGAACTACGTTTAATATCGCTTATCTAAATCTATCCATGGATTTAGGTATAATATCAATGCAATTTATCCACTAATCATTTCATTGAATTGGGGATCTGAACCCCGCACTATATATACTACACAGCCCTGGAGGTCAGAGACGAATACTTAATACAACATAGACCTTTCCTAGGTTTCTATTATATCAAGGTAGCTACATGATTATATCCAGATTTGTTATGTGCAGCATCACTAGTTTAGAACCCTCGTACACTTTAACAATACTCTTCTGGTCCTTCTGGTCCTTCTGGCTGTAGTAGTAGTGATCTGTGTCCATCGCCACTCCATCCAATTCAACTTTGCCAATTATGTTCAAAGGAATTATGAGCGTAAAGTTTGGAAGAAGCCGCACATCTCCTGGAAAAATAACGTATCCAACCGAAACATGCGATCGCAACTTGGCATCTAGCTTGGATTTCGCCTAAGTTCACATCATTATTAGACCAGATATCGTATGTAGATAGTAGACAAAAGTTCTCACGCTGAAAAATTCCGAAAAACTCGCCCCTGTTACATCATTGCAAGCATCTGTTGGGAAGAACTTTGCAAAGCACAAGTTTTTTGGCCTAAACAAAGGCTCGGTGATTTTACACACTTCATTCTCCCAAACTTGTGAGATACTGGCTTTCAATTTTTCGGAGACAACCACCGAGAGATGATCGACAGCCATGGGTAGTTGGAGAGGGTACCAGAAGAGGACGAAGTCAGGCAGGAGTAGTCTTGAGATAGAAAGGAGCCAGGGAATGGCCTTCGTGGGAGATTTCGAATACTCGAAATTTCAGCGTCAGAGTATGGAAATCAAAGTTCTTCTGGAGTTTATATAAAACCCAGGAACAAGTGAGGGAGAAAGCCTAGGGAGAGGAAGAGTGACCAGTTTCCCCCCGGCGCCTAAAAGTGACAGGGGTCAGTCTCGCACCTAAAATGTTTGCATTTGGACGAAAACTAGCACGTCTTTTCTTACATATGACTGTAAAATTAAAGTTGGGGTACAATTTCCGCATATCTAGCTTGATGGGTAGTTGGTTGTAGATAATATTCCTGTCGCAACTTCCTTTCTCCCTGATCTACTTCGCTCATCGAGCAAGTTACCAGAGCCAGAAATCAAGAGATCTGGTATATGGGGACATTGAATTGCATAATAAATGCGTGGATGTATATAGAAGTGAAGAGCTACGAGATATGGGGATCTTCCGGGGTACGGGCGGCCCTGATATGTCCGTTTTTGTCGAAATTGACGGGGTAATTCTTTCCTCTGTCGGTGGCTGCCATATGCTTGTATGCCAGGTAAACGTCTTCATCTGAAAGCTTTGTTCCGTTTGGCGGCTTCAGCCAGGTGTTTTCCTTATTGTCTGCGTCGTAGATCGCTAGGGGGGTCACAGCCATTGTCTGAGAGTCGGGATTGAAGCCCACCGCTTTGAGAGACTCGCTTGCCTCGGTATAGCTGTCCAGGTTGAAAGTTGGCCGGGAGTTCAGCTGTAGGCTCTTCAGGATCAGTTTTTCTGCGTCCAGCTTGGACATGGCATCCTTGGTGAACTTGGGGATAATGTCGTCGTAAATGTCCACGTCTTCAGGGTCACAAGCAAGAGTTGTTGGGAGCATGTTTTCAAACGTTTCTTTGTACCAGGCCTTAGAATATCTCTTGGCCGGCTTTTTTGCTGGTTGTTTGGCTTCTTCTATTGCTGCGGAGTCGTCATCCTCCCACTTGCGTTTTATTCTTCCCATGTTGGTTGTTGGGATGCGTTGTTCTGAGGAATGAATAAAGTGCAAGTGAAAGTTTGTGGTGGGTTGGGGAGTTGCAAAAGAGAAAAGTTCCTGAGGTAGCAGGAGGTATAAATAGCCGGGAAGTGAGGCTCAAGTGAGGTGAAAGAGAAATGAGAAATGCTAATGCTTAAACACAGGAGTAAGCAATTCGTTGCTGTCCACCCGACCTTTTTTATACTCAGTTTTGCTCCACTCTTTAGCATACTTGCTCCCTAAGAGCAAGTAGCTTTGGGGCCAAGAAGTTCTAATTATTCTGTGCCTCCAAGCAACACACATGCATGTTGCCGTACTTAAGCAGACAAAAAGTGTATAGAGTTATATCGCGACCTCGACCCGTAAAACAAGCTTTGAGACTATAATTTTCTAGTAATCTGTACAAGAATAGTCGGCCGCTTATGGCGCCTTGTCAAGTCTTCTTTAGTGGTCTTTTTGGTAGTCTTCTCAGATAGTCCTTTAGATATCAGTTTTTATAGATGTTTTCTTTCCCTTCTTAGTTTGTTGGTTAGACGTTGAAAAAAGGCGGAAAAGGGCTTAATTTGTGAAATGGACTTTTCTATGTAAAACCTTAGGCTCTAGAAGAATTCGCTAGAAGCATCTTAAGATACGTGAAAGTCCAGCCACCCAAGACCATCTAAAGAGAATTCGCTACGAGACCCTACTCTGAATCGACCGGCTTGTCGAGAAGAAACTAGCAAAGCACCGAGACAAATAATAACTACGCTGGCCTGGCATAGACCCACTCCATATCTGTGAATCCCACAATCCCACAATTGTAAGATCGTCCTAGCCCGTGATTACTACTCCGCCGTATATAAACTTGACCGGGCAAGTTCCAAAATCTACAGTGATAATTGCATCATCACCGACTAAATTAGACGTGATGTGGAACTTGCTGTTAGTCTTGCTAAATAATAATACTAGAGATACTTGCTACTCGCCGAAAACCCACATGTCCGAAAGAGCGGTAAAGGTGATCGTGTTGAAAAGGGTCCTCGAAAATAATTCCAGCTAGCTACAACGCAGGTATTGACCTCTGAGCGTGTGATTGACTTATTTTCCAAAGGATGCCTAGTACACGTGAAGCAGGAACCACTCCCCGTGAAATCGGAACATACCGAGCGATATCTGCATGCCCTAATGTTGGAAAGTGTCGAAAGCTTATACATACCCCCAAGGTAGACTGGGCCTCAAGTCAGCCCCGTGCTAGAGCTGATATCTATATCTCAAGAATGCCAGACATCCGGAAGAGGCTAACGCTGTTTACCATGAAATGACAGCTTTCTTCGAGTCTCACACCCCTCACACGGTGGCGTATGTTATATGAGGCATGCCAAGAGATCAGCGTCGGATGACGATGGGATTGGGCAGCGTCTGGCACAAGGATCCATGGATCCCTTCAGCCGGGGGTGCGGATGCACCTCCAAAAAGGAAACTTTGAATGTTAAACATCCTAACCTAGTTTAGTAACTCAAGGAGATCCATGGATGCTTCCAGGGCCATAAAACAGATGCTTTTTGGTGCTCTCATTTATCGTCAAGACCATAGCGGCGTCATGTGTGCAGGTACACAGGTATACTTATATCCTGCCCTACAACATAGACAGAAGAGCGTGCTCCTCGTACTAAGCATGGACATTTTGATCCGACCGGGAGGGATCAAGATGAACAAGGTTGCTGCGCTGTGGCTGCATCAGGTCGAATCCCGAATGTACATTCCACGGCACATGCTTTATTTCGGGATGTTGATCGTCGGGAAAATGCGGGGATGACCAGGGAGGAATGCGACACTGGGGATAAACCATCAAATCACCAGCATAAACTGCTGAGCATTGAACATTCAACAAGTAAAATATATTAAAGATAGACAGAATGACTCTAGTGGCTGGTGGGTCAGCACTGGACTTTCACCTGACGCGTCCCCGCCGTTCAGTCGATCATCTGTGATGGTCACCTCATCTTAAGACTCGGACCCTCTTTTCTCACCGTCATCTCTTTGTGTTTTTGTTTTTGTTTTTATCTTTCTGAAGAATATAACATTGGAAAGAGAGATATGCTACCCAGTAAGTCAAATTTCTTGATTTCTTAGCTCTGTTACGCCGTGTTTACGTCTGATGTGGATCTTCTTTCGGGATATCTCCAAGTGCTGCCAAAACTGACCCTTGTCAGCCCCACTGCATAAAATTGAAGCATAAACGCTTCTCGGCGACATGCCTCGGTCCCTTCCAAAGCCCAGTCCTGCCTTGCGCGAGCAAGAGGACACCGAAAACACACGCAGTGCCCAAACAGCTCCCCCCTCACCGAGTGCCTACAGACGATCTCAAAGCTACCTCTCGGAAACACATACCGAATATCAGTCCCTCGATGCACCGTTGGAGATTTCAGAAACAACGAGCCTCCTCGGGCCCGCCCAATCCTTCCGCCGACGAGCTCCGCGACGGTCTTACACCAGCACCTCCGGAGTGTCGGGCACCGGTCCGGACTCATTTAGACATGTTCTGGCGGCTGGCAGCCTTCGGCGAACGCGAAATCATAGCCGTGCTAACTCCACGGGTAGGCGGTTTAGTCGCCGAGGGAGTATAGGCGGCGATAGCATACCCGCTAGCCTTCCTCCGTCCACGAAGGACAATCTTACTGCCTCTTCGTTTCTGGATGAGCGGACTTGGTACGATCAATTCACTTCCACAGATTGGGTGCATGACAGTATCGCCGATGGAGCCCGACTTCGCCTACTCCGCCAGCGAAAAGATGTGCGAGGCCGATTGTTGGCGGCCTTCGACGGTGCGCAAGGATGGATCTTGGTCGCGCTCATTGGGTGCATCACGGCCTCTATTGCTTACTTCGTCGATGTCACCGAAGGATCGGTCTTTGATCTGAAGGAAGGCTTCTGTACGACCCAATTTTTCCGTAATCGACGGACCTGCTGTGAAGGGCTGGGTGGTTGTGATGCATGGCGGTCCTGGTCCAGGATCTTTTCGCCATCGGGTACAGAAAACCAGTGGGTTGACTTCGTCGCGTTTGTCTTTTGGGTTGTGACGTTGGCCCTCATATCGTGTGCTTTGACTCTGCTCACAAAAACCGTCGTTCCTTCGTCCATTTCTCTTGCCACGCTTGATGAAAACCTGGGCGCCGACTCCCGTGGTACAAAATCTGGAAATGGACTCGATGCCTCGGCTTCTCCTCTTTCGGAGCCAGAGACGAGTCCAGTGCATGGAACTTTGCCTAATCTTCCGTCCCGTCCAGCTATGATCTACTACTCTGCTGCTGGCAGTGGAGTGGCAGAAGTCAAAGTCATCAACAGTGGCTTTGTCCTTCACGGATATATGGGACTGAAGACGCTGGTCATTAAAACTATTGGTTTGATCTTTAGTGTTTCGTCTGGTTTGAGCTTGGGCAAAGAAGGCCCCTACGTTCATATTGCCACCTGCGTGGGCAATATCTGCTGTCGTCTGTTCGCCAAGTATAACCAAAACGATGGAAAGCGACGAGAGGTTTTGAGTGCCAGTGCCGCTAGTGGTGTTGCTGTTGCCTTTGGTGCTCCGATTGGCGGTGTCCTCTTTAGCTTGGAAGAAGTCAGCTATTATTTCCCACCCAAGACGCTTTTCCGGACGTTCTTTTGCTGCATTGCAGCTACGTTGTCCCTCAAGTTCCTAAACCCTTATGGAACAGGTAAGATCGTCCTATTTGAAGTCCGGTACCTTTCCGACTGGCAGATCTTCGAGATTTTCATTTTCATCCTTCTCGGTATTATGGGAGGCGCCGCTGGTGCGCTCTTCATCAAAGCCTCGAGCCTATGGGCACGATCATTCCGTCGCATTCCAGCCATCAAGCGCTGGCCAATGCTTGAAGTTTTCCTTGTTGCACTGGTTACAGGCATTATGAGCTTCTGGAATCGATACACCAAGCTTCCTGTCACCGAACTTCTCTTTGAGCTAGCTTCTCCTTGTGAATCAGATGTGGAAAGTACGGGCCTGTGTCCCCGCACAGACGGCATTCTTGAAATCGTCCACTACCTTCTAGTGGCGTTTGTCATCAAGAGTTTCTTGACCATTATTACGTTCGGCATCAAGGTGCCTGCGGGCATCTATGTGCCATCTATGGTTGTTGGTGGCTTGATGGGGAGGATTGTTGGACATTTGATCCAGTACTGGGCTCTCAGACATCCAACCTTTTTCTTATTCAACTCTTGCCCTGCGGTTGCTGGAATTGAGTCGTGCGTGACTCCAGGAGTCTACGCATTGATTGCCGCTGGAGCGACTATGTGCGGCGTGACACGACTGTCGGTAACTTTGCCTGTGATCCTTTTCGAATTGACAGGAAGTCTTAACCACGTGCTTCCGTTTTCCCTGTCGGTACTCTGCGCAAAGTGGACAGCGGATGCTATTGAGCCTCGCAGTATATATGTGAGTTTTCCCCCCGGCTGGCAATCCAACCCCGATGTTATACTAATTGAAACCAGGACCTCTTGACCGATATGAACTCCTACCCCTTCCTTGATAGCAAACTCCAACCGACCACCGATGCTGAGCTGGGAGACATAGTCCGACCAGTGCGGAAGAATCGCATCATCGATGTCTCTGCATCGCCATTCGTACCCGCCACGGATCTCCGTTTGAAACTGGAACACTTGCTCATGGCAGGCGAGCTGGACAGCGGACTTCCCATTCTACGTGACGGTGTCCTAGCCGGTCTCATCCCAGCACCCGATCTCGAGTACGCACTGGATACGCTGGGCGAGGAAGAAGAAAATACGATATGTCTGATGGCTATGGATGCTTCCACTGCCATCTATGACAGCGATCACGAGGATGCGGACCAGGTGGATTTCAGTCGATACATTGACCCTGTAAGCTTGGTGACCTTTTCAATATCTTGGCCCATACTAATGTGTTTTTTGGTAGGCTCCAATCGCTCTCGATGTCCATTCCCCTATCGATTTGGTCTACCAATGCTTTGCCAAGCTGGGTCTTCGTTACCTCTGCGTTACCCAGGACGGGAAATATGCCGGCCTGGTACACAAGAAAGCATTCGTGAAATTCATGAAGGAGAATAGCGACTAGGTCGTGAACTTGATAGACCATTGCATTGTTTTCCATTTGCATTTTCCGGCGTTGTTGAGGCATTCTGATTCAATTGTTTGCATAGCCTTGCATATACTCTCATTTCATGTCTATCTATTCTGTTGCCTCACCCAACCAACATTGGCAATGTGCATAGTCTTGTTGTACATATTTTCTCTTTGCTTTGGACAGACACGCGCGAACCACGAATTTTTGAACATATTTGACTAGGCAATTATCCATAGGGAGGACAATCAACTACCCATGTCTAAGTCAATTTTTCAAATCCAACCATCTGAACCTCAACATCACCGTCCCCCTTCCACTCGCCATCAACCTCCTCCCCAACCCACTCAGAAACCTCCCCAGGGCTAACAGCCCGCCACCCATTCTTCTCATGAAGCCCATCTAACGGGAAGAACGTATCACACTCAAACGAAGCAGGCGCATCCACAGCCCCTTTCCGCACAACATTCGTCATAACAACCCTAACAGGCCGACCCCGCAGCTCCTCAGCACCCATTTTCAACGTAGCATTATAAATCTCCGCACCACCAATAACAAAAATCTTCCCAAGCGTCCCCTGCGTCCCATAAACAGAGTCCAACTGCTCCAATGCCGCGCCCAGACTCGGCGTAACAATCGCATCGGTCATCGGGTCGACCGGTGGAGCCGGAACAGCTTCCTTGGGCGGGACAAAAGCCTCCTTTTCCGCATTTGTAGCCTGTGCCTGGGCCTGTGCCTGAGCAGCCTTGGCCGCAATTTTGCTCTTCATATTCCCTAATTCTGTACTGACGCTCTCGCGAACAGATCCGGACGTGTCGCGCGTGATCACAACGTTAATCCGCTTCGCGAGCGGACGCAGCGAGGCTGGAACTGAGTCGTACGTCTTGCGGCCCATGATTATCGCGTTCGTCGTGCCTGGGCTTGGTGGCCGGGATGTCACACGAGCGAAGAATGACATGTCTGTCTTTATGCGCGGCCATGGGAGCGTGCCGTTTAGGCCGATGCCTAGGCGCGTGATTTCGTCTTTTGTCGTTGTCGACGCGGTGCGGATTGGGGTCGTTGCCACAATTAGGGTGAGGGAAGGGAGCGGGTGAGGGTTGTGAGGTGGCATTTTGGTTTGCGAGGTGATTGCGGTTTGCGGTTCGAGGTAGAAATGTGGTTGTGAGGGAGGATGAATGGTGGAGGTTCGCGTCGCGAGGGGACAAAATCGTTATCGGAATTTAGCTGCTTATCGCCCCGCACTATAGGTACCCGTGGACAGCTCCAGGTAGGCTTGACATGGCCATTTTTCTTTGGGAAGGTATTCATGTTAGGGTCGATCCAACATCAATAGGGGGAATACTACGCTATTGCTCTAGGCTAACTCAGTGAGCGAAGCAGTAAAGTAATCGTAAACAATTGGTTTCCATTCAATTTCAATATTACAGGTAAACTGAATGCGCCATAACACCGGTCGAACGCTAGAGGAAACAAGTGGGTATCATACGCGAAACAGTTTTAGGGGAGATCTCTGAGAAACCACCGTTACTTTTCGGATTCATCAAGCTTCTCGGACTGCTCAGGGCCCCTCAACTTCTCAGGGACCTCCTTCTCAGTGTCCTCTGACTTCTGAGGGTTCTCGGCCTCATCGAACGAGGGCGTCAACAGTCCTCCGGCAAGGGCCTCCTGGATGGCCTTCACATCTTCTTCGAGCTTCTCGCGACGCTGGACATCGCGCTCGTCCTCGCCGAGGGTATCGAGCTTGCCGAAGAGCCAAAGCTCCTTCATGAGGCGGTGCAAGGCGAGCAGGTCTTCTGCGGCACGGATCTAAGGTAGCAGAATGTTAGTCTCGCGCTTTGGTGTGGATTTGGAAGCTCAATTGCATTCTTCTTGGGAAGGGGAGAGGTAGCTGTAACGCTGGGGCATTGCATATGGACATACCAGGGCAGTGGATTCAACATCAATTTGGAATGCCTCAACAGCAGCATCAACATGACTGGTGCCGTCGAACTTGTTGGCAGCAATGGCGACGATGTTCTCGAACCGCTGCAGCAGCTGCGAGATATCATAGTCGACGCGATCTACCGCAGTTAGCGGAAAGACATGGTGGGAGGGCGTAGCTGCAGTGGCTCAATTAGTGCGTACCAAGCAACTCCTTTGCTGTGGGACGTGAATCCATGGTTGGAGCGTTGTTTTTATTGTCTTCGGATGATGAAGAGGATAAATCCGAAGGAGGATAATCCGAATCAGGATCCATTTTGATTGCGATAAGAGATAAGTGTGGGACGGATAGGGACGGGTAAATGCGGGAGCGAAGCCGATATTACCCGAAGTGAACATATCTGGTGTTGTTTTTATGGCCTTAGGCCGTTATTTATGCCTCAGGCATTCAATCCCTCCATAGCTCAAATGTTCGATTTGAAGTATCAAATCATGGGCCTCCCGTCGAGGTTATGAGGCTGTTACGAGGCGAAAATGTGCAAGCCGTTTAACATTATCATCGAAGGTGATCTCGCCGTGGCAGTTCTGGTTCCCCGTAATAGCAGACAAGCTCTTGCGAGATAGGCCAATAGTACATGGGAGGCCTTTTCTAAGCATCGATGCACTAGAACATATCTTAGAACAATCTATGTAAAGGCATAGCTCATCTATATCACGAGCCTCTGTAGCCACATATTGAGTAGGATTCCCAATTTTCCTAATAGACAAATGAGTATGAGCATTGCTACTATGGCCGATCTTCGAGTAGATATATCACACCCCCGGTTTGGGCATTTATGCTATAGCTCTTGGCGGTGCGTGGGACAGAAGTGTCTATCGATAGTAAACAATCCTCTGCTCTCTACGCTGCTAGTTCCCCACAATTCTCCATTTGCATGACCAGTGAAGCATTATGAAAAGTATACGATAACCAGGTGATCTACTGGAAAGCTTTAAGGTGACAATGAAAGAAACCTTTTGACAAGGGGCAGAGAAACATGAAATGGAGGAGTACAAAGATAGCCAGTCCATGTTTTGTTAAGCCGTTAAGCAGTGTAGAATAGGGAAATTCCTATTCATGACCATCAGACAGCCTTATATATGCAACCAGCAATACTGAATATGGTTGCTAAATAGATACAAATTATTCACTTTGATGTCTCCCACACAGTAGACATCTGGACTTCTAACACAAACACTAGGCTCACATGTCATGGTCGGGTGTGAATAGTAGCGGTACAAATTGAATGAGAGCGCGTTGCAAGACACTACATACGTACTATGTAGTCCACGGGATATGTATAGACCATTATGGAGTGGAGTACGGAGCATACCTGGAATGCACAGAGGAAGGTCTAGCCCTACCTAGGGAAGGCCGATGATCGTCCTTTTGAACCTCACATACTCTCCGCCTTACTCTCCGCCCTCCTGTCCACGGGGTGCGTCACCGCCTACCGTGACAATGGTTTCTATCCAAACTACTACGCTCCTCACTCCTCGCAATAACAATCCTTTCATCCCGTTGCTAGGTTTGTTTCCTGGAACTTTTTCCCTTCGTGTCTGTATCTTCCTCTTGAGGCCTCCATAATCGCAATCTTGTCTTACATTGCTCTCGATTTCGCTTTACTTTGCTTGGACTTCGACGGCGAAATCATCCGTAACTCAAGTTGTCACTGGCGCATCACATACACAACATCACCAAATACTTCGTCGCATCTTTCTGTGAAGTTGGAATTGTCTGTGAATCGCCTAAAATCCAACAAGAATCCCTCATTACGATACCAACCATCTTGAAACGCGTTCCCTTCATCTATGCCAATACCGTCGTCTATCTTCCCTAAACTCGCTGCTGGATGTTCTGATCAGGCCTGAGATATTTGTCCTTCGAAGACAGGGTGGACGGCCGGTGGGCCGTCTCACAGATCGAAGGCGGCAGGAGATATTGGAGAAAAGGTGTCGAATTCAAGTGACGTTTTTCGCGCCCCTGCTCTTAGGGCGGACTATTCCAACTACCCCGCGTCCCTTTTTCTGTTTTCTTTTTTTACCTTGAATTCTAAACACTAGACTGGCGATGGATGCGCAGTATCCCTTTGCTTCTCGTGACGACATCTGGCGTGTCTTTGACGAGTTGAAGGAGCTCCACATTGCGCAGTACGAGCAAGGGGAACGGCTCGCGCAACTGGAGCGTCGCCGGGACGACGATGCCCGACTGAGGAGTCCTTGGTGTCCTGTGTCGCCGTTTCCGCACTCGGTAGGAGCAATCGCTCCAGGTAGTCCACCTCTGCCCTCCGGGATCAGTTCGCCACTTACCAAGACATCCCTTCCAGACCCCACTTTCCACTCCCCCCGGATGCTTTCAAAGGATTCGATCAAGGTCACCATTCCGCAATGGCCAGTTCTGCGGCGGGATTTGATGGCGAGGAAGAGCCTAGACGGGGTGCGTCGCGAGCCAACAGTGTCCGTTTTGACGAAAGTGCCATCCACGGGAACGGCCAGGCTGGCCGTTCTAGCAACGACCTTCCTCTGCGGACAGGCAGCGGCTTGAGTACCCACCCGCTTCTTGAGAGGACATTTTCTCACCAATCTGATGGACGACTGAGCTCCTCTGGTCACTCACACCATTCCGCTCGGACTAACAGCCTACGCCTGAACACAACTCGCCTGCTTGGCACTACGCCTATCGAGTCCCCTTTGATTCCCCCTCCTGGACTCTTCTTGCTGGGACCGGTCCCGTCCATCATTCGGTGCTGGTTGACTGATACTTTCACTAATGGCTCTCTCCTCTACGCAGCCGTTTGCTCGGGCTCTTACGTCTCAACTTTGGGTCTCTCCATGGTCCGCGATCTCGGGGTGGAGAACATAATCGTGCGCGAAGGCGATGTACAGTACATCAAGCTTCCGCTCTATCTTCCTGAAGCACTTATTCATCCATCTTCGTCACGCCCCGGAACCCCCACTCACCAAGTTCCCGCCGTGACCATCCGCTTTGTGGTTCGCGAGACAGAAGTCGGCGATAACTCGATTCAAATCATCATTGGAAGCGATGTGATGCGTGCACACAATGCTGATATTCTATTCTCGCAAGATAAACTGATCATGGTCGACGATGAGCATAACCGCGTATCTGTTCCCCTCGTGCGTCCCGAGAAGGACTCCGTGTTCAAGTCTCTTTGCACTTCTCCTGGTACTCCTAATTCTGGAGACATCCTGGGACCTCCTACTAACGGAAATCCATCCGTTGGTGTCATTGGCCGGCCTGCCAATGTTCAACAAAAACCGGCCTCTGTGCCCCCATCGACTCGTCTGCCTGGCAGCGAGAATAGCGATCCTCACAAGTCCAATCTACAGAACCCCCAGGCTCATGCTCACACTTCAGCTGAAACGCGCCCAGCCGCTGCCAGTCCACCGACTTCTGAGCCTACTAAAACCGAGGATATGCCTTCTTGGAGCGGCCCATGGCGTCGCGATGCCAAGAAATCCACCAACACTGCCCAGAAGGCGACTGATAAACGCGAGATGAAAGTCTTCCGCACCGGGAAGTCTACCAGCCACGCGAACCCCACGACTTCGGCCTCGGCTCCTAGCAGTGCTACCACTGAGCAGGCCAATACTTCTGCCCACCACCCAAATACCCCTTCGGACAAGCATGGTACGCTGAATCCCGTGGGTGGTGCATCGGCGTTTGGATGGCTCAACCCACCCCATCACAACGCCTCGTCCTAGATGAAACAGACTAGGCTTGGCTTTTATGTTTGATTACATCCGGATCTGAAATGATCCCGGTTTTACAGCATGATACGGAAGGGTTGTGATTCCCTAGGAATCAGAAAAAGAAAGTGAGAATGGGATCAGGCGCTGGGTTCCAAGGCTGCCAACAGAGAAGGGAAACCTTTTTTTCTTTTTAGCTTGTACGGAGTAGTATTGCCGGAATTGATAGCAACGGACAGGACCTACTAAGTAACAAAAAAAGAAATGAGAAAAAAAAAAGTCATGGTTACCTCTCAATTCCCATGGTCAATGCCCAATATCAACTAGAATCCCATCCCACTTAGTATATAAACCACCTCATCGTCCATACGTTCATAGGTACGTCTACCTAATCAAACCCCCCGGCAGGTGGACCCTTGGACGCTAGTAAACATTAGTAACCAATAGAGCGAGCCCTGGAGCCCTCCAGAGCCCCCTCGAGGCCTGGAGCCTGGAGTGCAAAGTTTATGATGAAAAAAAGTGGCAGGTCAGCTTCTGTCTGGCAAAGTTACCATCGTTGTCTTCCTCGGCCTTTGTTTAACATCACTGTCAAATTTGGAATTGATCAAGATCTGGAACCACTGGCCCTCGAGAGCAATAATAATGGCATGTCTGCTGGATCTTCCAGCTGAAGTGATTCTAGCCATCGTCGACTACCTACAAATGGGCACGAAGCAGGAACCACTGCTATTCCAAGACCTTGGGGATGCCTACCGCTACGCGATCGAGCATGATCCTTCACCGAGCGTCAAAGACCTTCATTCTTTCCTACTCGCCACCTATCACCCGAATGGTCTTCTTCTACAGCCATTGTTCTATCGTGACATATTTGTCCGCCGATATGGTCGTGTCGGCGAACCGGTTCCGCTGCAACAGCTAAACCGGAGTCTCGAGAAGGACCCGAGTCTCCAGGAACACATAACCTCGGCGACTGTTCCATGCGACGACTCGATTCATGATATCCATCAGTTCTTTTGGTTCTCCAATATACAAACCCTTACTATTCACAAGTTCAGTGATTGGGAGCCATTGGAATTTGCAAACAACTCACATATTGGCACTTCGCCCGTCAAATGTCTAAGACTGATTGATTGTGGGGCGCATGAAGAGGCTCTAGCCGCTGTATTAAGCTGGCCGACAGCTTTGAAGACGCTTCACTACGATGCCGAGCAAGGCGAGTGGGAGGGCCATTACGGGGACGAGCCAGCCAAAAGCTGGACATGTGCTGCTTTTGTGCGCACACTGCAACCGCAGAAAACAACGTTGGCTGAACTGACAATGACGCGGCCACCGCTTGTCCATGAAGGACTGGGCAATGGGCCTCGCATTGATCTGAGCGAGTTCACGTCCCTTAAAACTCTACGCATTTACCACGTCTTTCTCTGTGGATGGGATGATCCGTATGGGGTCTGGAGTGGCTTACCTCGCAGTCTGGAGGTGTTGGAGGTCTTTTACGACGATACGGACCTCACTAATTTCCTATGGGAGAGTGATGAGTTACCACCGTACGATCCTTTTGTTCTTGATTTGATCCAGCATAAGAGGACGCATCTTCCATATTTACACACGGTGACTATCCGCTCGCCTAAAGCAGTCTATGATCCCGAAACAGATGAGGAACTGCCTGCGGGACTCTGGACACTGCCATCTTCGCTCGCGCGCGAAGCTGAATCCGCTGGTATAAAGCTGAATGTGTGGCTGGGATACCGGGATGGTCCAGATTTTGAGAAAACTGACGTTTTTGAGTTACTGAAAATCAGTTAAACAAAACAATCTATTCAACCAAGCAAAAGGTGGCAGCTACATGTAGCTATATATCATAATGCATTCTCCTAGGACCTCCAGTATAGAAAGTCAAGTACTAAGTCACATCAAATCAAATCTTCGAAAAAGCCCCCAAAGCCCCCTTCGTACTCTCCTTCGTATCCTTAACAAGCCCACTAACAGCCCGGAACGCCTCATGCGAAGCATCACCAAGAATTTCAAAAAGCACACTCTCACTACTCGTAACAACAGCACCAGCATCCCTCAATCTAGCAAGCGCGATCCCCCTCTCCTCGGGGTTAATACTGCTAACGCCGTCAACGAGGATGTAAACGCGGTGGCCGCGCTCGAGGAGATCGAGCGTCGTCTGCGTCACGCAAATGTGCGTCTCGATCCCGACAATTATCACGTCGAGGGGCGTCGAGTCTGCTGCTGGGAGCAGCTTCTTGATCTCCGGGGTGATCATTGAGAAGAGGGTTTTGTCTACGTCGGCTCGAATATGTGGGCCGTTCAGGTGTTGTTGGAGTTCTGGAACGGTGTTGCCGAGTTTGGCGCGGCTTTGAGTTGTTATGAACACGGGGATCTCGAGGGTTGAGGCTGCGCGGAGCATTTTTTCTGTTGTTGAGACGCTGTTTGGTTGGTTGGCTTTTTGGTTTCAATTGGGTTTGGGATGTGGGATTCGTACAGTTTGGGGAACTCGTAGATTCCATTGCGGAATTTGTCTTGGATGTCGCAGATGCTGTCGTAGGGATATTTTGTCAGTTTTGGTCTTGATGCTATCTTTGTTTGATGCTTGGTGTTCTGCATACAAGAGTGCGGGATTGCCTGGTTCAGTGTTAGTGACTTCCATTGCGTTGATATTCGGGGGTGTCTTACGGATTCGAGATGCGCGCGTGGGGGCAGCCATGATTGCGAAGGTTTGGAGGTATGTTCTAAGTGATGATTGAGGGATTCCGGTAGAATGTAGAAGTAGAAGAAGTGAAGACCGCGGGAATTGGCGGGGACGCGGGGAATCGGAGAAGTCGGAGATGCGGGGAAGCTACCGAGGGAAGTTGGGCCGGTATACTTCATATGCATTGTCTTTGGGCTTTTTATTATAAATTTCAATCATACATGGTCAAATTTTTGTACTGGTATGTACACATCGCTCGTCTACTAATCTAGATATCTATAGCTTCACCTCATGCACCTTGGCCCGGCCGGCAAACCAGCTGTCATCACCATTTGCCGCCGCTGTGCGGATAGCGTAAAGCTCGTCGACGAATGCCGGGACGAAGCTGCCCGGGCCGCGAACATACTCTTTGGCCGCTGCGTTCTCCGCTGCGATCTCGTACATGAGAATTCCAGACAGCACTGCGAGGAGTCTGTCGGATCGGTGGGCAGCCAAGAAGCAGCCGGAGATTGTGCCGATGGCACAGCCGGTCTGTAAATTGTTGTTAGCTGTGTACTAGAAAGAGGGATTTGGAGAGCTTGCGTACTCCGGTCACTTGACCCAGGTATGAGTGGCCGTTCTCGACGGCAATGACCCGCTCGCCGTCGCTGAGGTAGTCTGTTGCTCCGGTCAATAGCACAACGTTTCCTATATGAAATTAGAAAAAGCGAACCACGGCTAGAGACTCCCGGGTTACTTACGCTCCCTGCGAGCTAGATCCCGAGCCAAGGTGGCTTTTTGATTGCCGTCAAGGGTACTCGGTCCGCTGTCGACACCGCGCTGTTGAACAACACTGCTACCCCAAGTTTGGCGAATCTCGCCCTCGTTACCCTTGATCAGATCAAAGTAACCCCCGGCCATAAGCTGAGTCACTGCATTGCGGCGAATGTGTGTTGCAGCCGCACCGACTGGGTCGTAGATCACTGGGTTGCCGCGCTCATTGTATGCCTTAATAGCTTTTAAGTAGTTTGAGACACTCTCGCTGGTCAATGTACCCATGTTGATCAGAAGGGCGCCATCAAACTTGCACAAGTCCGTGGCTTCATCACCGTACGGAGCCATGATGGGAGATGCGCCACTGTAGAATGGTTAGCATGGAAAATGGCTTGGCTAGGTGCAATATACTGACATAGAAAGGGCAACGTTGGCCACGAAGTTCGACACAACGAAATTGATCATGTTGTGTACGAGAGGATGCACCTCTACCATCTTACGGACGATTTGGGGCACCTCATTCAACAAGGCCTCGGCCTCGTTAGCACGAGGAGGATTGGAAGCCTGCGCAAACCGGGGAGGGTTTCGGATGAGCTCGGCGAATTTCTCGGCAGAAGCTTTGGGGTCATCGGCTGCCACGATGGCGCTGACAATGGCGACTCCATCTAGTCCTTTCTTTGGTGACTGAGACTGATAGAGCACTCGTTGCACGTTGGAGTGGTTGATACCGCCGATGGAAACAGTGCCAATGGCGGAATCTTTAATGGCATCTAAGATGACTTGAGTACCTGCCGTCCCGATGACTGACTTGGTATTGGTTTTGCTATGGATAGTTAGCGTTTATTACTGGATGGTGGGATACTGGACATGCGGACTTACGTAGGGGTGGCAAACATTGTACCGATTCCGATATAGTCGGCGCCATCTGCGGTAGCCTTTTTAGCCTCCTCGATTGAGGACGTACTGATACCAATAATGGCATTCTCGGGAAGAAGCTTCTTTGCTTCCGCGAAGTCTATATTCGACATTAGTACATGTATCTTTGTATAATCGTATATAGCAACGAACTCATATCATCTTGACCTAGATGCACGCCCTCGGCACCAATAGCAAGAGCCACATCGACCCGGTCATTGATCAGAAGTGGCACATTGTATTTCTTGGTTACCTGGTGTAATTTGCGGGCAGTTTCAACCAGGAGACCAGTGTCGTTTGATTTGTCCCGGTATTGCACCACCGTCACGCCTATGGCGCGGGTTAGTTGAATAATTGGCAGGGAAACCGGAGCACCACTCACCTCCTTGCAAAGCACTTTCTACCACTGTACATAAATCTCTCCCCTTGAGAATGGCCGGGGTCGAATCCGTGACCAAATAGAGCGACAGATCTACGGGCATGGTGTCTTGGCCTTGGGCCGGACAAAGGTGGGGAGTTTCGGAGTAATAAATCCGAGGTCGTTTTGACAAAGAGAATCAAATCGAAATGAAGAGCAGATTGGCAGGGTCAGCAGGCTATACTCGTACAACACAAGACACCGTACTTAAGTGACCGAAGGAGATTGCCGATTACCGTTGTGTGGCCGTGGTGGGGTCTTGGAAGGTTCGGGCTGTACTTGTCCGGGTGTATTACAACATTGGAAATTGACTTAGATCACTTATATATGCTTCAGTATTGTCAAGGGTTTATTTTGAAACACAAATAGACTTAAACTTAAGAAAGTTCTCTTCAAATCACCCGTTTGCAATACCCAAGATCTTCCTTGTACTATATTCCACTGTCAATGGTCCTTTATACTCCGAGTTATTTCCGGCACGTGCACGCTGACATAACCGTGATTTGTTCAAAATTCTGCTTTTCCTTTTCTTCTTCCTTTCCCCAACAACACACAAACACTTCCAGGCATCGAGTTATTTTCGAAGCCTTTATCTATCCACCGCGTGGACTTTCAGTTCTACGCTATTCATTTTTGATCGGTTAGTTCGGCCTCGCCATCATCACTTGCCACCGTCCACCAGGTCTCCGACCTCTGACTCGGATTCCCCAAAGAACTTCAACCGTTCCCAGAAAGCAACACGTTGAGAAGTTTCCCGCGAACTTGTCTATGTATTCGTCCTCCGTCCAAAATTTCGAACATCACCTGCCGCTCAAGCTGCAAACGTTTCGCGCGCCGAAACCTTGCAGCATACACCTTCGATCCTGTGGCTGAATACCCCGGATCTTCCTTCCTCGATTTCTTGTGACTTTTCCCTAAAGAAATCACAATCTTCCATACCCCCAAAAAAAGAAACTTGACACGCATGTCTTGTCTCGTCAACAAAATCATCATCCAGAATCCTCCCAGCGTTCCCTTAAGCAAGCCCACCGTTCCATTTTAGTGAACCGATCGCTCAATTAACCGTCATCATGGCCACCGTCAACATTCGCCGGGATATCACCGATCCCTTCTATCGCTACAAGATGGAGAAGCTCCAGGCCAAGGTCGAGGGCAAGGGTAACGGTATTAAGACCGTTGTCGTCAACCTGAACTCTGTTGCTCAGTCCCTCAGTCGGCCTCCTGCCTATCTCATCAAGTACTTCGGATTTGAACTTGGTGCTCAAGCAAACGCTAAGCCCTCCGACGAACGTTGGATCATCAACGGTTCCCACGATGCCCCCAAGCTCCAGGATTACCTTGACGGCTTCATCTCCAAGTTTGTGCTATGCAAGAAGTGCAAGAACCCCGAGACCGACGTCTCTATCAAGGATGAGAAGATCACCCTGGACTGCAAGGCCTGTGGCCAGCGCTCTGATGTCGACCCTCGCCTCAAGCTGAGCACCTTCATTGTTCGCAACAACCCCAAGGGTGGCAAGAAGGAGAAGAAGAAGTCCCGCCGCGAGCGAAACAAGGAGAAGGCTGCCAATGGCGAGGATGCCAGCCCCGGCGACAGCAACAACTCCGAGAATGGCGATGAAGACTATGCCCTCGAGGCTAACAGCGATGATGAAGTGACCCGTCAGGCCCAGGCTATCGCGGCTGAGGCCGAGATCAAGGATGATGAGTGGGCCGTTGACGTTTCCGAGGAGGCCGTGAAGGCTCGTGCCAAGGATCTCCCCTTGGACCTCAAGCGCGCCCTTGTTATTGAGGATGGTGACGATGAGGGAGCTGATGGACCCTCGTCCTACGAGCAGCTGGGCAGCTGGATCGTTGAAACCGCTGCTGAGAAGGGCGGTGTTACCAACGTCACTGATGTTGAGATCTACATGAAGGCCAAGGAGTTCGGCATTGAGACCAAGCACAAGACTGTTGCCGTTCTGGCCCAGAGCATCTTCGACCAGAAGATCGCCAAGCAGATTGAAGGCCGCGCTGGTTTGCTCAAGAAGATGATCACCTCCGATCGTCATGAGAAGGCTTTCCTCGGTGGTACCGAGCGTTTCGTTGGTCAAGATCACCCGGAGCTTGTCGCCCAGGTCCCTGCTATCCTGCTGGGCTACTACCAGAACGACCTTGTGTCTGAGGAAACCCTCAAGGCGTGGGGTGCTAAGACCAGCAAGAAGTACGTCGACATCTCGACCAGCAAGAAGATCCACAAGGCTGCTAAGCCCTTCATCGAGTGGCTCGAGAATGCCGAGAGCGACGAGGAGAGCGAAGAGGACAGCGAGTAGACGGTAATCGTTGCGTACGCTGTTCTGTACCCTTCGTTAATTGCTATCTGCTTTTATTCTTAGATTGAACACGGGGATTTTTGGACCTCTGTCTGATCTACCCATCTCGCATGGGGTGATCAGTTCAGTTGTCATTTTAGTTTAGCTCACCAATCGTCACTCCTTCCTTTACAATGAATATCAATATGGTATCAACTATCCAAGTTTCATCCACATTAGTTGCACTTAAATACCTTTACAAGTGAGTTAGAGCAAAATACAATATAGTCATATCTCATGCCATGCAATGCTATGAACAACGGAAAGCAAGAACTAGAACGCCACCTCTGCAAGTCTAACCTGCTCCCCCTCGCCATCGAAAGGGAGATTGATAGCACCACCACAGTTCCCAGCATTGCCTGTAGTAACCACATCTGCCCTCAAGCGATGCCGCATAAAGACAAACCACGTCAAATCCACATTCCAAGCCTCCATCGCCCGAATCGCATCCTCAACAGAACCCATACCTTCACCAGACGCATCCTCCACAGACATAGAAGTCCTCGAAGAAATGAAATAATACTCCGGCCCGACAAACAGCGCAATCCAACCACCAAGCATCTCGCAAATCCTATCACCCACTTCCAACGGTAACCTGACATGCGAGAGAACCGTGATAAAGAGGGAGACCAACGCACGCCACAGACGGTGGTGCGGCGTGAAGAATCTCGACCCCGGCGTTGAGGGCGAGAGCGAAAGGGACGAAGAGAGAGCAAAGTGCAGCGTGGACGCCAAATCTCCTGATTCAGCGGCAGTCACAGTCACAGTCGTAGCTTGGGACCTGGCACGACGCTCGTTCGCGGCCTCGGCGTCGGCGCGCACTTTCTCCCACACGCGGCGGTACAGCCGGTCCCAGCGGGAGAATTCGGTTTCGACGCGCGTTGCCATGAAATCACCTGCGCCTTTGCACATTGCTTCCATCGCTTCGCAGGCTGTTACCGTGACGAAGGTTTCTTCTTGATGGTCTGGGGTTTCGGGGTTGCGGGTTGGTTCTGTGGATGGGGTTGCGATGAGGGATTTGGATGTTTCGTTTTGTGATGAGGGGAAGATTATTCGGCTTGCTACTGTGGGCCAGAGCTCGTTGATTAGAGGGAGGAAGCTGGTTTCATTTTGGGATAGGGCGGGTAGGACGTCGATGAGGATTGAGAGGAGGGAGCGTCGGAGGTAGGGAGATGGTGTGGTTAGGTGGGATGGGATGGATTTGACGATGTGGAGGAGCAGGGCATGGGTTTTGCTGAGCGGCTTCTCGGCATCTTCTGGTTCTTTGGGGGGTGGGAGTGGCGGCTCATCCGATTCAGCTTGGCTCAGAAGCTCTTCGATGGACGGCTCTGGAGGAGGTTTGTCGTATGTTTCTGACCATGGCTTTTTGGGATGGGGGATTTTGCCATCAGCATCCGCTAGTTCATCCTCAGCATGCCGTTTGGCTTTGCGGTTGGCAATGTTCGCGGCGATGCTTGAGATGGAGAGATTCTGGTATTGAGACTTGCGGTTATCGTGGGAGCCATTCTCTTTGCCCTCGTCGATTGTGAGTAAAGACGGTTTCTTTGCCCCTTCCTCAACGACTGCAGCTAGGGCTTTGAACATCATCTCGACGAGTTTGGGATAACCGTGGTATAGATCCAAGATACCAAATATAGAATCAACCAGATCATCCAGATAAGGTATCAACCGGGCACCACAAAGCTTGATCATCATAAACAGGACCTGTGGCGGATAGGGTGATACGTCGAAGGTATTAAGCTTCAAGGCCACCGAGTTCACCAAATAGTCCACGTTTTCAATGATCATAGCACTCGTGTCTGGGTAGTTGCAGGCATTGGTCAAGATATTCAGACATGTCATGGCGTGGCGTTGAAGATTAGGGTTTTGTGATGCCAACAACTGCAAAGTTGGGTAGAGCGCGTCCATGAGTTCAGGTCGGAAAGCCTCGCCAAGTTGTTGCGATTGGAGAGCGACGGATTCCAGAGCGAGTGCTGATGTACGCCAGTCACCCATTCCATCAACTGACAGTTCGTTTAGAATATTCAATGAGATATAATACAACTCTTCAATCATGCCGCCACGGTCAGTTGATGAGATGGACCCCTCAACATGATCAAGAGAAATGAAATCGTCAAAGCTGGCTGTTGCCATAGTGCTGTCCCGCAAGAAAGTTATCGCCAACCAGAAAGGTGCAATAGCAGAATCACTTGATGTCGTGTGCATACGGTTGACAATTGATTGAGTGATCTCATTTCCAGACTCAGACAAGTTCAATCTAGTAATCATTGACCGTAAATCTTTGAGAGTTTGTTGTTGGCTTTGGTGTTCCAAAATTATGGGTGGAAACACCTTAGATCTAGCCTCGGTGCTAAGCACTTCCCAGTTGAAGCTAGCATCCATTGAGGCCAACGGCTGGAGAGCGTTGGTGTTTTGTTTCACAACGGCACCAACGCTATCACATAGGCCGGATGCCAAACCGCTGGTAAGCAAATCTGATCCAGATTGAACTTGAGACAGGACCTGAAAGACGGTGGAGATCTGACGAAGCCCCCACTGCTTAGCAGTTTCATCGTTGCCTTGCATAGTTCGAGGGAAAGAAGTGAGCCAGGTATGCAGCGATTCTTTTAAAGAATCCAACACTGTAGGGTATGTGGTGGCAAGATGAGTTACGTTCTTGTAGGCTTCATTCACTCCCTCGTCCTCTTTATCTGCCAGAACAACAACTGTTTCAACCATAATAGGGAGAGACTCTGAAAGTGTGGTCTGGCATTCTTCAATTACCATCAGGGAAAGGTCTAGAACGGCAGACTGAACCTCTGGTCGCTGATGACGGCGAACCTGGATAACATTGGCCAGCGCAAGCTTGATCTGCGTTGTGGTGGCCTTCAACCAGGCCTCATCCAGAGCTATCTTATCGCTTCCCAGTTCGGGCGGAGAGACTTCCGAGGCGACACGGTCATTGAGAACAGCTCTTAGGAGCTCGGTGAGAATCTGCAAGGAAGTTTGGAGGAGCTTGTATGACCTGCGAGTCTGCGTTGACGGCCTTAGAATCTTAGCCAGTGCCGACACAGTTCGCGGCATGATGCTAGCAAGCACCACGCGGTCGGTGACTCGAGCATAAAGTGCTTGCAAAGCTTTGGCGGCTGCCAGGCAGAGCTCATCTGATCTATCATCGACAATTCCCTCAAGGAGAATATATACTGTTTGATCGACAACCGTCGCTGTGCCGATCTCGTGATAGATTGTCCGGTCTGGAACAGCTCCTTCCAAGACCGTGAAGATAGCACTTAGGCAGTCAAACCCAGCAATACACAGTTCTTCTGAAACCTTGGGCTTCGGTAGTTGCTTTTCTTCCGCCTTGTTTGGAGAACCTCCGACGATCAATGTCAACAGGATTATGAGTTGCTTGCCCATTGCAGGAGACAACCGTTGCCGCCACCCATTGGCGACCAGTATCCGCAAACAGTGGACGGCGGACTCCAAGCATCGTGCGGGTAGTCTTTGTGTTTCATTGAAGATATGCGACAATGGAAAGAATGCATATTCAGCTAGCTTCTCGTCGAGCGTATTGTTCCCCGCAAGTTCCTTTAAACAGTTGTGCACCGGCTCAAGGACTCGGGATACATCGGCGGCGGAAGCTTGATTTCCTCGGAAACGGAGGCCCACAGCACTGAGTTCGACGCATGGCGCTCGGAGCTATTCAGAGATCAGAGCTGTTCGTCCTAAGAGCCGAATAAAGTATATCATACCTGTTTGAAAGATTCCTGCCGGAGGTTGTCCATTGCAGCCGAATAAGGCCGGGCAGCGTCAGAGTTGCAAGATAGTAGGTTAGGTGTCGAGTAGTACTAAATCATTCAAATATCAAGAGCCCCATTGTAAACACCATGTAGCGGACCCATCGTGATCGAATACAGCGGGACTGCATCCCAAAACTGCACCGCTTTGTCATGATCTGCCTGCATAATTAAGCGGTGAACATAATCTATCCTAAACGGGTAAGATAGCACTGCACGTGATGCGTTAGCGCGTCTCAACGCGTGGGAAACCCGACAGCTGCCTGCGACACAGAGTAACAACCGGTGTTGCCTTGGCTATTTCAATTGCGGTTCTGGTCTGCTCGGACTATATATTGGGCCATATTCCGTGTCCATTTGACTCCGAGAGGAACACCTATGCGTGTGTTGCGGATTACAGAGCTTGCGCTTTTATCGCACTCGCGCTCAAGACCTAGCTTCTGCATACGATCTGCAGGACACTACAATTTCTTGGCCACACCAATCTCGAAGCTTTCGACAGGCTTGTCACCTGCCAGTATTACAGCCCAGCGAAATTCTAATTTGAACAAAACAACGTTCTCACCATCGCGAATCATGGCCGATGATAAGAGCAGGAAACAGGCTACCCTGGGGTATGTACAGGATGGACAGCAGACGATTGGGTGCGTCGGCAATATTCGATGGCGCATGCGCCCTTTCACTCTGACCTTTCTCGGGTCTTGTTTTCGTTCACTCCGCTAATTCATTCTGTTCGTCATGTAGGAGGTTTTTCGGCTCGGGCGCCAACCAACCGCCGAAGAAGCAAACCACATTAGCTTTTGGTGGAAAAAGACAAGCAGCAGGCAGTGATGCCGCTGATTCGGAACCCAAGGATAACACCGATGGGGTTAAGGTGGAAGACGCCACCGACCCAGCACCAACTGCTGCCCTCAATGGAACAGAGCCAACGAAGGGTGTGAAGCGGGAAAAGAGCCCCGAGGCGGAAGAAAGCGATGGTTCCGATATTCAACCTGTCTCTAAGAGACGACGAAAGGCCTCGGCGAAGACATCTCCAGCTGCCAAGAAGCAATCGGCATCCCCGAAGAAGCCCGAGTCTACAAAGCCAAAGGTCAAATCGCCATCACCAAAACCAGCCATGGAAAAGCCCTTGGATGTTACTCCTGAAGAGAAGTCACCGTCAGTAGAAGAAGAAGAGGACCCATTGGAAAGCGAAGATGAAGATGACCTCAAGCCGGAGCTCACGAAGAAATCAATCGAAAAGTTCCAAGCCAAATTGCAAGCCAGTGGTAAAGATCCATACCCAGACTGGAAAGCAGGCGCTCCTGTTCCTTATGCTGCGTTATGTACCACATTCTCTCTGGTAGAGATGACCAGAAAGCGCTTGGAAATCACGGACCACTGTTCTCTTTTCCTTCGCCAGGTTCTTCGCCTGACCCCTGCCGATTTCCTACCCACTGTTCAGCTGATGATCAATAAACTGGCTGCCGATTATGCCGGAATTGAACTGGGTATCGGAGAGTCCCTGATCATGAAAGCTATTGGCGAATGTACCGGCCGCAGCCTTGCCGTCATCAAAGCCGATCAACGGGAAATCGGAGACCTGGGACTGGTCGCTGCCAAAAGTCGGTCAAACCAGCCTACCATGTTCAAGCCCAAGCCTTTGACTGTTCGAGGTGTGCATGAAGGCCTTCTTGGAATCGCCAAGGTCCAGGGCCATGGATCTCAGGACAAAAAGATTTCAGGCATCAAGAAACTGTTGGCTGCAGCCGATGCCGACACTGCTGGTAAAGGAGGCAAAGGGGTGGATATCACCCAGGACAAGGGCGGCCCCAGCGAAGCCAAATTCATCGTTCGCTTTTTGGAAGGTAAGCTGAGACTGGGACTCGCAGAGAAGACAGTTCTTGTCGCTGTTTCTCGGGCAGTCCAGATTCATGAGGCTGAATCAGCCGGCAATAAGATCCCGTCCGCAGAGCAAATGGCCGAAGGTGAAAACATCTTCAAGACTGTTTACAGCGAGCTTCCTGCCTACGAAGTAATCATTCCTGCCGTTCTTGAGCATGGTCTCATGAAGCTGCCTGAAGTGTGCAAGCTTTCCCCCGGAATTCCTATTAAGCCTATGCTTGCCAAACCGACAAAGTCTATCACTGAGGTCCTTGACCGGTTTGAAGGGAAGGAATTCACTTGCGAATATAAGTATGATGGAGAAAGAGCCCAGATCCATTTTGTGTCTCCGGATTCTATCCACCAGTATCCTGGAGCTTTGGACACACTACAGAAGGACAGCAAGGGACTCTCCTCAATCTTCTCCCGCAACTCGGAAGATCTTTCGAAGAAGTATCCCGATGTTCTAGGCAAGCTTGACACATGGGTCAAACCCGACGTTAAGAGCTTTGTTCTTGATTGCGAGACTGTGGCATGGGATACGGAGGCCAAAAAGGTTCTTCCATTCCAGCAACTAATGACTCGCAAGCGCAAGGATGTCAAAGCGGAAGATGTCAAGGTCAAGGTCTGCGTCTACGCCTTTGATCTGCTTTTCTTCAATGGAGAGGTAAGACCGTTGTCTCTTTAAATTTCATATCAGAGCGATTCGCTGGCTCCCTCTTCTCTTCTTCTTCTTCTTCTTCTTCTTCCTCGCAATTCAGTGTTCTCCCCCATTTATGGTGAGGGTGATGAGGGAGAAAAGAGGCACACCGAGTCGCTTTGAGCCATACTTAGTTGTTCTCGCTAACCTTTCAACAGCCCTGCGTGAAGAAGTCTCTACGGGAGCGGCGAGAGCTCATGCATGAATGCTTCCAACCGGTTGAGGGGGAGTTCCAGTTTGCCCAATATGGCAACTCTAATGTTCTCGATGAGATCCAAGAATTGCTCGAGGCTAGTGTTAAGGCTTCTTGCGAAGGTCTTATGGTGAAGATGCTTGACACAACAGAGAGTGGCTACGAGCCAAGCAAGCGCAGTCGCAACTGGCTGAAGGTATGATGCCGTTGTTTGTTGATTACTTTAACCGTTGCTAACATTTGTATAGGTCAAAAAAGATTACCTCGCCGGTGTTGGTGACTCTCTCGATCTTGTCGTACTCGGAGCCTATTATGGTCGTGGAAAACGTACTTCGGTTTATGGTGCCTTCCTTCTCGCTGCCTACAACCCCAGCAGCGACACATATGAGACCATATGTAACATCGGTACTGGCTTCTCTGAGGTGCTACTTGAAGAGCTACACAAGACACTAGTTCCTTTGGTAATTGACCGACCAAAGCCATTTTACACTCACTCGACTGTCCCCAAGGACCAACCAGATGTTTGGTTTGAGCCAAGACTGGTGTGGGAAGTCAAAACAGCCGATTTGACCCTCAGCCCACGCTACCAAGCCGCTGCCGATGAGTTCCAAGGAACAACCGGCGGTGGAAAGGGTGTGTCTCTGCGTTTCCCGCGATATATGAAATCCCGCGACGATAAGAAGCCAGACGAGGCTACTACCACCCGTGCTGTGGCAGAGATGTATCGGAAACAAGAAGCGGTCACCAAGGAGACTACTAGCAAAGGAGGTGTGGATGATGACTTTGAGTATTGAAGCGATTTTGTCAGGCGCACTATAGCGAGTGTAATTGAATTCATTGGATATCGATATTACCGCGCAGTTGTACGCATTTTCTAGAATGGCACCATTGCCCAGATGGGGTCATTAGGGCCTAGCATAGTGCCACTTGTAACCTTCCTGGACATCCATATGATCCCGTGACAATGATAACTCGTAAACATTAATATATTCGTATACTTTGAATTTAACCATCCCGTTCTGATACAAAGCCCCTGTTGATCGGCATTCAATACCATGACCTTATTCTATAATTCCGGCTACCAGCGGAATTTCAGCGGACTCCGGATGCTTGGCGCTGCAAGCCAAGCAGCCGGACCCTGCTCGGGCCCTACGTCGGCCTACTTCCGCCTTTCTTTGTTCGCAGCACGTCTTGCTAGGGCCTTGGAAGCGGCCGAGAGCTCGAAATAACATCATGCATATCTGTCTTGGCACCGAGGAATGTAACATGCCCCCCTGGACGGCAAGTGCCCTCCCCGCTATGTCTACTAGCTCACTGCGCGTGTGGAGTCGCAGCACTTATATTTCAGCGACGGTCCGGAATGTAGCCCATCTGGTTGTCTGCACGTTTCTCTTGAGCTGTGTGGGTGCGTACTTGATTTTCGATATGCGCGTGTTTCAATTGACGACGGCCCTCGGGTCGATCATCGTTTCTGCGGTAGCTCTTACTCCCGAGTCAGTGATGATCTTCCCACCCGATTTATTCATTGTACTTCTTGGCTGGTTGCTGATTTTCTTTGCAGACAGCTTATCGCCGCCCCGAGACGGGGTGTGGCTATTCCCAATCCGTCAGGAGTAAGTTCCACTATTGAAGGTAGATATCGACAATGTTATTGACCTGACATAGGAAGTCGCACTCTTTTCAACCTCTGAATATTCCTTCGAGACCCATGTTACATCATCATGGTGGAGCCTGTTGGATCTGGAGACTGGAAAAGTGACTCAACTTACCAACGACAGCAATGTCTCCGAATTGACTTGGCTGGGGTCTACTGACTCGGGTCTGTTGTATATCAACGGCACTAATTCTGAGATTCCTGGAGGTACCGAGATTTGGGTATCAGATACCTCTGATTTCGTCAATTCGTGAGTCTACGTGCATATTTGGATGAAACGTTCCTAACTTCTGTGCAGTGCCTACAAGGCAGCTTCCCTGCCGGCGCCACTTTCTGGCCTCAAGACGGCCATCACTAAGTCTGGAGACATTAACTTCTTGGTGTATGGAGAGTCCTGGCCCAATGGAACGGCATACAATAAAGAGCTTGCTGCCACGCCTCTAAGCTCGGCACGTATCTACGATAGTATCTACGTCCGCCACTGGGATACCTGGCTCACGACAAGATTCAATGCTATCTTCTCGGGGACCCTGAAGAAGAAGAGAGCCGGACAAGGAGCAACATCCCAATACATTTCCAATGGATCTCTCAAGAACCTCGTCGCAGGAGTCAAGAACCTCGAATCACCCTACCCGCCATTTGGCGATTCGTCAGACTATGACATCTCCGCCAACGGAAAATTGGTTGCATTTAAGAGTAAGGCGCCTGAATTGCCACGTGCAAACAACACTGCTTCATATATTTATCTTGTACCCCATGATGGATCCAAAAAGGCCGTGGCCATCAATGGCCCAGACAGTCCTGGCACACCGAAAAACATCAAGGGTGATTCGAGCAGTCCTGTCTTTTCCCCAGATGGCCGTCTCCTTGCATATCTCCAAATGGAAGATATCTCCTACGAAGCAGACCGTCGCACTGTCTACGTTTACACCATTGACTCCAAGGATACTATTCGTACATTGGCCAAGAACTGGGACCGGTCACCTGAGGCAATCAGGTGGACTGCTGACGGGAAAAATCTGGTTCTAAGCAGCGAGGATTCTGCGCGCTCTCGACTTTTCTTGCTGCCCGCCAATGCTGGTAATGATTTCAAGCCTAAGAACTTCACCGACGGTGGCTCGGTGGCTGCTTACTACGGCCTGCCTAACGGAGACTACCTTGTTTCTGGTTCTGCTATCTATACTAGTCGCACAGTTTACACTGCGAAGCCTGGCAAAGGTATCACGGGTGTTATCTTCTCTGCCAACGAAGTTGACCCCGCCTTGAAGAGCCTTGGTCCATCAGACGTTGATGAGTTCTACTATAAGGGCAACTGGACAGATGTAAGTCTACCGTTTTGTCATGGAACTGAAGAGGTATTAACGTTATAGATTCATTCCTGGCTCATTTACCCCTCGAACTTTGACAAGTCAAAGTCATACCCGCTCCTGTTCTATATTCACGGTGGTCCTCAAGGCTCTTGGGGTGACTCCTGGAGCACTCGGTGGAACTACAAGGTCTTCGCTGACCAGGGATATGTGGTTGTCGCGCCTAACCCAACTGGCAGCACTGGATTTGGTGATAAACTCACGGACGAGATCGCGAACAATTGGGGTATATCATTCCCATCACTCATTCCCGTTGTTACCTTCTAATGATCAACAGGAAGCTACCCTTACGACGACTTGGTCAAATGTTGGGAGTATGTCCGGGACAACTTCGACTTTATTGATACCGATCGCGGCGTTGCAGCTGGCGCCAGCTACGGTGGTTTCATGATCAACTGGATCCAGGGTAATCCTCTCGGCCGCGAGTTCAAGGCACTCGCCAGCCACGACGGCACATTTGTGGCCGATGCAAAGGTATCGACTGAGGAACTGTGGTTCATGGAGCATGAGGTATGTGTCTTATTCGTGGTATTTGCTCGGTTCGTATACTGACCCTTCCAAAGTTCAACGGCACGTTCTGGGACAACCGAGACAACTATCGTCGATGGGATCCATCGGCTCCAGAACACATTAAACAGTTCGCTACCCCACAGCTCATTATCCACAGTGATTTGGATTATCGGCTTCCCATCTCTGAGGGTCTGGCGCTTTTCAATGTCTTGCAAGAGCGAGGTGTTCCAAGCCGGCTGCTCAGTTTCCCTGATGAAAACCATTGGTAAGTACAATGGAGCCTTTGAATGTGAATGCATCATCAGAGAGTCAATATAGCTAACTCAATGGCACCGAACTAGGGTCATCAACAAGGAAAATAGTCTTGTCTGGCATCAACAGGTCTTGGGATGGCTCAATAAGTACGCTCGCATTGACACCCCGGGTTCTGTCAGATTGGATGACACTACAATTCCTGTTGTGGATTATAATCCTGAATTCTAGGTCTCGTTTGTTGCAGATGAGGGTCTTCTGCATGTTATGTCTCAGATCCTTTGTTTCAAGATATTTGTTTCATAAATATGTCTTTCTTCACAGTTTCTATGCTGTGTCAAATTATATACATGAACAATGTAATCATCACAATTTAAAGAGCCTTTTTTTTTTCCTTGTGCTTTGTGTAATATGGGCTGGTCTGTCTCATGGAATCTGGCGGATTACCAACAGTACATATATAAACTTCCCAATTGCCTACAAACTTTTTCCACCTGGGCAGCAAACGCATCACCTCTCAAACACCTCACCACTTTTCCAACTCCTTCTCCCCAAATTTTGTCTTCTCTGCCATCTCTCAGTTTCATCAACCTCCTCTCCCACTCATCAACAACCATCATGCCTCCTAAACCTTCCTCCCGTAAGGGCGTCAAGAAGGGTATGTCCCATACTTTGTCCCCTCATCCATCATCATCGCCCATCCGAAAGAAGCAAAAAGGTATACGATCAGCCATCCTAGAGCGAGCTAACAGCAGCTCCCCGCCAGGAACCCCCAAGAAGGAGCCCTCTACCGGAACCCAGACCCCAAGTGAGTACTACAATCAGCTTACAGACCTTCAACAGGCTTTCCTCGATAGCACTACACAACATACCGTTTCTAACCTCTATTCCCCCGGTGCAGAGATCAAAACTGAGATGCCTTTCCCCACTCCTGCTTCTGTCGCCAATGATGAGAACGAGAGTGAGTACAGTTTTGACTTGACTCCTGCCCCAAGCCCCATCTCAGCCCCGTTTCCATGTACCGAGGATGATATTACCCTATGTCATGCTCCCACTGCTGATCCCACTGGCTACCCTATCTTTGTTTCCCGAAATGGACTCTGGGACTGGTATTATCTTGCCTCTAACAACAAGACTACAGAGGCTTCCACTACCCCTACCAATGATACGACCAACGGAAATACCAAGAACAAAAATAGTGAGTTTGCCAATGGTCTCAGTCTTTCCCCGAATCTATTTCCCTGCACTGAGGACGACATCACCTTGTATCCTTATTCCAACCTCGGTTCCAATTCCGCCAACAGTCCCACCTTCTCTTCTCAAAACGGACGTTGGGAATGGATTTTTCCCCCCGCTAACACGGATATAGAGTCATCCCCTCCTAAGGTCAAGATGGAGGACATCCCCGAAGCCAACCCAAGGATTCAGCGACCGAGCAATCCCGTCTCGGCCACATTCTCCACCGCCGACCTGGACCGCTTCGTCTTCCCATTCGGTGGCCCCGACAGCGACGATGATATCTCTTCGGTGCCCTCGCTGGTTGAAAACATGGCCGAACAAGCCAGGACCGCGAAGCATGTGAGGTTCTTCATGAACACTTCCCACGACAAGCACTTCGTCCCCATCGAAGTCCCCCCTCTCACCGGCAACGAGAACTGGGAACTCTGGCTGGCTGCCATCCGTCTGCTCTTCCGTCAGCACTCGGTGTGGCCTGTTGTGACTGGGGAGCTTCAGCCACTGTCTCCTGGCCACAATCTGTATCTGTGGTACCAGCGCATGTGCGATTGTGCAGTGGCCCTTATCTATGCCAATGTCTCTGAGGAGGTCCGCAAGACACCTTGTTTTATCAGCATCGCGCTCGAAGATGATGCTGATATGTTGATGTCTCACCTGTATGCTCACTATTCTATGCCTGGTTATGGTGGTCACACTCAGGAGGAGTCTGAGCTTGACTAGGTGGGCTGTGCTTGTGGTTTGTTTTGAAAAGGACTTTCGTGTTGTGGGGTGCACATTGCAATATGTCCATCACCTCAGGGTTCCCTGATATCTAAGGGAATCTTTCACCCGTCTTACCCAGATCTTTCGATACCTGATCTTTGATGCTCTTTTATTTCATGAATTTCAACAGATTGTTTAATAGTTTTCTTATGTATTCTTACCTTGGTAGTTTTAAGTTGTGATTTGAACGCAATTCGGAACAAGTCCAGACATTGTCTCAATGGCAAGGATAGACGCTTCTGTAGGGATTATCTTTCAATATAATAGGGTTCTAATAATAAGCGTACTAGAAAAACCCTACCAAAGGCTCTCATGCGTACTTGACTTGATAGTGCTTCCCTTTGCTTTCATATCTCTTCGAACGTTTTTCTATGTCTCAACGTTTCAATGTGTCCACTTTTTTCCAACAAGACAAATGACTCCAACTTTACAATATTAAACCATCATAATATGTAGGGTGTAGATCCATAGTTACCTAATGACCTATAGTCCACTAGAAGGGGCTCATTTTAGAACAGTGCAGTTGGCCCGGTTCCAATCACATATCTGTAGGCGAGAACTCCACGAATATCGCCCGAAAGCACAGAATTTCGGACGATCTTCGGAATAATTGTGTTATCAACTGGACTCCAATGCACCTGGGCAAGACCCAAAGCTTCTTGGTAGATTAAACAGACAACTTCACCACGAGCTTTGTATTTATAACAAGCATCGACATCTTCTACACTTCACGTTGACGAATAAAGCTACGCAAATCGCGTTGTGACAATATATCGCTATCAAACCATACATCTTACAGCCAATGGCTCCCTTTCTTATGAACAACCAAAACACAGTCGGCGAGACACCACCGAACGCAGTACCAGAAAATACAGCAGCGGCTGAAATTCCGTGCGCTGCTCAAGTCACCCATTCGGATCAAGTTAAGGATCATGCTATCGATACAGAATTCCTTATTGTTGGCGCAGGGCCTGCGGGTGCAGCCTTAGCTTGCTTTCTTGGCTCTCATGGTAAGTATCCAGGTTGAGGCGACTTTGGATTCAGTGCACTAAAATGCGAAGGGCTCAAGGGCATCATGATCAGCAGTGCGCCAGGGACAGCGAACACCCCTCGCGCACATATTACCAACATGGCAGCACTCGGTCAGTCATGGGTAGATCTTGAAGTTACGGCAAAAATACTAATATACCTATTCAGAATGTCTACGAGATATCGGTCTATATGAGGAACTCCAAAAATTGGGATCTACGGGCGAAGAACATATGCAACACACCAGATGGTGCCACAGTATGGCAGGCGAAGAATACGCGAGAATTGATTCCTGGGGTAATGACCCGAGACGGAAGGTAGGATTCAATTACCCTTCCTATTGTTGCTTTACTCTTCCAGGAGATGGGCCTGAGTAGTTTGTTGAATAAATCAACTAACAGTCTGAAGGGTGACTACGAACTGGCGAGTCCATGTGAACCATTTGACCTCCCACAGACAGTGATGGAACCGGTTCTAGTCCGCCACGCAGCTTTGAAAGGCTTCAAATGTCGTTTCCATACGACACTTGTTTCGTTCGTCAATGAAGAGAAGACTGGGTTGATCACAGCAACCATCCGCGATGACATCTCAAACCACGAATACCATATCCGCACCAAGTATCTGTTGGGGGCCGATGGTGCCCGCAGCCAAGTGGTGAAGCAACTGAATTTGCCTCTCGCAGTTTTGCCGGGACAAGGTATCGCGATCAACGTGCTTGTCAAGGCCGATCTCTCCCATCTTATCAAGAATCGAACGGGCAACCTCCATTGGGTGATGCAGCCAGATCGCGAGCACCCTAACTTTGGCTGGATGGGGATCGTTCGCATGGTCAAGCCTTGGAATGAATGGATGTTCATCTTATTCCCAGATCGCAGCTATGACCGCTCTAAAGACAAGCCCTCTATGGAGGAGTACCAGAAGAGGGTGCAAGAGTTTATTGGCGATGACACACCCGCCGAAATTCTCGATATCTCATCCTGGTTTATCAATGAGATTGTTGCAGAGAAGTACTCGGAAGGTAACATGTGAGTGTCGCCCCAGTTAATCTGATGAATGAATTATCTCTGATGGTATATCCTGCTTGCAGCTTCTGTCTCGGCGACGCTGTGCACCGTCATCCCCCATTGAACGGTCTGGGCTCAAATACGTGCATCCAAGACGCCTTCAACTTAGCCTGGAAGCTTGCCTATGTCTGCAAGGGCCTCGCGTCCCCGTCGCTTCTATCCACTTACTCCAGCGAGAGACAGCCTGTTGGTCATTCGATCATCACCCGAGCAAACCAGGCGCTCCGCGATCACTTGCACATATGGGATGCGCTCGGGATGCTGCCGACGGATCTTTCTGAACGGAAGCAGATATTGGAGGCTTTAAAGAGTGCAACTCCACAAGGATCAAATCGCCGCCGTGCTTTGCGCGCGGCAATCAAACATACCTCTCATGAATTCAACGGGCTGGGAATCGAAATGAACCAACACTACGAGGGCCAAGGAATCTATATGGCTGACGAAGCACATCCTTATGAGCAATTTGGACGAGCAGTCGAGGACAAGATACTGTATCATGAACCAAGTACATATCCTGGCTCACGTTTGCCGCATGCTTGGCTCAATAAGGCGACTCCGGAGGAGCCTATCTCGACGATTGATCTTGCTGGCCATGGCTCATTTATACTTTTGACTGGAATTGGAGGTGGAGCGTGGAAGGAAGCGGCGGCAACAGTTGCCGAGAAGCTCAATATTCCAATTCAAGCATGCTCGATTGGATTCAGGCAAGACTGGGAGGATGTGTACTTTGAGTGGGAAAATGTCCGAGGTGTGGAAGAATCAGGGGCTGTATTGGTGCGACCGGATCGATTCGTTGCATGGAGAGCACCAGAAACTTTGCAAGACTGTGAAGCCTGTGAAGGAAAGCTTCTCATGGTTATGAGATCCATTCTGGGATTTGAAGACCTGTGATGTGCACTATATATTTGTGTGACCGATACCCTGCTGTGGCAGGAAGCGATGAAAATTATTAGCATCACCTCATTCATGAACTACCAAGGGATCAGCAGGCCAGGGTAGGCTGACATTCCTTATTGGTTGGTTATTGTGCTCTTTGAATCTGCAGTGCTTCCTTCCCCTTTGGTCAAAGTAGCGGGACCGGTGTATCGTATAAAACGTGAAATATTTCAATAAACGACTTTAAGGCATGGGAATGTCTGTATTATTGTGTAATATAATACAATAGCCGATCTTCCAGTCTTCATACAAAATTGGAAGCCTATCATTGGGCTCTTAAACCCATCTGGAGATCCAGATTCTCCAGAACTTGCGCAAAAGTGTGGGGTTCGGTCTATCTTCGGTGTGTTTTTATGACTTCCCTTTGTTAGCATCAAGCTAATAATCCCTTACCGCCAGCAGTGACCTGTCCAATCAGTACCTACTAACACTAGTATCTCAAAGGACCTTTAGAATACATACAACTAGGTGTACCCATGGATTCTTTCAAATTTCAAATCTCAATCCGATGATCTAGGTCAATACATACAGAGCCTACAAACCCTCATTCAAGAATGCCGAGATCAGACTTGGCTTGTCACTCATGTCGCAAGCAAGTGTCACTCGTTCCTCGGAGAAAAGGAGAATCCCATTCTAACAAGTCGTATTAATTGCTAGACGCAAGGTCAAATGGTAAGTGAAGGGTTGGATTAAGGAATTCTCATCTACTTCCAAGATTGTGAAGTAACATCTGGGTAGTGACCGGGCAGTACCTCAATGTGAGGTCTGTGTACAAACAGGCCAAACATGCAATTATCCGCTTCAGCCGATGAAGCCAGGGCCCAAAATTGGTAAGGAGTGACCGTATCTGATCATAGGCAAAAGAAAAACAGTTAGAACTACGTTGACAAGATTCAGGGTCTCTCCAAAAACGGAGAAAATATCGCCGTTCAAACGACACAGCCGAAAATCGGCACCTTGACTTTCAGTCAAACCCACCATGTAATAATAACCTACGGTCGGACTATGGTGACCTCAACGCCCTCAATGATGAGTCTGAGACAGAAGGGCTGGTCCCCACTGATTATTTGGAGCCAATGCATGGAACAAAGACACATGAAGGCGATCGACCGCAAACTTCACATTTGAATATACACGATCTTTCTTACATACTCCACCCGTCTCATGAATCTACAACTCCCAACCGGGATCAAAATCAGAGCCTGTGCTTTGATGATGGGGGACGGGACGGGCTTTGCCGTCAAGCTTGCACAGAACTAGGTGTGTCACAAACTATGATGAATCAGTTGTAAGGACCCGGTGACCCCGAAGCTTCAACCAAAGTGGAATCTAAAACAAACTGGTTATACCCGACAGGATTCGACTCTTCTTTGACAACATGGTCGCCATCAATATTTTTCATGAACCTTCATTTGCGGAAAAGCTTTCAAGTACTCCTTCTCTGTGTCAATTGAGTGCCCTTCTCGCTGCCATAGCTGGGTATGCCTCACGGTTTCTTGCCCCGAGATCAAAAATCTCACCTCTCGATGAATCTCGAACCACTGGAAAAAGTCATCAACATCCTGAATATTTCGTTGGCCGTGCCTTCGATTACGTGAACAAGGCTCTTGTAGCTTGTGATGATGAGACGCCACCTCTTTGCGTTCTCCAGGCTCTCATTATCGCAACGCAGTGTCAACTGACTCGAGGGGTTCGCGGAAAGGCATGGAGGTCTCTCGGGCTGTGTGTTCGTTTGGCATACGAAATGAACTTGCATCGTCTTGATTCTAGAACGGGTTCGAAATCTGGCGATATCCACCAGTGGCAAGCGGATGAAGAAAAGCGCCGTGCCTTTTGGGCAATCTGGGAAATGGATGTCTTTGCCAGTACTATTCGTCAGACACCAACCGCCATTGACTGGGGACACATGGAGATCCTACTGCCCGTTGATAATGCCAATTGGTTCCAGGGCCGTCCAACTCCCAGTTGCTTCATGGACGCCGACCCAAACCAGTGTTGGAAGGCGCTCCAGGAGAGTGGCAACCAGTCTGCCAAAGCATGGTTTCTGGTAATAAACTCTTTCATGAAAGTAGCCCAAAGCATTTCTGATCCCCAACGGCTATCCGCTATGGGAAACCCGGGCCACTACCAGCCCGACCACCGCACCCCAGGATGGGTTGAGGAGGGTTGCCAAAAATTGGAGAAATTGGGGAACGCAGTACGTTGCTTTAGTCTGGCTTTACCATGCCATTTGCGTTATCACGATCAGTATTTGGCCTTTGGCGCGCCGGTACAAGGGCAATTGGAATCTCAACGACAGCAGCATTGTTCTTTATACAATATCTTCATCATGACACAGCTTGTTTGGTTGATGATCCACAGATACGATGCATTCAGGCCTCAAATCCGTCAGCCCGAAACCAACTATTGTCACCGCTCCGGAGATATCGGCGGTGGGGTTCTATTCAGCCCGCATGACACCGAATGTATTGCACAGCAGCAATATTATGAAGCAGCTGATCGAATCTTAAGAATCGTGAGTCAAAGCTGCGAGGAGCATATTCAACACATCAATCCGTTCCTTTCCAGCACCTTGTGGCTTGCCTCCGCGGTGCAGCTGGTTCGCAAACACTTTGCTCGAGCACCTGCCAATCGAAGCCTGATCAAATCGCGGTTCGACGTTCTATACATGACCTACAGGCGGTGTGTTGACTTTTGGGGCACCCAAACCGCTATGCAGCGGAATCTGGAGTCACTCGAAGAGCAATTAGAAGCTAGGAATAGAAAGATGGATTCTCGTGACAACCAACCTTCGTCAGACCACCAGACTAGCCACATCGAGCGCCACGCGAAAAGGAAACAAACACACCATACCGTATCAAATACCATGAAGCAAGCCAATGTCTCCTGTCTTCCAACTAAGAGAAAGCCCAAAAACATGCCTCCTCAATATATACCGGAAACACCCACCATTCCTGTCGAGCCCTCAGCATTGCCCGATGGTGGACTGGATATTACAGTCCAGGGCTATGCGAGACAGCACTCGGCTGCAGTAGATAGTATGGCGATGCTGGACATGATGCCTCCTCCACAACCCGATGGGAGCCAGACTACTGGGACCTGTGTGATGCCTACTAACTCTGATTCTCTTGATTTAACAAATATGGGCTACGCCCACAATGATCAGGATTTTGAATGGCGCGACTTTGATCTTTCTGGTGGTATACATGATTTGCTTGCTGAGTGGACCACATACTAACCTCATTGTCTTGAGGTTCAAATTATTTTGTCTTTGACGTGTATTACTGTACTTTAAACTCCTTGCGTCTATAACAGACCTTGATGGCACATTTGTTGACGCCATTGTGGACATTATACTGGCTGCAATCGCAATCGAGCCTGCTATGGCATGTAGCAATAGTCAGAAGTGGGCGTCTTCAAAAGAAGGCAAAGATCTCCTGCCCCTGAGCAACAACCGAATGCAAGCAATGTTCCAGTACAAAGGGTGCATTTATAGCCGGCCTTGAACCCAACCTATTCGAGATTCTCGGTTTGCTTTGGCTTTCCTTTTCAATAAATCGACCGAAGAAAGGCCGCGCGGGATAATTTCGCGCAAGTTTACGACCCCCATTCCACGATTATAAATGCGTCCTAGAAAATTAATTAAACCAGCCTTTTTGAAGGTTTTAGAGAGAAGACTCGGACCATTCGAAGATAATAATTGACTACACTCCATCAAAAGAATCTTTGCCCTTTGTCAAGCATTCCAAAATTCCGAAGTCCCAAAATGCCACGCTCAAACAATACACCTCGAATCAACCTTGTTCGCATCGCCCATGTCTTTTACACCCACAAAGACATCAACAAAGCGCATGAATTCTTACTGGACTTCGGTTTCCATGAAGTCAAGCGTGTGGGCAAGGACATCTATTATCGCGGCACTAGTTCCCAGCCATTCGTGTACTGTGCCCGACATGGCGAAGATGACGTGTTCGGGGGCGCAGCTTTCGTCGTGGAATCCGAAGCTGATCTTGTCGCTGCACAAGAGCTATCTGGAGCTACAAAGATCTACGACTTGACTGATGCGCCTGGCGGTGGTCGCTGTGTCACTTTCCACGACCCCGTCGATGGTTTCCCTTTCCACCTGGTTTACGGACAAACACCCTATGCCGATGAAAAGGCGTTTCCTCAGCTAGATTTCAATTTCGTGAGATATTCTTACCGTGTCTATTATTTTTCTGTCGGATATTGTTCTGACTTTCTCTCAGCCGACGGTGAAACATAGGCCGGGTAATAAGATGCAGCGATTCGAAAAGGGTGAGTGGATGAAGCAACTCTACAAATTTATTCCTCGTCCTAAGATATTCGAAAAAAGGCCCTGCTCCAGTGCACAAATTAGGTCATTTTGGAATGTGTGTCACAGATTTCGACAAGGCGTTTGACTTCTATACCTCTCGATTCAACTTCAAGCCGAGTGATGTAAGTTCCCCTTAGACTCAGTCTCTATATATACTGATAAGCTATTTTTCTGTGCATCAAAGCTGGTCCATGACGCTACCGGAAGAAATATCACTACATTCCTCCATTTAGATTGCGGTTCTGAACTGGTCGACCACCATTGCTTTTTCTTCTTTGAAGGTCCCAAGCCGCACGTACATCACTCGTCATTTGAAACACATGATTTCGATACTCAGGTTCTGGGTCATGACTGGCTGCGCAGCAAGGGGTATGAAAACTGTTGGGGCGTAGGACGTCACATCATGGGGAGTCAGATTTTTGATTATTGGTATGTTTTATTCTATACCACCATTCTTTTGGAAGTAAGCTCTGACATTTGTATAAAATTAAAGGTTCGACCCTTCTCGCTTCATCATCGAACATTATGTTGATGGTGATTTGGTTGATGGTCAACACCCCACCAATCGATCCCTTGCCTCGCCTGACAATTTGCATGTTTGGGGTAGGTCTTTGAGCATGATAGGCTACTATCTTATGAAGACTAATCCGATACTAGGCCCGGATATTCCCCCTACCTTCCTGCAGTAACTTTGGATACGTGTTTCTCTCTTTGCGGTCGTGTCAGGAACGTGTTCGCTACCTTCCTAGGCTAGATAGGTAGTACGTGAAAATACAACTTGGTGTCATCGTTGAGTCTAAGATGGGAACCGGGCTTCTGGTGGCCTACTGTAGTAGTTCGTGTATCATTTTGAATATCAAAGGAGCAGCTCCAAGGGACTCGATCCGTATTCACCGTGGTATGATCTAAGTTATCAAGAATAGAGTAAAGCGCTCAATATGTATCGGGAAAAGGGGAAATCGGTGTGAGTTGGTTGTTCCACAACAGATTTCCTGGTACCCGGCCCATCCCGGCCCAAACAATGCAGAACCCTTGGACTGACGGAGGCGCGAAATTGGGCCGAGAAACATACCGAAGATCGTCCGAACGAAAGTGGTTTGCATTGATCTCAGCACTCCTCGCGCTACACGAACTCATGTCGATCTAGTAACCCGAATTCCCTCAAAGGGTGGTTAGTTCATGTCTAGCTAGATTTCGGTCGAGTGATTATGTGAGTCCTCCGGGTCTACTACCATTTTCTGTTGATATTGAAAACATAGAATGCATTAATGCATTCAAGATTGCAATTTATGCGGTCAATTCTCCCGGAAAGATAGACCGAAGTTGTCCCACAACCAGTTGTGGAGATCTTATATCAATCTATCTTCTTTGTGTCTTCCTTGGATTACAAAAGGCCATGACGCTTCGCGCTTAATATCTCTCCTTTCATTATACTCTTCCAGTCTGATTCCCGTTCATCATCTTTTCTAGGACCAGAACCCTTCGCAACATGTCTCTCAATTGGACAAACCTTGTCAGGTTCATAAGCGAGGAGGATGGACAGATTCATCTTGGCGAAGTTGATACCAGGAAGTATCCAGACATTGGACTCGCAGTTTTGAATGGGGAAATAATTGCGGTTAAACTGATCAAGGGATCAGTCTTCGACGGTGTTGTAACTGAGACCACTGTGCACGTTGCACGAGTATGTGCCCTGAATCTTTAACCTCCGGCACCTGGTATTGAACTAACCGTTGCTCCCGAAAATAGCTTTTGGCCCCTATTGGGACCGAGGAAGTGCCCATCATCCGGTGCATGGGGCTCAACTACCGCGATCATGCTAAAGAGGCGAACATGCCAATCCCGGATGTGCCGGTCCTCTTCATCAAACCCCGTACGGCACTCAACGGACCCTACCCTGCCAAGATCAACGTGCCGAAGATCGCACAGGACGGCTCCAGTGACTACGAGGCAGAGCTTTCAATCATATTGTCCAAGTCAGGCCGAGACATTCCCGAGTCGGAGGCAATGGATTATGTTTTGGGATACACCTGCAGCAACGATGTCAGTGCTCGGACGCAGCAATTCAAGAATAGCCAATGGTGCTTCTCCAAAGGTAAGAAATGGCAGATGCTTGTGTCCTCAGTCGACAAAAGTTCTGAACCTCGACCTGACTTTTGATACGATGGAACAGGTCTTGACGGATCCTGCCCGGTAGGTCCGGTGCTTGTAGCTCCCTCTACTATCGGGAACCCGCATAATCTTCGAATCAAAGCAATTCACAATGGCAAGGTGGTACAGGATTCAAATACCCGGTGAGTTCTATCCAAATGGGCGACTATTGAGGCCTAGGCAAGCTTGCATGGTCACTAACCATACTGGCTCGAAGGGAAATGATTTTCGATATTGCAAAGACAATCGCATTCCTATCCCAAGGCACTACTCTGGAAAAGGGCACCATTATCATGACTGGAACGGGTCCTGGTATTGGGGCTATGCGCAATCCTAAGGTTGTTTTGAATGATGGTGATGATATGAGAGTGGAAATTGAGAAGATTGGAACTTTGATCAACAAAGTTCACTATGAGTAAGAGTTTCTTAGTAGACCATGTATTACTGAAATTTGACCACAACCAATATACTATGCTACACGAACGTAACCTCCCTCTCGGAATCCCGATATAAAAGACCTGACCACGCCGTGTTCAATTTCTTTCTCCTTCACTTCTCTGTACTTTCTCCTTCCATTCTCTCTAGTTACGTTGCATCTATCACAATGAACTTGTAATTTCGCCCATCCGGACTCTCGTATGCCCGCAGTGGTCAAAAGGCGGCAAGATGTGAACACTAAAACATAAGGGGAAAGGCTTCGAGTGTCAGATATTATCCGATTTATATATATATTTATGGGCTATAGCATGTGATGACTCCAAACCCCGATCTAGAGCCCATTCAAATTCTTCTGCGCCGTAATAACATTCCCCTTATCCACAAAGTCTGCCAGCACCACATTCGGCGCACGCCCATACAGCCCAGAGCATAGCGCCGCCTGAGCGCCAATACTACCAGGCCCTGTCGCAGCATTAGTAATGTCTGCCCTGTGGCGAGCTGGAATCTTTACGCCGAAAACATCGACATCAAGGAAATGATTGACAATGCCCATACGGCCTGTAGCGGCGGCACCAGAAGGCCGGTCGATACTGCAGCTCGAGAAAGAGGCGTCTGTGACGTCGTAGGCTGTCTCAAAGTAATAGGCAAACTCGTCTTGAATGAAGTTCACTTTTGTAGTGTCGGCGCCGTAGTCTGGAAATCGTTAGTCTCAAGATATAGCCTATGTCTCTGTGGCAGGTTATTTTTACCCAGGAATACGACCAATCTCTTTCCGCTAGATATCATATCACCTAGTGTGGGCCAGTCTGCAATTGGTAGCGGATTTGTAAAGGGAACATAGGCATAGTTGGCAATCCCGCTGCTGGAGAAAGTGTCTCCGAATTCGGTGATGGATACCGAGTCTCCGTTTGTTAAGAGAAGACTGACGACTTCGTTTGGGTTTGCATCCAGCCAGTTTTTGATAGTTGTCAAGAACGATCTGAGAGGTCCTGCATCTTCGAGCAAGCAAGATGTATGGCACAGCTCTATGACGTTCCTATCAAGGACGGAATGGTGTGTTTGCACCTGCAGGTACCGGATTCCCATGTCGAGTTGGGCTTTTATATCGATGTTTTGGTTCTGCTGTGGTAAGGGTCCGACAAAGGCGGAGTCGTGGGAGCCTACGAATGTGATATTTGAGTAGGACCGGGTGCAGTACTCAGAGCGGCCATTGCAGGTTGTCGCGGCTAGGGTTGACATCGATGGAGTGGTCGAGGATATAGATACCGAGGACTGAGATGCTCGCTGTACTAGTGTTCCTGTCCCTGACGCTGCCAGCACAGGCTGGAGAATGAGGAAAGCACTCAGCATTGCACGTGCCAGTCGCTGGTTGATTTTGGCCATCGTGTTCGAGGTCGCTTTAGGCTATACTGGGTTCCGATCGAGAAGGCGCAAAGGGGCGCTGTTTCACCTTTTATGCTCTAAAACTTATTCCTGCCATCGCAGACATCTTGATAAATAACTGCTGTCTCCGGTCACGCAGGAGCAACATCTGCCCCCGCAAGAGTGATATCAGCTGCCCTTGCGACGGTGATATGCTCATGCCGATTCCTACACACATTCCACATGTCGATTCATGACCAAATAGGAACCCCAACACAAAAGAAAAAAAGCAAAGGAAATTGAAACTGACCATAATCACATCGACTGCGAGATATAACCCGGTGATAGTACATGATGATGGATATCCCAGTCTCCTCGTGACCGCAGTCACGCACCAATAGCAGGCCTCACCGATGGTCATCCCCGTTTTTTGGGGGGTGTGCCCCAGATTGTTTGATCTTAGAAAGACTTATCGTACATGCAAGTAATTTAAGATAGGGGAGCTTTGGTGTTGCGTTGGATCTTGCTGGTACTGGCCTCCTGTGCGGGTAAGGGTCGGGTTCAGGCGATTCGGTAGGGTCGAAAAGCTTTTGCCTGAAGTGAACATGGATGGTTTATTATTTTCTAGTGTGACAGACTTTAATGGTGCCACGGGACATCATGAAAAGGGTCCATCCTGTTCAGTTCCAAACCATTCACGTTCCGATGTAGTGCTCAGTCAGTTGCAGTCATCCATGGATGGACATGGATGATCGCTGCTTGAACGAGACTAAAATCGTTGCATAATTGATGCAAACTGGACATGCATATGAAGATAATGTTGAGGTTTATAGTCATTACCTAGGTAACATAGGTGTGATCGGTGGTTTATATGGTGTTCCGATAAGCGAATATCCTACATTATATCTAGTACACCTGCCCCATCGCATTCAAGTTTACTTAATTCATTCATGGACATCGGGATACCTTTGATGTTATTGAGTCTTTCCTTTTTCATCTTCATTTTACCAAGCCTTTTGCATTTTTCGCTAAGGTACATATTTATTGCTTCCCGAGGTTGGCTATCAGGCTATGACAGGCGCTGAATAGCCACGCAGCCTTACCTTTTGAACCTTCAAATGTTTATTGGCAAGCCAAATCAAGTTCTATCCCTTTCAAGGCTACCTAGTGTCATGCTTTGTCTCTTTTTTGGGCCCTTCATGTTGTATCACTGCATTAACACGGCTTGTGGGGATCACCGATCGAAGCGATGCCACAGAAAACCAGAGATTATCTTCATGCAGTACAACATATTCCATACCGGATAGCTATAAAGCTTAATTGTAATACAAGTTATCTCATCATGCAGATGTGGACCTTTCTCTTGTTCAAGCAGGACAGCTAAAATGCACCAGCACAGAATTAGAAACCAAGCGCATGTCTTCAAAAGGTTAATTGGTGTCAATGCTACAAGATTATTTGGTTATGATGTCAAGGCCTCGGTAGATAGCATCCTGTTCATCGACCTTGGAGTGACACAAAAAGTGGACTATCATTCACTTGCAGATACCCTGCATGAGAAGTGTAGTACAGAGTAGAGAGCATTCCTCAATAGTTACATATGTGGCGGGCCATTAAATGAACAGTCCAAATTTCGAGACTTTGAAATCTATTTAAGTACCAGACTGAGATCTCACATCCTTCTTATCGTTGTGCTTTATCATTACGATCTGGCATAACCTCGAGCTTCGATTTGAATCCCGCAAACATGTTCCAACCCTACAACCTTACTCCGTTAGACCATTTTTCGCCTCCAGGGCATTTCACTTTGTGTCTCAAGTTTAGTTTGATTGGCAAGGATTTTGTGCAGGTCCTTCGGCGAATGGAGGATGCATTAGCTCGTGTGGTCTCTGAATTTCCCTTTCTGGCTGGGATGGTGGTACCATCTACCCAGCCAGATGGTAGAAGCAACGTACTTCAGGTGCGGCCTGCCACTGCTGCTGAGCTTGAAGAATGTCCTATTCTGGTCACTATACATCATACAGAGCCCACTGCTCTCACTGTGGATGGGAAATTCAACACTGCCTTGATGCCGTTCCCAATCGTCTACCCACCATGTAACCCTTCTCCTGTGGTACGGTTGAAGGCTAATGTGATGGGAGACGAGTTGCACCTGGTCTTGTGCTTTGATCACCGAGTAATGGATGGGTCAGGGGTTTTTGTTTTGCTCTATACTTTCGCCGCGTTCTGTTGTGATCCTAATGCCACGGGTTCACCCACAACTCCACATGCCCAAGAAGAAACAAGGCAGCATATCGATGAAATTGCATCTGCAGCCACGCCGCAGGATCTTCAATGGACCACATTTCCTACCCCAACAAGCGAAGACGAAGTATCCTCAGATTTTAGTCGAGTGCCTATCAGTTCTCCTCATGTACTCGATGGCCTAAAAATAAAAATGCTGTACGACGCCTGCAATTCGGCTTTACAGTCTCTTCCTGCGAAATATAGGAAGGATCTTCCCGAGGTGTCCCTTCGACCGCGTCTGGTCGTCAGCGCCCTGGTTGGCACATGTAGCAGTCGCGCCCGCTCGAGGGCTTTCCCCGATGAGCAGGAACTCCCATCCGACATTTTCATCATGGAAAATACTCGAAAGGCACTCAATTTACGTCGGGGATATATGGGCAATACTATCATGGGCACCCAAAGCACGTGTAATGGCTCTGCGCATCCTCCACCTGAAGTCTTGCAAAATATTCATGTGCCAGAGCCTCTCAGCCCGATAGGGCCGGAAGATATCTGGCGGATCTGCAACGTTGCCCAGACTCTCCAGGAAGCATCTGGACACCTGGGCGAGCAGCATGCGCAGGGCATAGTCGCAACAATGTCCCGCGAACGTGACTGGAGCTCATTCCGACCCGGTTGGGGTGTGAATTTTCTTGTATCTGATATCAAGTCAGCATCGCCTTATGTGAACTTTGGGCCACTCGGAGACCTTCAGTTGTTCGACTTGCATTTCGATACAGCTCCTGGCTTTTGCTGGATAATGCCTAGTCTTCCGTCTGATTCTGCATCGCCATATTCATGCTGGAGATTGCGATGGAATTTGGAACGTGCGGCAATGGAGTGTCTATCGAGCGATCCCCTCTTCCAGTGGGCTTCAACTCCTAGTACAGTCTCCAGACAAACCAAAGTCTAAGCTAAATGAGCTGCTATGTTTTGTTGGTTGTGTTCGTTAGCGTTTGACGAACCACAAGACAAAGAACTGCGATATCGGGCGGGTTTTTCGGTTTTGGATGAATATATACACTTCTCGAGAAAATTTATATGCAAAAGTGCTTTACGTGTCCTTCATCATGAGATAAGTACGTCTGTGTTGTAGACTTTGTAACCTACATATGTATGTATAAGAGCTCTAATATGAGTATCTATTGCCATCCTATACCTGAATTGATGGGTCGGATGTGCGGCTTGCTTGTGAATTACTGTATTAGTTACTTACCTTTGTACTAAGACATCACGAATCTAAATAAGCTTTTCGGAATATTTTTTACTCTGTATATTAGGGGTGGTCTCCCCTATAGGTACAGGACGCAAGGGCTTGGTTATGATCGGTCAGAATTGAGATGCATCACAACTCTTGCAGCATTGCCCCTGTCACATCGGTGATGATTGACTTAAATCCTTCTGCAAGCCCTGAAGAAGTGTGATGGAGAATCTACTCAACATATTATACCCTACTACCGAGTATGGCCTCAGCAGTGGAATCTCACTCGGCTGCCACCGCGAATATCGCGGCCGTGATTCGCCGTTTTCACGACTCCAAAACCCCATTTCGAATCTATCATGGCTCAACAAGCAGTACACGCCAACGGCATAGTAGCTCGTCAAACACCGTTGATATCTCTGGTCTCAATCATGTGCTTTCCGTCGACCAATTCCGAAAGACCGTTCTCGTTGAACCCAACGTTCCGATGGACGCACTAGCACAGCACACCCTGGCATACAATCTCATCCCACTGGTTGTGATGGAGTTTCGTGGAATCACAGCCGGCGGGGGGTTCTCAGGAACCTCAGGGGAGTCGAGCTCCTTCAAATATGGCTTTTTCGACCGAATTGTCAATTCTATCGAGATAATTCTCGGCAACGGGGAGCGAGTGAACGCCTCCCGTACCGAGCAGCCCGACCTCTTCTGGGGAGCTGCCAGTAGCTTCGGTACAATGGGTGTTGTTACACTTTTGGAGATCCAGCTACGCGATGTTGGGCCGAACCCTCATCTGGAGTTAGAGTATTTGTTCGCCGATAGCATGGAAGCGGCACTTGCGACGATGCGACATGCTATATCTGACCCGGGCTCGGAATTCCTCGATGGGATTGTATTCAGCAAGAATGAAATTGTCATCTGCAAGGGTCGCATCAAACCACACCACCCAGGTTTCAACGCGGAGCCCGTCCAACGATTTACACGCCCAGAAGATGAATGGTTTTATATCCATGCGCAGAAACGGATGAATGAAGCGATATCGTCCCAAAGAATCCCCGTTGACTACATCCCAATCGAGGATTATCTTTTCCGATATGATAGGGGCGCGTTTTGGGGCGGAAAGTATTCCTTCGAGTACTTCCTTGTCCCGTTCACACGATGGACTCGCTGGCTACTCGATAACACCATGGGCACTCGCGTTATGTATCACGCACTGCACGAAAGCGGGCTTGCAAAGCAGTACATTGTCCAAGATGTGGGAGTCCCATTCGAGAAGGCAGAAGAATTTGCGCACTGGCTCGATGACGACAAGAACTTTGGCCATTATCCTCTTTGGCTCTGTCCACTCCTGACGAATGCGTCGAGTGAGGGAGGTGGGCTGCTGACTGCAACACAACCTATTGCAAACACAGTCACGAACGACGATAACAAGCAGGAATTCCTGCTCAACTTTGGTATCTGGGGGCCTGGGCCGACGGACCGACGTCAATTCATCGACATTAACCGCAAGTTGGAGCACAAGGCCGACTCCCTCGGAGGAAAGAAATGGCTCTACGCACACACCTACTATACTGAGGATGAATTCTGGACGATCTACGATCGTAAGCGATACGACGTCCTTCGAGAGAAATATCAAGCGAAAAGCCTACCGTCTTTGTACGAGAAGGTTCGAATGCAGATAGACGACATATCGCCTTCCTGGTCTCAGTGGCTGTGGAGCCTCAGGCCGTTCGCCGGATGGTACGGGGCATGGAAGGCTTTGGCCGGGGGAGACTATCTGATCAGAAAATAGTTGGGAAATATTTGCATATATTCAATTCACTCAATTCCTATCCAGGGGTTTTCTCTTTCTCTTGGGCCTCTGGTAAAATGCAAGACTTTCTCCGTCTTTGCCACTTCAATAAAATCAAACCCATAGCCCGCATTCCGAACTCCGGCCATTTCACATCCACGATCTCTATGACTGTGTTTTGGTGACATTGCCAGAGCAGAAAATCACTCAGACGGTGGACACCTGAGCTGCGTATCAAAAGGTCTGGGGCTGGGGAACCGATGAACATATTGTCTGACAAGGCTTTTGCTGTTATTTCACCAGTCGAAACACAACTAGTAGCCGTCTTGCTTATAGCCGTGGTGATCTCATCTCTGGCTGTATATGCTAGACAGACATTTAGAATCTTGCCCCGGTTGTTCTTCAGCCTATCCGCGGTCTCTTGGACAATCTTCCGAAAGTCCTCCTCTAACAATTCCACACGACCTACCACTCGTAGTTTAAGATCGAACTTCTTCACCAGTGGACTTTGTGGGGCGAATTGTGAGACAAAACCCTTGAGTAAGACCATCAGGTCATAAACCTGTTCTTTGGGTCGGTGGAAGTTTTCAAGGCTGAAAGCGTAGATCGTTATCACTTCTATGCCACATTCGAAGCCTTCATCTAGCATCTTCTCATCGTTACTTCGATATTCTGTACACATCGGACGTGAGAACTTACTTTCATCAGCGATTCGATTCCGCGCTTGTGTCCGTCCACAATAGGTAAATCGTGTTCTCTCGCATATCGTCGGTTTCCATCCATGATAAATGCCACATGTTTTGGAATAGGACCTTGCCGTATGGTATTCAACAGAAAGCCTCTGATATATGTTATGACAGGCTCCGCCAGCCGTTTGATGAATTGGGAGAACGGCATGAGATCGACTTCGCAAATAAGGATCTGAAATGAGGTCAGACATAAGCCAATGCATTTATAAAATCTTATGTTTATTGCGAATGTGGACAGACCTGTGTGCCCCTTATTGTTGCAATAAAGGCCAGTGCCTACTGTACGACACCTCTCACTGGATATATATTTGGCAATCCATATCAAACCATTACTACTGAAACAAAATATCTACAAGTAAATGTTTCTTCCAGTGGGTTTCGCAACGAAACCCCTATTACTACAACTACACGTATCACATGTCACATTTCACATATCACATCAATGCTAATACCATTACCTGTACGGTATACGGTAAAGGCAATTGTTTGAATTATCACATATAATGGGTCGAGCTCAGAGACCCCTTAGGGAATTGTAACCGCTGTGCGCACCATATGAGTGGCATTTAAGCAATCTGTGAATCGCGGTGTGTGTCGGTGGATCTCGGTATGGAGTAGATCTGGATCGGAAAGTGAGACATTGAAATCTCCCTTGGCTATCAGTACGTTTTGGGTGTATGAAGATCAATTCGTGTAGATCTCTACTCTCACTAAACAAGAAACTATCGAAAAATCCAGGTACAAACATGTACAGAGTACTCCGTACTCCTCGGTACATAACAGTGCCCTCACCTCCCAGCTCCACATTTCCGGTAAACCTTAGTTATACTAGCTTTCTACGTAGATAAATATGCAAGGGGAATCTTTAGCATAGGAATGATTTCTGCAGAATGGTCGTGTTACCCTTCCTGGACAAAAGTAAATATGGTAGACAGTATATAATGCCTTCTAGCTAATATCTTCTTCCGGAGCGAGGTTCAAGGCGCTTTTTTTTTGGAAGATACTACTTGTGGTTATTTTCTTATTCCCGCCATTATGAAGCTCCTGGCTTTTGCTACGACAGTACTCGGCTTTTCCAGCAACGTCGTGGGTGCAGCTTCCTCGAATCCCTTTGGCTCGGCCTTCGAATGCCTCAAGCTTAAGCAAGTGCTTGATAACATCCCTGTCAACCAAATCGCGAACCTTTTCCAGTCCGAATACTGCAGCCGTGGTTGCAAACTCCGGAAATCCGACTATGAACACCAGCTGCGAGCTATTGCTGGTTCTGTAATTGAGACCGAATCGGCAAACATGGGCGAGTCGGACCTGAGCTCGTCCTGGGTATCCTGGGTGGAGCACATCATGGACAAAACATACGAGACCTGCTTGGATGAGGAGAATGCGGACGAAGACTTTTGTCGGGATCCATCGAGACTGACTGGTTTCACAAAATGCGTCAAGAGCAATTTTTGGTTTGAGACTATTTCCAACCCTGGTCTCGTCCTTCCGATGTTTTTGGGAAGTGGTTGTGCGAACAGGGTGAAGTTTTTGTCGAATCCTGAACTATGGGATACAACACTTGCTGGGTACATGCGAAAGGCATCCGAGACCTGTTTAGGTAAGACCTCCATTCTGTTGCCTGTATATCCGCAAGAACTAAATGATTCTTTTCCAGCCGAATGAGGGAAAGTCAACTGCATCATGTGCGAACAACGTGCGAGAACACAGATGCGAAGCAACTGGCAGGTTATTGATCAAGCGGACGAGCCACTTCTATTAGGTCTACTAGATAGGTAGTTAGAACAATAACGTGGGTCTATATTAAGGGGGTGTATTAAGAGTCCTACATAGTTAATTCATAGTAATTAATATAGAATCGACCCCGGGGACTAGCTAAGAATCTTGAACTCCTACGGAATCGAGATTAGCGCTATCGATACAGTTTCAAATCACCTACACGTTTTCTCCAGGACTACATACAATATGTATCATTTGTATCATAGGAATACACCTCAATTCAGACCGCTTTTAACAAAATCAAGATAGAGTATGGTCAATTATTCCATATATCGGTCCTACGGAGCCGAAGATGCATGATCCTTGTCTGAAGACTAACATAGCTCTTATATTTAGAAAGTCTCGATACTCCAATGTTCAAGATAGAAAATTGTGAAAGCATAGATTTAAATCGGAGTATCGTATATATTTTTATATTTTTAAGTATTGTATAATTGTGAAAGCATGAAAGTGTACTCCGTACCTGGCAGCCACTTGTGGCTGGTGTTCGGCCCCTAAAACGGCCCCGACCCAGGCAACGGAGCTCTGAACTCTCATTCTCCACTGTGTTCATACCCCTCAAGCTCGACAACTCCACGCATTCCGGTCTATATTGTACTGCCTCATAATTCCCCTATTCTCCGAACCTCCCCGATCAATTCCACAATCGTCCTCCAACACGCCATCGCTGATTCGGCCTCGTCTCCACCCAAGCTACATAACGGGGAGCAATGGTCATTCGGAGATCTCGCTCATGAGCTCGATGGCTGAGGGCAGTGAGGGTTGGTCGCGCGAAGACGAGCTTGACCTAGGCCAGGAAAACGATCTCCAACAATCCGACCATGGCGCCCTCGACCAAACATTACCTTCCCCGCAGGAACCAGCGGAAGAGGTATTGGACACGATAGACGATGCGGAGGACCACGATTCTGAGAAGACAGCGAGACAGAATGATTTCAATTTCCCAGAAACCCCTCCGCCGCGACACGCGGACTGGACCGCGAGGGGGAGTGTGGATGGAACAGGGTCAAACCCCGACGATTCCCCATCGCTACATGTTAGTGGTACAATTGGCGCATAACCTGGATAGCTAGCTAATTGATGACAGGGCTCTATTCCGTCTTCCCTAAGTAGCAGTGCTCTCGCGCTCCGCGGATCTCCGCTAGTCAGCCCGAGCCCGGCCCGTCGCCCCTTTGACCTTCGCTTCCAGTCCCGATTATCTTCATCGCCGCAAAGTGTGTCTAGAGCCGGCTCGCCATTCCTAGCGCATCTTCACTCCCGGCAGTCTTCAATAACCAGCCAGCTTTCCCCGACCCCAGAAACAGAAGCCGAACCGCTCCAGGGGCCTTGGGATGTCGTGCGATGGACAAAGCTGCGGAAGATCACTGGGCAGGCGTTTTCGGAAATCGGGAAGCGCAATTTTGGACGGCCAACTTGCCTTGCAGTCTCCACGTCTATTGTGATAGGTACATCGAAGGGTATTATTCTCGTGTTCGACTATCAGCAAAGTCTGAAGACTATTATTGGAACGGGCACACCAGGTTTGTCAAAAGAAGCCTACACCCTCTGGGCTATTGTACTGATGATCACCTAGCTGTTGAATGCGGTACTGTTACATCTCTAGCACTTTCCGCAGACCATTCTACCGTTGCAGGGGGCCATGACTCGGGCGATATTTTTACCTGGGAGATTTCGCGCTCAGCAAAGCCTTTCCTTCATATCCCGCCAATTCCGGCCAATCAAGTCGAGACTCGAATATCTGATGGCCATCTTTCAGGATCCGCGGTCATTCATATCGGGTTTCTTGGCACCAGACGAACCGCGCTGGTCTCGGCTGACACACGGGGCATGTCATTCTCACACCTGGCAACAAGAGGAATGGGTGCAGTGGGGCGAACAGTCAAAACGACTCGAATCCTGGGTAGATATCCCCAGGCAACGGCAGAGACCAAGCGGCCGAAGCCTAGCTCTGTTCTTGCTTTCTCTCCTCTGCCACTCGGCAACGTAGAGCAATCCACTGATTCTTTGGGCCTCGTTGCTATGCTGACACCCTATCTTCTTGTTATTGTGTCTACCACACCAGTCGCACAAACCCAACACAAAGCACCGAGACCCAAAGAAGTTCCCGCTCACAGTGCCATGACCGGCGCCTTGTCATGGTTTCCAGCCATTCGACTGAAGGGCAAAGACTCCCAAACTTCAAATACGAAGCTTGTCTACTGCTGGTCAAATGTTTTGACCGTGCTGGAAGTCTCAGAGGCCGAGTCAGACGAAACTGCAGGCAAAGACAAGCCTCCCAGTCTTGCCTTCAGAGCACGTAGCAGATGGAGAGCAGATGAAGCCATTGTGGCTGTTCAGTGGCTCAGTCGTTCGGTACTCGCGGTGTTCACAATAACGCAGCGGCTCCTGATCATCGAGGATTATTCCATGCATGTGACCGACTCGGTCGATCTCGCCAACAGACACATATATCACACCGATCTCTTCTCGTCACAGCTTCATTCGCTAGTTGAACAACTTGACGAAGAGGATGAGTCGATGCACGGAGTAGTAGCAGATGCATTCCATATGAGTTTTCGTTCATATAAAGGGCGCTTGTTCTTGCTTGGTTATAACGAAGCCTTAGTAGGCAGTCTCTCAAATTGGGCCGATCGCTTGCTGGCGCTTATGGAGGCTGGTGACTTTATCGGGGCCATTCGATTAGCAACCTCCTACTATACGGGAGAGTCAGAAAAGCTGACGGTTGGGCTCCCGGAAGAGGATGTTTTGAGACAGCCCATTGTGCAAGAAAGGCTTTTGGAAATGATCTCCGCATCCCTCAGGTATGCTTTTGGTCGAAATTCCGAAGCAAGCAACGGCCGACTTGAGAACCAGCAGCTGGAGGAGCTAGCAGATGTCTCTATCGCGGCTTGTATCTACATGGCCGACGAAGAGTTCCTCTGGGAGGAAGTCTTCAACTGGTATGAGGAGCATGAGTCAGCGGGCATCTTCCTGGATGCCCTCGAACCACGCATCGTTGATGGGACTCTGCGATCACTGCCTCCGACCGCGGTCAAGGCCTTGATTAACCATTTTATTGAAACTCACTCGGCCGGTCGGCTGGAGGAGATCATCTGTCTGCTTGACACTACCACAATGGACATCGATCAAGTCACAACGCTGTGTAAGCAGCACAATCTTTACGACGCCTTTATATATGTATGGAACCGCTGTTTGATGGATTATGTGGGACCACTGGAAGAGCTACTACATCTGATTCCATCACAATCCGAACCCTTGGTCAACGGTGACTACGCGATTGACATGAGACGGCAGAACAATGCGATGAAAATGTTCCCCTATTTGTCATTTATCTTGACGGGTCGCATATATCCCACCGGAGACGACATGGACGAGGCTGAAGCCACGCGAGCCAAAACAGACTTGTACCAATTCCTCTTCTCAGGCCGTGGGTCCGGTACGGTACCTGGAGATACCAACGGGGCAGACTCATTCTCTCAACTTAAAGCCATGCTCAAGTTCGATGCTTCTAGCTTCATGAGCATGCTTAACGAGGCATTCGAGGATAGCTTCCTCAATGAGCCCGAGAGCGAGGATGTCTCCGCGTCGGGCATGTTGATCAATCGACAGTACCTCATCAGCATTTTGCTGCAAGTCATGACCGGCAATTTCTTCACGCCTTTTGATACCATTTACTTGGATATGTTTGTTGCGCGCAATCTTCCCAAATATCCTCAGTATATTCTCCTTTCTGGCACGACCCTCCACCAGGTTCTAGTCCGTGTATGCCAATATCCCGAGCAGGAAATGGCAGACGATTGCGAATTGAGTGCAGAGTATCTGCTGTCTTTTTACCACCCACCGAATATCCAGAGCATGATCCCTCTATTTAAAGAGGCGCGCTTTTTCCGGATTCTCAAGTCGACCTATCGATCAGAGAAGCAATATCCCCTGTTGGTCATGACTTACCTGGAGGATCCGAGTGGCCGCGACTCTATCTTCACCTGCCTGCATGACTGCCTCCGTCCAGGCTCTGGCCTTGGCAAGAAACAGAGACGCGATATCGTGGATGTAGTCAAGGAGCATGCCCGGGAAATCGCTGCAATTGACGTGACGCACGCTGCACAGACTATGCAAGACTTGGCACCTGAAGCACACTCTACGTTTTTGAGAGTTCTAGAAGATGATCCCCAGAAACAGTACCAGTATTTGCTGGTCCTGGTCGAGCCGCAGGCTCAAACTGCGGACACTCAATCTTCGCCCAGTATTGAGAACTGGATGATCGAGCGCTACGTGCAGCTCTTGTGCAAATACAACCCCTCTCATGTCGCAGACTTTGTCGACGGATTACGAGTTGGTGACATCCACCTGGACGAACTGCTCCCGTACATCGAGGAAAGCGGAGCCATCGATGCTGCCGTCATCCTCCTCGCCCGACAGGGCCAAGTCCGTGAGGCCCTTGACCGTCTTGTCGCACACCTGAGCACCCTCGAATCCGGTCTGGTAGGCATCCTCCAGAGCGTGCGCGAGAGCCCCCGACTCAGCGACTACCGCCGAGGCAATTGACGACCTGATCGAGTCTCTGAACAAGTATGCTGGTGTCGGAACGTGGCTCTGCCAGGGCCAAAGTAAGACAGTCAAGCAGTCGCGCACAGGCAGCGCCAACGGCAAACGCAACTCGCCAACCCTCGACCAGCCTCTAGCGTTTGACGAACTCCTCTGGCTCGACCATATCGAAGCCGTGGTCCGCATCGCAAGCAACGTCTTCGCCTTCATACAAGGAAACAACGCCCAAATCACCCTCCCCGCCCAACCAACAACTTCCCTCGCCGGCGAAAGCGGCCGCCTAACAACCTCCTTCCGCACCCTCGTCCAGCAAGTCTTCACAGCCCTCCTAGCAAGCACAGTAAAGAGCAGCCCAGCCACAACCGAAAGAACAGACATGTCCTTCCTCCGCATCCTGCGCGCATTCCTCACCCGCGCCGCAACCTGGTCCCCCTCCCTCCTCGAGCTGCGCGCCGTGCTAGCCTCCATCTTCTCGGCCTACTCCTACGAGAAATCCCTGTTGACCCTCGCAAACGGCATGCTGGACCGCGACCTCTTCGTCCACGTCGACGAAGTCTCCCGTCTACGCCAGCACGGCTGGCGGCCCCGCGGCCACGTCTGCGAGATCTGCCGCCGCCGCATCTGGGGCCCCAGCGTTGGCGACGCGCATTGGTCCGCATGGGAAGCGCGACGCGGCGATGCCTATGCCCGCCGTATTGCAAGGCGTAATGAGGATGGCTATAACCCGTCCGAGCGCGGGAAGGGCAAGGCTGCTGATGTCGGAGTCGGTCATCCGTCCCGTCTGTATGCGGGCGGTGCGCATGGGCATGCCCATGCCCTCGCTCACCACGAGCATGGGGCTCGTGGTAGTGGTATGTCCGATGCGAACGCTGACCATGGTCACGACCAGGACCACGATCAAGACCACGTTGAGGGTGGAGCTGGATCTAGCACCGCGGCTACAGTCGCAGATAGCACCCCAGAACCCGTTGTCGTTTTCGCCTGCCGACATCTCTACCACCGACGCTGCGTGCTGGACACCGTCAGCGCGGGGGCTCGACCCGCTGAAACCGCGTTTCGGCGCGATCATTTGCCCGACTGGTCAGGGACCGAGCTGTTCTGCCCGGTCTGTACATAGTTTCCGGTGGATAGCGGGGATGATTATTTCCTTTGTGTCTAGGGATATTCTTTTGTTACTTTTTTTTCTATCTCTTTGCTTTTTCCTACTTTAGGTGCTGTTCGGGGAATATCCCTAGATGAGACACGATCGTCTTGCATATAGCCACTCTTCTTTTTAAACTCCCAATTTACTATAATTTACTATAACGTAATGTGATATTAAAGCCTGGTCTATCCCTGCTATAGTTCATCTTCACTAATCTCGTCTGTCTTCCGTGGGAACAGGTGATATGAATCGTGAGGTTCTCCGCTTCAGCTGTTCGGCTCATTCTCCAACGCGCTTGGCACGACCTGTACTCCCAATGTGACCGAACGGGGTTCCCGGGAACACCACATATATGGCACGGTGTTTCTTTTCTGTGACTATGTCCAGGTTGATTCTGGACTGTGTGATCGTGATAGTTCGATCGAAAGGGTTTGGTGTTCTTTTCTTTTGGTAGTGATCTACAGTAGATTGGGGTATGGCGTTCAAGTGACTCCCGAGGTGACACTGTCATTTCACTAGTGTCTTCGATATCAGTTTTGGGTAGGATCTCCGTGAGAACAGATCACGTATGGAGGTACATGGAATCATGTACTAGTTACCACGGGTATATCTGTGGGTGTGGGTACTTGTTTTCAAGTACCTTGGAATGGCATCGAAACCTGGTGATCGGACACGGACTTCTCATATTTCTACTTTCAGATTTTTGATTTAGACTCTTTTCATCTCCTGAAGAATCGCCCGATAACCCTTGCTAGGAACAAAAAAGATGAAAGAAAAGAAAAAGCCCAAAAAAGCTTGATCGCCGAGATTATTCAAACAGCCGTTGGCCTATCATGTTGCGTTTCTTCCCTTTGCTACTATAGTTACAAACCTTAGATGTTGGCGGTAAACACTCTGATTGGCTTGGATGGTTACAGGTTTGATCTTTTTTTTGGTTTCTGTTCCTTTTTGTTTGAATCTGAAACATTAAGGTTGGTGGTAGCGCTTGAGATATCCATGGATCCGATATGGTTAAATGTGATTAGACTACTATATTCCAAGGTTGTATACCTGTGGACTTTTTACGTTGTGTTGCTGTCTATTCTACTCTAAATGCTAATATGAGAATACATTTCAGACCAGACGGGTTCAATCGGCAAGATCTAAATGATTTACCGGCAGATCCAGGGCTCGGAGATGTCAGACTTTGATATTCCGCAGATGTTTCAACATCCTTCATCCCTCCCTTTTAGCGCATATCTTCGATTGGAGTGTCTGGTGGATGTATCACGCTATTGATTTTTTTTTTCTTTTTTTTTTCCGTTTGTCAATTTTTTTCCTGGGGACAGTAGAGGCGTCTCAAATATAAAATAGACCCTGTGTCCGCTGTTTGTGAGGCATCGATCAATCCCTAGTCCATTGTGCGTGCGCGAGTATACCTATTGTCTCTCTATCTATTATATTCATTCCTTTCCTCCTATTGTCCTATTGTCCTTTGCCATTTTGGTCAGTATCTGGAATACTGGACCTTTTCTAGTATTTGAGAGACTCTCCCTCCTTCCAATCCCTCTTTCTCCTTGCAAATATCCCGCAAAGATCCCAGAATTTAAGCGCAATGCACGTTCTCTCGACCCTCCTGCCCGCTCTGGGCCTGTTGGCCCATGTATCTTCCGCCGCATACACCCTACGTGATGACTATGGTTCCTCCGACTCGTTTTTTGACAGGTTCAACTTCTTCACGGTATGTCCATCAGCATTGATCGCAGCTTTTGTCCCATCTGTAATACTTATCCAATATATAGGACCACGACCCCACTAATGGCTTTGTGAGCTACGTCGACCGTAACACCGCCTCGCGCAACGGTCTCATCAACACGAGCAACGGTGTCTACATCGGCGTTGACCACTCCAACACCGCCACCACGCCTGGTCGCCAGAGCGTCCGCCTGGAGGGTACCACCACCTACAAGCATGGACTTGTTATCCTCGATCTGGCCCATATGCCCAGCAGTACATGCGGCAGCTGGCCCGCCTTGTAAGAACCCCCAACCGCAATTCCTCTTTCTTGTCCAGAAAAGAACAAAAAAAAATACTAACCCCTACAGCTGGATGCTCGGCTCCAACTGGCCCAACAACGGCGAAATCGACATAATCGAAGGCGTAAACGAGCAAACCCAAAACCAAATGGCCCTGCACACCAGCGACGGCTGCACAATCAACAACAGCGGCTTCACAGGCTCCCTCATTGCACCAAACTGCTACGTCCAAGCCAGCGGGCAATCCCCAAACAGCGGCTGCACAATCCAAAGCGACAACACCCAGTCCTATGGCACAGGCTTCAACAACGTCGGCGGCGGCGTCTACGTCACCGAATGGACCGGCTCCGCCATATCAATCTGGTTCTTCCCCTCCTACGCCGTGCCCGCTGATATCTCATCTGGAAACCCCAACCCGGCGGCCTGGGGCACGCCCACAGCCCGCTTTGCTGGCAGCTGCAATATCGACTCGCACTTCAACGATCTACAGATCGTGTTCGATATCACCTTCTGTGGAGACTGGGCGGGCTCGGTTTGGGGTTCGTCGAGTTGTGCCAGTCGCGCGGGCTCGTGCGTCGACTATGTGCAGAATAATCCTACGGCATTCCAGGAGACTTACTGGCGTGTGCGGTCGCTGAAGGTTTATCAGGATTCGAGTATCACCATTGCCGGTGCTGAGGTTGAGGTTGGGGTTGAAGGTGAGGTGGGTGCTAGTTGGGATCCTACGGGGTTGTTTGAGCGCTCTACGCCTAGGTCTGCTATGAAGCATCGTCGGGAGCATTATCGTCATGGGCATGGGCATGCTCATATTTAGATGGTGATTGTGATGGTGCTGGCTGGATGGATTGTTTATCTGCGTTAAGAGCGATATGGGTTCGATCTGTTTTTGCATTTCGAGTGCGATTTCGATTGTGATTTACCCTTTTCAGCCTGACTGTTGATTTTCGTCCGTTTACGGTCTCTTTACTCGTCTGGACTTCAATGGCCTGTGCTAGTCCACGGCTGTGGGCGGACGAGCGCGTTTGATACGCTTCATGGTTGATGCTTTACGATGACTTTGTGAATACCCCTTCAGTTTCGGTGGTGAAAGGAAAATAAGGAATGATGATTATTAGCATGGTTATTGTTTTGTAGATATTTGGTCTGGGCTGTAAGTGCTGAGTAGCTCTTCGATGGCTATACAACGTAGAGTAGTATAAGGTAAGATCTTCAGCATCTATAGATCTAACGAGGATGGTACATGGAATGAATAAGACAAGACAAGAAAATATACTTGAATCTATGTACTAATTAACAGTCATATTAACATTAACATTCATTAACCTGAGCCCCCAAACCCAAGAACATCGCGTTGATCATCCGTAAGTCGACCCCATTCCAAAAGCAGCCGAAAGAAGTAAATCTCCATGTCCTCCTTCCTCAACGCTGTGTTCGCCCAATTCCGCCCTTCCTCCGCAATTCGCTTTCCCTGCCTATCATGCGCCTTCATGCGCATCTGCGGGGCATTAGGACCACTCCCCTCAGACGCGGCAGCAGGCACGCCGGCAAAGTACGCAAGCGTACTCCATAGGCCATGGAGACGGATATCGACAGGGACGAAGTGCAACCACGAGGTGACCCGGGAGTCGAACCACTGGCGGAAAAGACCCGTTTTGAGGGGCAGGCTATGGCTGCGTAGGAAGGGGAGGAAGCGGCCGCTGAAGCCTGCGCCATCGAGGTCGAAGAGGAAGCGGTGCGACCAGTGCGCTTGGAAGTCTGCCCAGCCCGCGGTGCCAAATTCTGCGGCTTGGTCAGCGCAGTCGCCGCAGCGGACGATTGGGTCGGCGAGGTGGACGGAGGTTTGGAGGTGGAGGTCAGAGGTCGGGGCGCTGCCGTCCATTATCTCGTAGCGGAAGGCGTTTTCGTTCGAGTCTGTTGGGAGGAGGACAGAGACTTGGTTGTTGGTGTTGTTGTTTATTAGGTGTGTGAAGCGCTGGCGTGGCATGCCTTTCCACTCGCCGAAGCGGCTGACGCCTTCTGATGTGCTGCCGAGCCAGTAGAGGGAGTTCTTTTTGTTGGCGTATTCTAGATCTGGGTGTTCGTCTGTGGGTTGGTATTTTACCTTGTCGATGTAGTTCCATGGACTTGGGAAGAGGATGTCGTTGAATCCGGTGAGGGCGCTCTGGCTGAATACCGGGATGAGTTCCTGTGACACCTTGAATGATGCCGGTGAGATAAGAAGGCCGTGGAGGAAGGCAAGGTCGGGTTGGTGGCAGATTTCGGAGGCGAGGTTGAAATTCAGGGGGAATTGGCCTATAGAATGAGGAGCCGCGCATGAGAGACAGATATCACGACGATTCCAGATTCGTTGAGAGCGCGCCTTCGATGAAGGCGGGCAGACAGCGCTCACGTAAGGGTCAAAAATCCCCCTCCACGCCCCGTCAGTGAAAACGGTAATGTTGGTTTGATCGGCCGGTTCAATGGGGGCCCAGCCCTCCTCTCGGTTGGTCGACCAAGTCTGCACCATGCGCTCCTTAGGGATCACTTCTTGCATCTCAGTCTGCCGATTCAACATTGATATTTTCTCCCAGGGAACTGCAACACGTGGTTCATCATTCAGATTGAACACCAAGTCCATATCCGGGAGATATTTGGCGAAATTGTTCATCATGTCCGCGGCACCCGCCACCATCCACGCATGGGTCGGTTTGATCCCTTCTTGCACCATGGCTGTGCCGTTGCGAATCCTGATTCCACCGAGATCATTGAAAGGGTTTGTGGCCAGTTCGTGCGTCATTGCGCGGATGTGCTCCGGAGCCAGGGCTCGGAAGGGAAGTAGATCATGGTATATCTGATCGAAATCATCGACGATAGCTGACGATCGGGTAGTGGCATATTGATACCATTGGTCAAAGCCCCTAGACGAGGATTAGTTTAGTTGTGCGCCAACAATGGGTATTCAAAACATACGGTGGTGGATGCTGATGATATCGCCTCCGGTATTCGGAAACAGCATCTCCAAGAGTTTTGCTCCTAGACGCCTGAGCGAGATAGTTGTCATGTTGAAATTTGCCGTCGTTGATGAGGAACTCAATCGGGTGTATATCATCAAGACGATGCTTGCTCACTGCAAAAACGAGACTAATTCCAAATAGCACGGCGAACAATATTTGTATGGCAACGTTGGTGCGGTATAATTTTGGCTCTTCGTCATGAACCACTCGTGCAAGAAGAAATAGGAGGACACCCGTCAAAGACGCAGCCAACGGGAGAACAGCATGAGTTAGAGAGATGAATGGGAAGGGTGATTGTCCTCCGGTGAGGGCCGATAGAGACGAGAAGTACACGATCATGAAACCACCTATAATTGACACTCCAAGGATGTCGAAATGCGGCAACTAGGGGAATCAGTACTGATAGAGAGAAATAAGTATAGAGAACTGGGAAGACCAACCATATGCCAGGCCGATAAGACCAGTATTACAACCAACACAGACTGGCTGAAAGCGCCGCGCGAATACTCTAGATCCAACATGGGTTGACCGGCAAGTTCAGGAGAACTATCTGGTACCCAGAAGGATATAATACTCCAGACCAAAGAAAGACCCTAGAAAGATCATCAGAACAGGTATTCCCAGCAAGTTAGCAGTTGTCCACTTACCAAGAGACCAGCTCCAAGGAACGTCAAAGCTCGTTTTCTGCGCACATCATCAAATTGAGCACCAATCCGACATATCTCGGTAATACCGAAAAGTATAACAGAATCAGCAAACAGGTTGAACAGCCTGTATGATCGTAGGCGCGATGCCCCATGTAATACAATGGGACAGACATAGGTTGATCGGGTGCCGGCTGAGAACGATGAAGCCAACAGCCCACCAATCGACAAAAATGCGGCTGCAATTAAACCTCTGGAGCGACTTTGCGTAAGATAATAGAAGCTCCGGCGGGAAACAGAGTAGACCACCTGTAGCGGCAGGTTTTCGAATCGTTGGGTAGGGACATATCTGTCCACTTGTCGTGATCGCTGGTTGCGCCAGTAGTCATAGAGCGAAATGACGAAAGGAATAGCGTACTGTGCAAGCCACCGTGTTAGTTGCATGACAAATTGAATTGAACGATAACCAAGGTATTCGGCCACTTACAGCGTATCCAGCGGGCGCGCATTCAGTGTTCCGGGTTACTTGGCGGAACGACTCGATTCGTAAACCACACAACCCTAACAAGAGACCGAGCTTTATCCACCACGATTGGAACCGTAGCCGAGGGCGAGTCTCGACATCACCCAGTGCGAAAGATGAGGTCGATGCGCGGGAAGGAAGCTCAAATTGCTCCGCAAGAGGGATAATTGGCCGTTTACTTGTTGGCGACGATGGCGCCGACCCCAATGAAACGAAGCGACTCCATACCAAGAGAGTGACCCCTGTAAGGAAGCATACCAGGACAGATGTACTGATCGGGCGATCTGTATCGGCGCAACAGTCAGATCAAGTTGCAGAACGACATTAATATCCACGGCGACGACTCACCAAAAGCGAATGTGGTATTGTAGGAGGTAGTAAGGAATAGCGAGCTCAAAAGAAATATCCTGCTCATAGAATGCGATCGTGAGCTTAAGTTTTCAATAATGTGACATAGCTTGCTAGGTACTCACCCCACACAGAGCTTCAGCCCGAGGTCGGAAGATAATTGGATCATATTGCGCCAATCGTTCTATGATCGTTTCAAAGCGTCCCGGGCCATTGCTGTGATTTCAATAATGCATGGAAATTGTTGAAAGAGTAACAAGACAGAAAACAGAAGATTGACCTGTGGATCTTCAGGAGATTGACAGTATTCGAAACATGGAAAAAGCAGGACAAGGAGGGCCAAGAGAGCCCTTTGATCCACTGGCGGTTAACCAGAGGCAACCCGGAGTGCTGATCCATTAGGGTTGCGTCAACGGGCGGGTTATGATGTATTTCATGGTTGGACTATTTGCTACGCTCGTAATGACGGGCCCTGCCTTGCATTGCTTCCATTTCTGATAAGGTATCATGCCAATGAGTGGTGGAACATCTCCAGCCACCACGCTGAAATCTATTAGCTCCTGATAGTTAGCTGATTTTTCTCCTAGAAACATTATATTGCAAAAGCTCGTCAGCAAGAAATGCCGAGCCGTTCAGCGGCCAGAATCAAGCCTTGGTCAACTTCATGACCCACTTGAGTCCTGAGCGTCATGTCACTGGTGGGTCCTTCCAATGCAATATGTTATGTTGTACTCCGTACTTCGTACATCACGCTCAGCCTTTCAGAGACCCTATGAGCGGCCTTCCCATACATTGATGTACTGAAAGAAGGTTCACACGCAGCCAAGAAGAACACACGTCATATCAGCCAGGATCCTGTTAGCTGTATCCTGTCGGCTCCATTCGGCTGCATGTCGTGAAATAAAGATGGCCCGAGCGACCCACGGTTAGCGCCAAAATGGCACGCTCAAATGAACTGGGCTAAGCTCAAAGCAGCTCGTGTCTTTCCTAATTTGGTAAATCCGCGTCATCCTAGTCATGTGATCTGATAGGGGTCCAGGCGGTCTCGACTATCTACCCAATAAAATGCAACAGCGGCTAGACCGTTTTGAGCCTTCGACCTCAACATAAAGTATCCACGTGACTTTCCAAAGATGCAAGACCAATCATTTATAGTAAAACGACCCACATCCGTATCCCCTCAATAAAAGACCTCGAAAGAAAAAGAAAATAATAATGGCTTCGTTTGGATCAAGCATATCATCATTAGTGCAGGGGCCATGCTAATCTGCTCTGTTATGTTCAGTTGACCATATGCTCTGAAGAGCAAAGGGCTAATTTGTGGAGCTCATCATAACCTCGTATCGGAGCAGAGATGTACCGCCTACTTGTTCGGGGTGACCCTGGCAGATCACGGCCACGTGATAAAACAATTGATTATGTAATAAAGATTAAAGGCGGTGTATCGCCTCGGGCGGTGTCAGGCAGCAGTATCATTTTTTTCTAACCGCTGGGAAGTTTTTTGGTCGCAAGACGAAGCTAAGTGTTTTTTCCAATCAACACTACTCCGGAATCGCCATGCCTCGCAAGGCGATTGACTCGCGGATTCCCGCTCTTATCCGAAATGGTGTGCAGGAGAAGAAGCGCAGCTTCTTCGTGGTTGTTGGCGACCATGCCAAGGATGTGATCGTGCATCTTCACTATATTATGTCCAGCGTGGACGTGAAGCAGAACAAGTCGGTGCTATGGGCTTACAAGAAGGACCTTCTCGGCTTTACGAGCCACCGGAAGAAGCGCGAAATGAAGATCAAGAAGGAGGTCAAGCGTGGCATTCGCGAACCGAACCAGGAAGACCCATTCGAACTTTTCATCACCCTCAACCAGATCCGCTATGTCTACTACAAGGAAACCGAGAAGATTTTGGGTAATACCTACGGCATGTGTGTATTGCAAGACTTTGAGGCAATGACTCCCAATTTGCTTGCACGAACCGTCGAGACCGTCGAGGGTGGAGGTTTGGTGATCCTGCTCCTCAAGAGCATGACCAGTCTGAAGCAGCTTTACACCATGTCCATGGATATCCACTCGCGATACCGAACAGAGGCGCACGATGATGTTGTAGCTCGTTTCAACGAGCGATTCATCCTGTCCCTCGGAAGCTGCGATTCGTGTCTGGTGGTCGACGACGAGCTGAACGTGTTGCCCATCTCTGGCGGCAAGACCGTGAAGCCCCTCCCCGCCCCCGAAACAACCGACGAGTCAGCTTTCGGCACGAAGAAGGAATTGAAGGAAATCAAGGAGAGTTTGGCGGACTCGAAGCCCGTGGGCCCTCTGCTCAGCTTGGCTCGCACCGTGGATCAAGCGAAGGCGCTCCTGACCTTTGTTGATGCAATCGCTGAGAAGACGCTGAAGAGCACTGTTACACTGACTGCCGGTCGTGGACGAGGAAAGTCGGCCGCTCTCGGTGTCGCCATTGCCGCGGCTGTCGCTCACGGCTACAGCAACATCTTCATCACTTCTCCCAGCCCAGAGAACTTGAAGACACTCTTCGAATTCATTTTCAAGGGCTTCGATGCACTTGGATATCTCGACCATGTTGACTACACCATCCTGCAGTCCACCAACCCCGACTTCAATAAGGCCGTTGTCCGCGTGAACATTCACCGCAACCACCGTCAAACCATCCAGTACATTCAGCCCCAGGATGCGCAAGTTTTGGGACAGGCAGAGCTTCTCGTTATCGATGAGGCTGCAGCTATCCCTCTACCATTGGTGCGCAAGCTGATGGGACCTTACCTGGTGTTCATGTCCTCCACTATCAATGGATACGAAGGCACGGGCCGGTCCCTGTCTCTGAAATTGATTCAGCAGCTGCGGGAACAATCCCGAAGCGGAGTCAAGACAGACGATACCGACGTCGCGGACCGCAGCACAGGCAAGTCAGCCAAGGGCGCTGACAAGAATCTCAGCGGCCGAACCTTGAGAGAGATCACCCTCGCAGAGCCCATTCGATATGCCCCGGGTGATTCTGTTGAGAAATGGCTGAACAAGGTCCTCTGCCTTGACGCAACTCTCCCCAAGTCGCACATGAACACACAAGGCTGCCCTCACCCCTCGCAGTGCCAGCTTCTTCAGGTCAACCGTGATACCCTGTTCTCCTTCCACCCTGTCTCCGAGAAGTTCTTGCAGCAGATGATGGCACTCTACGTTGCCAGTCACTACAAAAACACACCCAACGACCTTCAGCTTATGAGTGACGCTCCCGCTCATCAACTCTATGTCCTCGTCCCGCCTATTGATGAGGGAGCCACCAAGCTGCCCGAGCCACTTTGCGTCATTCAGGTCGCTCTTGAAGGTCGCATCAGTCGCCAGAGTGTTCTCAACAGTCTGAGCCGTGGCCAGCGCGCAGGAGGTGATCTCATCCCGTGGTTGGTCAGCCAGCAGTTCCAGGATGAGAACTTCGCTAGTCTCTCAGGTGCTCGTGTTGTCCGTATCGCAACCAACCCCGAATATGTCGGTATGGGATACGGTTCCCGGGCTATGGAGCTTCTAGTCGACTTTTTCGAGGGCAAGTTCACCAACTTGGAGGAGGAGAACACTGCCGCCGAAGAGCAAATGGTCCGTGTTACGGACGAAGAGCTCGCCGGTTCTAGCCTCTTGGATGACAACGTCCACGTCCGAGACATTCGCTCGATGCCCCCGCTGTTCGGCAAGCTGACCGAACGTCGCCCTGATGTCCTCGACTATATCGGTGTCAGCTACGGTCTTACCCCATCCCTCCACAAGTTCTGGAAGCGCGGTTCTTTTGTCCCCGTGTATCTGCGTCAGACACCCAACGAACTCACCGGAGAGCACTCTTGCGTGATGGTCCGCACCCTCTCCACCGGCGAGACTGACGACGCCTGGCTGAGCGCCTACGCGCGTGATTTCCACAAGCGATTCCTCGCGCTGATGTCCTACCAATTCGGGCAGTTCCCGTCCGTCCTCTCCCTCAGCATCTGCGAGTCTGCCAACTCCGGTGCCAAGAAGGATCCAAAGTTCAAGCCGCGCATGCTGCAGAAATCCGACCTTGATGCCGCTTTCTCACCCTTCGATCTCAAGCGTCTGGACAGCTACGCCAACAACCTCTTGGACTACCACGTCATTCTGGACCTGGTCCCCGCTCTCTCCGACTACTACTTTGCCAACCGTCTCGATGGCAAGGTCAGCCTCTCCGGCGTGCAGCAATCCATCCTCCTCGCCATCGGCCTGCAGCACAAGAACCTCGACGACCTTGAGAAGGAGCTGAACCTCCCCTCCTCCCAGCTCCTCGCCATGTTCCTCAAGATTGTCCGCAAGATCTCGACCCACTTCCGCAATCTCATCGAGAACGATATCGAGCAATCTCTGCCCGCACAGAAGGTTCGTATCGAGACCTCTGCCGCTCACGACGACGAGCCCGAAGTCAACCTCCAGCCCCTGCCCATCAGTCTCGAGGATGAGCTCCGTGAAGGAGGCAAGCAGATCGATGCGGAGATGCTCGCCAAGCAGCGTGCCCTGAGCGCATCTAACCCGTAAGTTTCAATCACGTTTGCCTGTCTAGTGAAACAACAATAACTGATTTTCAGCCCACAGTGATGGACCTGATAGCTCCAAGTCTTCCAAGCGCAAGAAGGTCGAGACTGCGCGCGACATCTACGACAAGGAGATTGACTCGAAGAGGCAAAAGATGATCAAGAAAGGCACCGAGGGCCGCAAAAAGCGCTGAATGATTTAGGTTCTGGACAGTTTTCTTTTTGCATTAATGTACGGTGTTCGGTTTCTTCGGTCTAAAAAGACTTGCTTGTGTCTAGTATTTGTCTGTATTCTTCAAGGTTCATGTTTCCACAGGATATCCGTCTCTTGTACATACATATGAATCATGTGTTTATCATACCTACGACATCTCGTTGTTCCGTAGAGATAGATGGGATATTCCCTAACAGCTTGATGCATTGGATACATAAACTTATGCGATTCGCTCTCAAAACTAAAAAGCAAAATAGAATACTAGACAAAGGTCACTAAACTAGCATCGAGCTCTTCCCGGGACCATGAAATAATCACAGCTCATCATGCTCCACTTCCTGTTCCTCGGCCTCAGCCTCAGCCTCAGCTTCCGCCTCAGGCTTAACCTCGGCCTCGGGTTCAGCTTCAGCCTCAACACTGACAACAATACCCTCAGGCAACTTCTCCTTAGCACCCTCACCCAACCTAATGCCATCAACCCAAGACTCAACAGCAACAGCCCCGAAGTCCGCATCGGCACCGCTGAACCGACGCCACCAGCCGCGACGCGCATTCAACGCGATAATCTCAACCGTCTGGCCATCAGCCAATGCCAACGCCTCACGCAGATTCTTAGACCCGCTGTTGATAGCAGGGACAGCATACAGCGGGAAGAGATGCGTTCCGCGATGAGCGTGCTTATGGCCGATCTCAGCGAGGCTTGCGAGCGCCTCGGTGGCAGGCGCTGAAAGCGCGGCGTCGGGCTCGCTCGCCTCGGGGAGGATGACTAGCACACAGGTGCCGGACTTTGGTGCGAGACAGGCTGACTCGAGGGATTCGGGGGTTGAGAGGGTTGGGATTGGGGGTGCGGGAATGGGGACCTGAACCGGCTTAGCGGAGGGGTCTGTTGTGTCTTGGTCCTCGGAGGCGGTAGGTTTGAGATCTTCGGCGTCGTCGACGATAGAGGTAGGTTTGGAAGCGGGCTTGGACTTTGGCTTGGACTTGGAGTTGGAGTTGGAGGCGGAGCGGGGTGACGCGTCTGGGTTGGGTGTCGCCGCTTGGCTCAGGAACTCGGTGATAGGCTTCTTCTTCAGCTCGCCAGTGTAGATCTTGAGCTCGGCGTCGGCGCTAGGGATGAGGACAAGCGCTGGGAACTCGGTCACGCCGAACTTCTCCACAGAGGCGGATTCTTTGTTCCGTACTTGGGCGATGTCAATTGCGCCGAGGAAGTCAACTGCCAGGGCGCGGATCAGCGCGCCGGTTGTGCCCTTCTCTGTGAAGAGGATGGCCTTGGGCCTGTCCTCGTTTTTTCCAAGCCATTTGTCCAGGTCCTTGTCTGTTGCGCGCTTCACGTGGTTGGGGATGCGGTCGACGACTGCGTCGACGATACCTTTGGCGCTGCGCGCGCCTTGGTAGTCCTCGACACGGGGCTTTCCGGGCTTTTTGGAAGGGGTCACGATTTTCAGGGTCGGGAAGCCCTGGACACCCATCTGTCCGCAGAAGGGTTTGTTTTCGTCATCGTCGCAGTTGATCGCGGCGACTTTCGCGAGTCCGTCAAGGTTTTTCGCGGCTTTTTCGAAGGCAGGTTTGAGGTTCTTGCAGTGGCCGCACCAGGGCGCGTAGAATCTAAGTGACAAATGTGAGTGAAGGTCGGACGGGAGTGGCAGAGAGCTAGATAGCTATAGTTCGGGACAGCTTACTCGACGATCTATGGAGTAGCCAACCATTAGTCGATTGCACGCATTTAAAAAGACGATGGACACTCACCGAGGTATGATTCGAATTCGCAATAAACGAGTTGTAGGTTTTGGCATTCAACTGGATCACCGGCGAATTCTTGGTGTATAGTCCATCAGCGTTAACAGGCAGTGCCGCAAGGAGCGACACAAGCAAAAGACTGGCACTGTGCAGCATCGCGAATTGGTAATTCCAAGGCAGAGATGAGATTCAGTGAAGAAGCCAAAGAGGAATAAAGAAAAGACGGTTGGTCCGAATCATGACGCAAGGTGTCCTGAAGCTCTTGGCATGCGGAGGATTACTATACTGTCTAAGTACTACCTAGGTAGCAGTGAATATATTAGAGCATCAAATATCCCAATATGCATAATATAAGTCTTGAATTAGTATACTAATGGTTCTCACGTCAAAATATCTGGGTCTTGAACCTATCAAATAATTCCTTCTGTAAATATCCTACAAACTTGTGTACGGAGTACGTCTCCAAAGATTCCGAGGTCCCTTTTCTCTTTGGTAAACACAACCTAGCAATGGCTAGACCAGAAGACAGCCATGACGTGGCCTTTCTACCTCGCGAACTCTTCTGGATGATCCTAGCCTATTTAGAGCCATGCGAGCTAGTTCGCTGTCGCCGCGTCTCGCGTGCCTGGAATGAAGCCTTTAGCAACCCGGCCATCCTCCTCGCACTCCTGAAGAAAGATTTTCCATGGACAGAAGAAGTCAAAAGCCTGGGCTTAGGGCCATCAGCTGAAGAACAAAATCAAAGTCGTCGTCTTTTCGACCAGGTCGCTTCACGATACGATCACCTAGAACGAGGCAAGCCCCGCTCTATTCAGAGGTACCGCCTATGTGGTGACTTTGGTAGCTCTGGAGAGCGCGAATGGTATCAGGTGCAACCATGGGAGTCACACTCCAGTCATATGAGGCGCTTCATTGACCGCCAGTTCTCTGAGGCTTTATGGACTTTCGAGGACGGCCTGCTGGTCTACCCTAGCGCCGATCATCAGTTTCTCGTGCTTATGGATTTGGAAACGGACCGGCAGTTCATGGTGCCGTTCATTATTCGTGGCAAGGTCGTTCGTCGAGTGCGTCTGCAAAAGCGCTTGCTTGTCGTCGAATGGGCTGAACCGACGGCCTTTCACTGGCTGAATGATAGCGATGGCGTGCATCGTCACTTTGCATCGTCCTTTGATGTGACGAGAAGTGAGGATCAGGGCTGGAATATTGTCCCGCGCAATGAATGGAAGATTATGTTTTTGGGGCATCCGCTGAGCGAGCGAGATCGGTTCTTCTCCTCGCATAGCAACACTCACTATGTGATTTATATATGGCAGCCAAATCGCAGTTTGTATACCGCCGACGAAGATGCACCTATTGAATCTTTGTTTGTTTGGGACATATCGAAACCATCATCATACCGACCTTCATTGGATCCCACGGGACGACTGAGAGACGACTCACCTGATGACTCTCCATCAATCGTGGCACGATTCGGATTCCGAGACCTGGAGTTCGTCGACATCCGACAACGAGGCTGTCCAAGCATTCAACGATTGGAGATTACGGATGATGCCCAGGCGGTCGAAATTACAGAAAACATTTGCATCCGGCCGGAAGACCAACCACCCGAGCCATTCGGGTTTCCTCAACCCATCGTTACAAGCATTCCTCTAGTCGGAAACGGGCCTCATTGGCGCAGGGATTTTGAGGGAATTCTACCGCCTTACCGTGGGAACTGCAGCATGCAGGCAGAGAGTATGAGGTCCGAAGGGTTCATCATGACGGACCCTTGGTTTGGTGTCATTTCTCAAGTGACTGTACTCGAGCCTGATCTTGGCTTTTGTCTTCACTTCGATCCATGGACGTGGATCCAAGATCAGATTGTCTATTTGACTATCCAGACACCTCGCTCGAGAGTCACTTGTGAGAATTGGGATTTTGTCGGCAGGGGGAAACTCGCTGGTTGTGAGAAATATCTGGTGGGCGAGAATTGCAATCGAGAGTTAGTTATCTACCGGTTTGATAGATGAATGGAAAATGAATAAGAATATCTGGCCGCTTATACGGCCTCTATCCTTAACGACATAAGGACTATACGAATCCGGTACATTTGGCGATAGCCGCGTAGCCAGTGGTTAAGCGAAGAATTAAAACCCGAAAAAAGCATTGGCTTTCAAGTGAGCAAAGAACAAAGCAACGCCGTAGAAGGGATGGAAGATCATTGCGGAAGATTCACAGAGACAGGACCTCTCATCTTCTCTTTGATGGACTCTAGGATATTGGACATGCTCGAGGCCAGCCCAATATCTCCTCCCCAGAGCAACCCGGTTACAGCCCCAAGTCTATTGAGAATAAATGAGCCTGGATTTCCCTCCCCATAAAAGGCTCGCTTAGAGTGGTACGGCCGTTTTTCACGCAATAACCCCCCTCCCTTGAGTGAGCCGAATTCGTTCAGAACACTAATGATGATACAAGGAACGTTAAGTATAAGAACATTCCAATATGTTTTTAGATGTTCTTTTTAGATATTCTTTTTAGATATTCTTTTTAGATGTCTTTTTGGATGTATACGAAGGCGGTAAAAAGTGTAACCCGGATAAAGGACTTTTCTATATATAACTAGGGACAACCTAGCAATAGCTAGAATAAAAGAGGGCCATAACTCTTTTGGATGATTCTAGGGTATTCAGAACCAAGTAGACTAGTCCGCTATCGCCGCATCTCGCGTGTCTAAAGGCGAGCCCTACTCTGGTCCGGGTCTGGACCGCCACAAAAAAGGGAATCGGACTAGTACCTACACATGTAGGCGGTCCTGGTCCTATAGATGAACCTTCTAAAGCTGAAAGCCTCGTTTTAATTCATAGATAAGTCTGCACATCCAACGTCCTAGTCTCCTGCCCCGTACACTTTTTTCTTTCTTCCTTTTGTTTGACTTAACACCACCTGCCGACTTCGACTATGAACATGAACTTTCTGACATCTCGTGTCAAATCCTACTTCACGCCCCCACATAAGGCAATCAGCCCTTGTTCTGAGATCCTCTATATGACTACACTCGCCGGGCTCCCCCGGAGCTATTATTGTCAATATCTGACTTTCTTCCACTTGTTGACCTTATTTGCTTTTCCCTTTGCAATCATCGACTCCTTGAGCTGTCTCGCAGACAAATAAATCGGCTGCCTCCTCGTATAAAAGACGATAAGCTCTCGATCTTAATCCGATTGGAACGTGATCTCCCAGGATACTTTGCTTGTGATGTTTGCAACCGTCTTCATCGGTATGACGGATCTGAAAGTTTTGGACTCAGTGGATTAGCTCACGAAAGAACTCGCCGACTCCCTTGTGTCCGGCCGGAGAAGTGGTTTTATGACACGCTAGTTCTGGGAACCCATTGTTCCATAGATCATTCAGCAAACAAACTTTCTTTCCTCCATCTTAAGCTTGCTATGAGGAGGTTTTACTTTGGTCCAAGGTCTGGGATCAGTACTGATTCTCTATCTTATACACAAGTCCGCCACTACCCTGTACAGTCAGTCCCCCCAGACATAATCTCGCTATTCTCAACGGAAGCACAAATATGTCCTGAGCACCTCGGTCTTCATATCAGGATGCAGGACATAGTGCTCGTCAGGACACGGGACGAATTGATTTTTTGTCAAGATAGACGGGGCTCGGATCCTCTATACATTTTTGAAGTATGTGTACACTTCAATCTTCTTAGGCTTATCAGCCCAGTTGTGGAATCCTTACACAACGGAGAGAAGATCTCTTTCGCCCATACCTGTTACCAGTGCAATACAGATTCCCATATTGAAATTGGTGAATTCGACTCCAAAATAGCGCTCATCATGACAAGGTGGCTTAATCTGGGCCCTGGCCTTACTAAAGAGGACCCATTGTGGAAGACTCATGTCCTCGGTGGCATTCCCTGTAGACGACTTAACGAAGATTACCTAGAAGAGAGTCCCCGCTTGTGTTTTGAAGACATAGCACCTCAATTATTCGAGGACTTACGGTCTCGCAACCTCTCCTATCTCAGAGACCAGCAATACAAAAATGTCATGCCTTTCATTGCAGCAGGACTGAAAGTTTGGTACATCTCATACAAAGAGCCTTCAAAGAAAAGGGAATTCCTGCGATCCTTGCTACGCCGTTTGGCTATATCTCGAGAAAATCGCACTATCGCGAAAAGAACTAGACAAAAGTTGCCATTGCGTGACTCGTCTTCACCGAGAAACCGCCTGAGCTGGGATTCCTTCGATATAGGACATTTAGAAATATACATGTGAATACGTCCTGGGCTAGGGTAAAGTCTGCAGCGAAACTCTTATCTCCAGCCTTGAACTTGTTTCTCCTACGTCAGTCACCAAGAAAAGGGCACACTATCTATAGCTGGTTGTTCTATCAAATCACCTTCCTGACTAGATCACTGATAGTATCTTATATCTGATCGGATGTCTTTGGCAACGCCCTGTAATAATTCCAAGGGGCAAGTTGCTGCTTCTCCTCTTGCCTTGAAATGTTAGGGTGAATCAAATTTTTGGCACGCTGGCTGGTTGTTTATGACATGACCATGTACAGATCTACAAGATTAGCCGGCCGTGTGTGCGGCCTGTGTCCTTGACGAAAGACTTCAATATCTGGTATATCTGCCCAGGTGGCTCAAGATTATATTAAAGACGTTATCTGTAAGAACACTCTACTGCTTTTTTGGATGTTCTTTCTATGTGTCTTTTTATATGTCTTTTTTGGCTGTCTTTTAGATGTTTTCTAGATGTATACAAAAGTGGTAAAAAGCATAAACCGTACAGAGGACTATTTATATACATAATCAGGGATGATGATAGATGCTATGCAAGATCTTATTTCTATTAAGCTTGCTTTAATTCACCTCTGCCTTCTCTAGGTTAAATAACAAGCGTACTGGGCAACAGTTTACACCCCTAGGTCAATTTACGAGTAGATTATTTACAACACAATCACATTTCCCTGTTTATTACACCAGGTCTGAGCGCAGTACCCAAGGAGAGTAGAACAGTACGTCTAGCCTGGGAGATACACTGGTTCCACACCATGGAATACATTGATTCAGGTACAAAATTTGGGTCTGGGGTTTTGCCCGTGACGGAATTGACTGAACTATTGTTAGTCCTGACAACAGCCGGTAACGCCTCTTCCTAGTTGGCGTATCTTTCGTCGTCGGCCGCGAATCGTCACCCCGGCGGGGCTTCTGTGAAGACGCAGGTGACATTTCTGAACACACTATGCACGCAGAACAGATGAACCGACGCGCGCAACATGTTCTCAAAGCCAAGGCCAAGAACACCGATCTGCCATACTGCGATGAAATCCGGTACGACACCAACGGTTACGTCGCTGATCCGCCTTCGGATCATCGACTGTCCGATGCCTTGGTCTTCCTAATTATCGCACAAAACACAGTCGCAGCCCGTTATCGCCATGCGAGATGGCCTGCAGATTTCGATTGTGCGGGCGACATCTATGCAGATCGGTGGCCAATGGGCCATTCTGTTAGACTTTTGGGATTCCCTTCGTTGCCGTTTACGCTGATTATTATATTATGAGCGGAACCAGCTGCAGACCTTACATTTGGTTGCTAAACAAGAAGCCGGGACACCTATCTGACCAAGGCATGACAGGACTGCTCAATTGCATTGATATCATAGATCGTAATCAGGATTTTAGATCTGAAGATGTGAGGAGTGAAGTAGGAGGAGCACGAAAGGTAGAATCTAAAGTCGAAGTGATTTCGAAGTGATTTCGAAGTGAGGACGAAGTGACTATACAGGCAAACCAGATACGTATCCGCAGAAGGATAGTATCTGTGCATGAGAAGGGGCTCTTGGCCGAGATTCATTAAATTCCATAGGATTATTGGGTGCAGAATCCGCCATAATATTGGCAATGGAGTTTTTTTTTCTTTTTTCGAAAGTTGAACAAAATATTAGGATCGAAAAAGGTCTTCTCCCACAACCCCCGAGGTGCCCTTCACCCTTTCCCTGAGCACAGCAGAGAATCCAGACCGAAAGAAATCTAGACCGAACAAACAAAAGAGAAAAGAAACAAGAGAAGAACAGAAAACACATGTGATCCAACATGGATCAATCACTGCTCCTGCATACCAGGCCCCAAGGCAGGGTCACAATCCACGAACTTACATCTGACACAGGCCTTCAGACCACAGCCAGGACAGGTGAGGATGAATGTTGGCATCCACAAGTTGCAAATATTGCACACGGGACGGCAGAATTCCTTGTACCATAGACCGAGATGGGAGCAAAGTCTGGGATCATTCCGAACTGTAATAGGCGAGGCATCCGGGACTGAAAGACGAACAGCTTCCAACCAGCCACAATAGAATTCCAGCATAATTCCGTTGAGTTCACCACCGAGGTCATCGACGGTATAGCGTCCATGAGGGTCGGCGAGCTTTTGCTTGAGGAATGAGACTAGAGGGAGCAACGAATCATGGCCTACCATGTAGGCGTTGATCAGTTTGTCAGCTTCAGAGTTGGAATCGTCGGTGGTAGATTCGTAATCCTCAACGGTGGACTTGAAATTAGAGTTCTCGTTGGCTGAATGAGTGTAGTCGGTGGAGCTGCTACTTGTTGAGAAGTCAAAGGACGAGTCGTTGCTAGCAGGAGACTGAGAATTTGAAGCGCGATCAGAGTTAATTGGACCCTTGTCCTCGGAACGGAACTTTTTGGCGTATTCATAGGCAAATGTGTCAAATGTGTCGGCAGGGTTGCAGGTCTTGATATCCTCTTCAGGCACGACATGCACGAAATCTTCGAAATTATGGCCATTGCCAAAGTCGAGTTCGTCCAAGACTCCTTCGATAACATGGTCAACGATATCGGCATACATGGTATCTTCACCTTGGTCTTTCGCCATATCTGCTAGGTCACGCTTCATTCGAGCCCGCATGTTTTCCTTGCGGAGCTCTGCCCGTGCCTTCTGCACTTCTGGGTCAATGCCAGCCCATTCGTTCTCCCACTGGACATTGTCTGCCTGGAATTGCGCACGTTTCGCCTTAGATTCGGCCGAATCTGGGTCCATGTGCACACTTGTTCCGTAGCTGTAGTAGTAGCTCTGGCTGTGCTGGCGTCGATGTCTTGGCATGTGCTTGGATGCCGACTCGGTAAATTGGCTCCAGTGGAAATCATATCCATGGCGTTCTCGCTTTGACGGACGATTATAGTTGCCCTTGCAGGCCCAAGCTGGTGTGTCATCCTCGGGATCTAGATGTCTCTTGGTCTTCTTTTTCAGGGCCTTGTCAAGCAAGCGCCGACGGTCTTCGTCACGGAGAACCTCAATAGCATCTTGAATCTGTTTGCAATGGCTTGTCAGCAATATTCAGCAACCCCATATGGCATCATCTTGATGCTGTAGACATACTTTTCTGAATCGCTCATTGTTCACAGGGGAATCTCCAACTTTGTCGGGATGGAACTTCAAGGCAAGGCGCCTGTAGGCAATGTTGATGTCAGGGAGTTTGGCATCTCGCTCAACTCCCAGGATGGCGTAAGCATCAAAGGTCACAGTGACGGTCGACATGTTTGTCGTCACACAAGTCCTGTTAATGGATGTCAGTGTTTTGTTACATGTGCGCGTTGGCTTGAAGATAAATAATCGTTGCCGGTCTTTGAACAGGCAGATGGAAATAGAGAGACAGAGAGAGTAATGTGAAGTAAATATGAAGGAATGTGGGCAATCAGAACATATCTGCTGGTGAGGAAGGTGTGGAAAGCTGTGGGAAACAGCCGCGAAGAACCGCTGGGGTGACGACTATATCAAACTCACCGCACAAATGTAGAGAATCAAGTTGGAAAGAAGGGCCACTGTACAGGCCTGAGAAGAGAGGCTGAGATTGGAGGAGAGAATGAGAAACAAGAGTACGAGCACTGGAGAAAGATGAACAAGAGTGGAATAAAGAACAAAGTCCACGCAGAATGAATCTTCAGCACGAGATTCACGAACAGCAGAAGCAAGAAAGAGATTGTGGAGAAAGAAAGGAGGAAGAGAGAGAGGAAGAAGAGGAAGAAGAGGACTGGGGTATAAGTATGAGGACGAGGATGAGTGAATCGTGTTTGAGTAGATAATCCCATTGAGCAGATAATCCTATTGAGTACTAGTAGATAATGCTATTGTAACCCAAATCCCATTGATCAAATAATCAGATCCCATTGGTGAGAAGAAGCTATGAATTACATCCATGGATGGTCCCATGATCACTTTGGCAGAACTCATCGAACAAAGAAGTTGACCATTTGGGGACTAGTAGTCTCCAGGGTTAGGGCTATACACAATAGCAATCGCACGTGGCGATCCCATTGAGTAGAGGCTATACATCAGATGGTCTCAGGATCTCATTGAAGAGCAGAACTCATCCCGCTTTTTGGTTGAATGGCCTAGATTAGGGCTATACACAAGGGCAAAATTTATATATATGAAATGGAAATGGATTGACTCTGATTTTACACAAGCTGAAGGTCGATCTAAATATGAACAAGTCTACACTAAAGGAGACCTGGTCCTGGAGAAGAAAGCTTCTACATATCCGCACTGGCGGTGGCACCGGTGATAATCTCAACCAGCTCGCCGGTAATGGTGGCCTGGCGCTGACGGTTGTACAAGATCTGGAACCTAGAGGATTGTTAGAGACTAATCTTGAAAACATTGGAGGTAAAACATACTTGTTGATCATCTCACCAGCGTTCTTGGAGGCGTTCTCCATAGCGTTGCGACGAGCCGAGATCTCGCAGGCGTGGCCCTCAGCCATGGCCCAGAAGAGGTTGTTGGCAAGAGCGTACTCGCGGAGGCTGGTCAGAACCTCATCGTCAACCTCGTATGAGGAGATGTTGGCTACATTGGATGTTAGTTGAAACTCAATAAACTGCTTGGGTGTAATAAAGTCTCACCGGACTGGGTGATAGCCTCCTCGGAGTAGGCCTCGAGAGTGACGGCCTCGTAGCTCTGAGCGTTGACGAAAGAGTTGTAGATGATGCGAACGCTGGCGTAATCCTCGGGCAGGAGAGCGATCTGGTCGGCAATGGCCTGGGCATCGGCGAAGGTGGGAATGTCCTTGCAGACATTGGCGAAGCTCAAGACGATGTTCTCGGGGACGGAACGGGACAGCGAAGCCTTGGCCTTCTCACCGAGAATAGCAACGTCGGCGTTGGGGTTCGCGGCCAAAATACGGCGGGTGGCCTTGCTCAGACCGGAGTGGATACCACCGCAAAGACCCTTGTCGGAGCTGGCAACAACCAGAAGAACCTTCTTGTCCTCCAGAGGCTTGGTCTCGGCCTGCTCGAAAACGGTGTTGGAGGTCTTACCATAGACGCGAGATTCGTCCATGGCCTTCTGGGCACGAGTGAGACGAGTGGACGCAACAATCTTCATGGTGTTGGTGATCTTCTCGATGTTCTTGATGGACTTGAGACGACCCTCAATCTCACGCAGGGTTGCGAAGGTGGCTGCATTGGCGGGGGCAGGGCTTAATTTCGCAGTCAGCAATTGTCGTTCTCGCCTCCTCTAACATCCAGCATATCTTCCAGTTTCAATGGTGTCGAGGTGGTTGCGTCGGAGTACGTCGGGTGGAAGGACTTTGGCACGAGGTATCGGATGAAGACTTACCGAGCGACGGCGGCACCACCAGCCCGCAGGGCCGGGCGGACGGCACGGGAGAACATTATGCGAGAGATTTAAAGGGAAAAGTGAACGAGCAGATAGTGACTGCGGAGAGGAGGGGAATGACGAAGGTTAGACGGGGATGCCTCGCTGGTCGGGAAGGAAGTTGAGAACCAGGGAGGTTCTGTCTCCGTGCTGCCGCTAAACCAGAAAGGGCAAGCATCTACGGTGCACCATTCCGACTTCCACCGCAGTGATGCCTCAGGCATTAAGTATTTACATAACATCACTTGACGCCTCAGGCATTTCCTTGTAGTCCCTCAGGGCCTCTTTTCCCATTGCATTCCATTCCAAGTTCCCCCCAATCTTTCTCTCTCTTTCCTTACGTCTTTTCTCACCTCTCGTTTCTATTCCTCCGAATTCACCCGCAATATTCCTTCATGCACGTATTATTGATGCAGCAGGTCTTATAACCATATTCTCACTTTTCATTGGTCAGAATTTCCTTGCTTTCCTCCTTCTACCAGGCGGCTCGATTTGCTCGACTCGGCGCACGAGGACGCCTCCCCTTACCAAAACATAGATTTCTCTCATTTTATCCTCGCCTCCCTTTTGCTACTCCAAGGACTACCACCATGAGCTCCTCGGAGGACGACGCACCCCTCATGCGCGCCAATGGACGTGGTAAAGGTACGTTCCTCGGTTGATTCGGCTGTGACTATGCACCTCTACAATTTGTCGCGAACATTCGCTCTCCTTGCACTTCGTCTTCTCACTTCTATATCTCCTCTACTTTCTGCACAATTATACTGTCCTTATAGATCAGTCCTCGATGGTCCATCTCGCACTTTGACGTCACTTTCTTCACACTTCCAACATAACTCGAACGGCATTCTAACATAGCATTTTCTGCACTTCTAGTTTTCCCAAAGTCTCCCGAAGTCGTCAAAATGGCGGATTCCAGCCCTGCCACAAATGGCCTTGATCCTGGGGTATCCATTCGATTCGGTCCCGTTGAAGACAAGGACATCAAGATGGAAGATGGGGACGATGCGCTGGGTGCTGGTAAGCGCAAAGCTCGGGCAAGCATAGGCGAAAAGAAGTCCTATGCCGAAGCGGAAAGCTCGGAAGAAGATGAGCCTCTGGTACGCCTACCCCCATCGCGGGATGACCTTTGTTATTCCCAGTGCGACCATACCGTCGCTTTCGGTTGAAGCGTCTGACCATTCGACAGAGCAAACGCCGGCGTACATCTGTGAAGCATGAAGACCCCGAGACCGATGAGGATGTGCCATTGGCACGCAACGGTCGCAAACTTCCCAAGGCCGCCGAAACATCCATCGGGGATGAGTCTGATTCCGACGTCCCCATTGAACGGAAGCTTGCTGCGCAAAAGAAGAAGATTGAACAATCGGCGGAGAAGGAGGCTAAACCTTCGCGCAAACCTACTGCACCAAAGAAGGAGGCTAAGCCTGCGGCGGCCAAGAAACAGACAAACGGCGTCAAGAAAGAACCCGCCGCCAGCAAAGCTGCCCCCAAGAAGGTGAAGGATGAACCTGCCTCGGCCAAGAAGGGCAAAGCCAAGCTGAAGGCAGAAAGCCAGGATGCCGAAGAAAAGGAAGAGGAGGAGGATGAGTACCGCTGGTGGGAAGACCATAGCAAGGGCGACGGGACCATCAAGTGGACCACTTTGGAACATAATGGTGTGGTGTTCCCTCCCGAATACGAACTGCTGCCTAAGAATGTCAGGATGAAGTATGACGGTGTTCCGGTCTCTCTTGCACCTGAAGCCGAAGAGGTTGCTAGCTTCTTCGGCACCATGCTCAACTCAACTCACAACGTGGAAAACCCTGTGTTCCAGAAGAATTTCTTCGGCGACTTCAAGGATATCATCAAGAAGAGCGGCGGAGCGAAGGATTCCAAGGGCAACAAGGTAGACATCAAGGAATTTGCCAAGTGCGACTTCAAGTCCATCTTCGAATTCTACGATGCTCAGCGTGAAGAAAAGAGAAATCTACCAGCAGCAGAGAAGAAGGCTGCTAAGGCTTTGAAGGATGAGCAAGAAGCCCCCTACCAGTTCTGTGTGTGGGATGGTCGCAAGCAGAAGGTAGGCAACTTCCGTGTGGAACCGCCTTCTCTATTCCGGGGCCGCGGTGAGCACCCAAAGACCGGGCATGTCAAGACGCGCGTGCAACCTGAGCAAATCACCATCAATATCGGCAAAGATGCGACGGTCCCACCCCCACCTCCCGGTCACAAGTGGAAGGAGGTGAAGCACGATCAGGAAGGCACCTGGCTTGCCATGTGGCAAGAAAATATCAATGGCAACTACAAGTACGTCATGTTAGCCGCCAATTCCGATGTCAAGGGACAAAGCGATTTCAAGAAATTCGAGAAAGCCCGTGAACTCAAGAAGCACATTGAGAAAATCCGCAAGGATTATCAGAAGAACCTCAAAAATGATATGATGGTGGAACGACAGAAGGCCACGGCAGTCTATCTTATTGATCAGTTTGCCCTGCGTGCTGGAAACGAGAAAGGTGAAGACGAGGCCGAAACCGTCGGTTGCTGTTCTCTGAAGTATGAGAATGTTACGCTGAAGCCTCCCAACACTGTTGTCTTCGATTTCTTGGGTAAGGATAGTATTCGGTTCTACGATGAAGTGCAGGTTGATCTGCAAGTCTTCAAGAACCTGAAGATCTTCAAAAAGGCACCCAAGAAGAACGGTGATGAAATTTTCGACCGCCTTACGGTATGTCCTCTTTTTTTCGTGCAATCTTGAATGTTACTGACGAATAAAAGACTTCTGCTTTGAATAAGCATCTCGCCAATTACATGCAAGGTCTAACCGCCAAGGTTTTCCGTACCTACAATGCGTCTTACACCATGGGTTGTGTTCTCAACGAGATGAATGCTACCGGCGGTACCATCGCCGAAAAGGTGAAAGCATACAACGATGCCAACCGTAAGGTTGCCATCCTGTGTAACCACAAGCGCACTGTCACTGCTGGCCATGCCAACGCAATGGAAAAGATGGGCGAACGGGTGAGTTTTCTCTATTCCGCCCTCATGGCGAGAGGCACAGTGCTAATATATGTTTGACTATACAGATCAAGGGCCTTCGATACCAGAAGTGGCGGCTGAAGCAGCAAATGCTTGACTTGGACCCATCTCTGAAGAAGAAAAAGGGCGCGGCGTTCTTCGAAATCGATGAGGATCTCGACCAAGAATGGATCGATGAACACCAAGCCTTTTTGATTGAGGAGCAGAGAACCAAAATCAACAAGAAGTTCGAGAAGGACAACGAAAAGCGCGTTGCTGATGGCGAGAAGGAAATGAAGGCTTCCGAGCTCGAGGAGCGTCTGCTAGTCGTGAAGGATATGGAGAAGAAGTTCAAGAAGGAGAACAAGACCGGCAAGGTCGAGGCCGAGGCCAGAGGCGCAACGGTTGAAAAGCTTGAGGGTTCCATCGCCAAGATCGACCAGCGGGTCGAAACGATGTCCGTTCAGGCTCAGGACAAGGAAAACAACAAGGAGGTTGCCCTTGGTACCTCGAAGATTGTGAGTTCTTTTGGTCTGCTTCGTACAAAATCACCAGCTAATCATTCTCATTAGAACTACATTGATCCTCGCCTCACTGTCGTCTTCAGCAAGAAGTATGACGTCCCCATCGAAAAGTTCTTCTCGAAGGCGCTACGTGAGAAGTTCGAGTGGGCCATCAAGTCTGTTGAGGAGGACTGGGAATTCTAATCTGCCACCCGTCACCTTGATTAATGGGTTGGGATCTCCGTCTTTCGCGCACATTACTTTCTTCGTACTATATTTTCGGTTCCACTCGGTCTGCCTTGGCAAGACGAGGTGTTTTTCAATTGTTTGTCAAACGGTTCTTTCAAATCTAGCCATTGATCTATTCGGATTTCTGGTTGCATTCGCGTGCTTGAGAAAGAATTGACCCTGGCATTTGCATTTTCATGATTTTCGTTATAGGGTGGCTTGGCTCAGAGTGCGAGCCTGCATTAGTGGCAGCCGTGGGTACGATATGCTCGGTATACGCCAGTATACACGAGGGGGAAAAAAAGAAATACCAAAAAAAAACACATTACGAAAGACCCATCGATTCGGTTGGCTGGGTGACTTGTTTCAATGCACACACACTCATGCATGGCAGTCGGACACCTTGCACAGTTTCTGTTCCGCTGCTCTTTGTCATTTCGGTCATAGGGTTAGAATTCTCGAATAATTCATTCAATCGTTGCTATTCAAATTTGGCATAAGTCGTTGTGTCCCTCTACCCGCAGTCCATTATAGTACTTGTTACGCGGTGACTTGTAAACCTGTGTATATAGCTAGCTCTTAGGCCTGGGTTGTGAATATGTCTTCTGTGGAACCTGCACAACATATCTGCAGGGTCTATGCATAATGCATGTCAAGAACGAAACTAGTGTTGTATTTATAGTCCAAAAGTACATAAGAGAACGTTGATTTGAGACAGAGATACAATATCAAAGAAATGGTGAAAGGGCTCAATATGCTGCCGATGCAGGGCCATGCAAAAGGTAAGAACGAGGGAAGAATCCGGAATAGAAACATATATGCAGGAAACAATAATATAAAACCCCTCATATAACAGCGATTATCAATTACAGTACAAGATAGATTCACATCTAGCGATGCTAGACAGGTGTGTCTGGATAAATAGCTTCAGGGGTAGTCGGAGAGAGGATAGGAAAAGGTGGACAGGAGAGCGTGTGGAGATGCAGATCATGAAAGGGTCGTGTCGTAGGGGATTCAATGCACTCTTTCTCAGACACAATGCGATGAGATGACCGATTTTCCTCATCGGGTAGGGGAGACCGTTAATGAATCATAGTATGGGGGATAGAAAGAGTAAAATAACCGACAGACGGGATATCTTCAAAAGAAAAAGAAAAAGAAATAGGAAAAAAAAAAAGACGAAAGATGCAAAAACTAGTGGAAATATCTCTCATGGCCACCAGCCCATGCGCTTGTAGCTGTCCACGATTTCGCGGACGCTGTCAGCCCCGAAGTTCGGGTACAATGGTTTCCAGCCAGTCTCTTTCTCGAACTTCGACCCGTCAATGGACATATCCTGGTCCCTGAGAATGTCACGTTCCAAAAACGGACTGATCGGTCCAGGCCGCGTGATATTCGCTCTCTCGACGAGCTCAGCCCAAGTCTGCAGACCGACCTCATTCATCTCATCAAGGACGTCGTCGAGGTTCAGCTTGGCGAGCTGCGAAGCAAGTGACCCGATAAACGAAACCTTAAGACCGAACACCTCCGTCAAGGCGTTGGCGACGTGTTCCTGTTTCGTGTCGTTGTGATCGACAACATTGAAGGCAACAACCCCGTCCTTGGGATCGATGAAGCCCTGCGCGGCGCGCCACTTAGCAGCCTCGAACAGCGCGCTAGCGGCATCCTTAACGTGCAAGGTGTTAATTTTCAAGTCCTTTGTGTGCAGGAATTCGAGGTCCTGCTTAAGATCGACGTGAACGGCAGACAGACAAATGCCCGTGGCGAAGTAGCCCGGGTCGTAGGCACCGTAGACGTGGGGCAGACGTATGGCGCAGTACTGCAGGTTTGGGATTTTACGCATTTCCTCCGCGGCCTTGAGTTTCCACACGGCCAGCTTGTGCCAGGGGGCGAGCTTGTCTGTCTCCTTTCGTGGTGTTGAGCCGCCCTTGTAGACGTGCGCGGTGGAGGTCTCGACGAAGGCGGGGATGCCGCGTCGGGCGATTTCCTTGCTGAGCGCGACGGTGAGGGCGTAGCTGCGCACTTCGTAGACATCGTCTGGTTGGGAGTGGCGTGTTTCGCCGCCGCAGTTAATCACATAGTCGAATTGTTCGCCATTGGCTCTGTCGAAGATGCGCGGGAAATGTTCTGTGGGGGATCGGGGTTTGGGTAAGAATTTGATTTGGGATGAGGAAATTGGACGGCCCACTCACGTTCACGGCTGGCATCTGCCTGGACAAACTTTTCCTTGGAGCATGCTTCTTCGAATTCTGGAGCCAACCAGGCCAATTGTGGCAGGACTTTGTCTACCAAACGGACTTCCGAGGCTAGGTTGTTCTCGTGGATGTATAGCGCGAGGTGTCGACCGATGAAGCCTGAATGACGTGGAATGTCAGTTGGAAAGGAATTAAAATTATATTAAAATAAGGAAAGACATACCGAGGCCACCGACAATCAGAACGGCGGGTTTTTTGGCGTCGGCCATTTTGAATGTGAAAGGAAAAAAGATCTCCCCGCAGGTTCAGGAGAATGAAAGGGGGAAAGGCGAAGGACGGGAGAAAGGAGGGGGGCGGACTAAACGGGCACAGGGGAACAACTAAAAAGAAACACTCAGAAAAGAATCCGAATAATATTATTAGAAATAAAAGAGAAAAGAAAAAAAACCCAAAACATTATTATTCGGGATTCGAATCTCCCCTGCCAAGCCGGTTAATCCACGCCGTTGACTATAGGTTACAGTGGAAACACCATCTACCTGTGACGTGGGAGGGAGATTAGTGTGTTCGAATCTCATTTTACTTGTATGGAGTTCATTGTATGTTGTACTACGTGATATTAAATCGATGGCTCTTTGTGTATGTAGACCTACATATTCATGGATGTGTATGTTGTACTCTGTAGGTAAACACACCTGGGCACATCCCTGTGTTGGTCCCATGGTACTGGGTTTCCGATCACCCGAACCATAGATGCAATGCTAAGCCTCTCCCGTGCTTAATTTGACTCGGTATCAATGTTTGGCTTGATTTCTTTCGGCTATTGCAAAATTATTATCCATAGAATGATTGGGGCATGATCTTGGGCTTGAATGAATAACTAGAATCCTATGAGTTGGGCCATAAAGTATACGTACAGATGTTACATGAAGTCATTAGAAGCAATTTCGGGTTATTACTTCCCTTTAAAATTCACAGTCGTACATACCCCGTTAATCAAGATGAACTACTCTAAGAGTTGGGGTTGAAACTTCACAAGAGACAGCCTTCGGGTACTGCTTACAATCTAGAAGGGAGGGGACAAGGGCGGGGCACTTGTTGGTGCGGGCGGAGGGCGATCTTACACACAATCGAACAGCGAGGAAACTGTCAGAAGAGGATGAGCGGCTTGTTAGTGGGGGGATTGGTCACCCACATCTAACTCCATGCAGTCTCCTCTAAGGGCAAATGAACATGTGGAACAAAAAGTAGCTTAAAATTAGAGGAATGTTGCAATGTCACATAGATGTGGGCAGATGTTCTTCAAAAACGGATATTGAAGCACTGTGACACAGTCTCTTCCTTTTCTAGTTATATCGCATGAGATTGGAGTCCTTATACTGGTAGGCAGATATCTTCTCCTGGTCTGTAGAACGAGTCCAAGCGGTCTATGGGACAAATTCTGATAATAACAGCATATATTTGACTGCTATAGTAGAGACTTGTTGTAAAGTATGATACAAAGCTCAATTCCGAAATTCTAGAAGGAAGCCTCGCCGCGGCTATTCCGAATCCATGCAACCTCTTTCATGATCAGCAACGTTTGAAGGTCGCAATCATGGCTAGGCCGGCTTCATCGAAACCAAATATCTAAAAAGCCAAGGTGTGCGATTGCGTATATACGTTGACGTTGACAGGCGTAGGAGATAACGTGATGCTATTTAATCCTCATTCTGTAGTTTAGCGGATCTACCAACGGCTAGAACCCAAATCTCGCAAGACATATTGCCGAATGGGCGATACTTGGTGATATTCAGGTGTCCATCGGGCCCTATATCGGTGTAAGACTATGCAGTGCGAAGAAATTCCCTAGCGGAACCTTGGAGGAAAACTCGAGATAAATAAATATGAGACAGATTCATTGAACACGAAAGAGTTACACTGGTCAAATTCAATACATTTCACAATAGCCAAAGCAAGGTATATTCATAGTGCTCTAGCAACGGGAGGAGTAAGCAAAGGTGAGATGCGAGATCATACAAGCCCATAAAATCATGATGCGCCTAGACACTTCAGCGAGTTTCTGAGCTCCTTAATAGCAGTATCAACATCGTCGAAAGTCAAAGCAGAGACGGCCCAACGAGCATGCTTCTGCGCCAACTGCACAGTGTTATCGTCTAGACCGTGTGATGGTTGGGACGGGACATAGGGAGCCGGAGCCGGTGCAACCGGAACTTTGGCAACTGGGGATGGAACAAACGACGGAGCAGCCGGAGGCTGGATATGAGCACTAGCACCTGGGGTATCGTAGAAAGAAGCCGGGTCCGGCGCGGATACAGATGGACCCTCGGATGGCGGAGGGAAGGACTGGAATGCAGTCGGGGTATCTGGAAGCCTAGGTACTGAGGACGAACCACCAATGGTCGCTGGAGTTGATGGGAGCTCTAAGCCGCCTGTGTTGGAATCATCAAGATCCATTGATTGCGGAGGAAAACCAGGTGCGTTGCGAGGGACAGAAGGGATCTCGGGCGGGGGACGAGGTGTTGACGATGTGCGTGATGGATGAAGCGATTCATCGAGAGTCGATTTCCGAGCCAGCTCTCGTCCAAGACGGTCTGACTCGTCTGGGATCTCTTCGATGGAGGCTTGTCTTGGCTTGGAGGCCTGCTCCGCTACCGACTCATCAAATGCCTGAACGTCGGGGTCGTCGACGAGTTCTTCTTCCTGCTTTGGGGCGGGATTTGTCGCGTTGGGATCTTCGCCGGCTTTGAAAGCCTTACCAATCCGGACTGCGTGGAATTTGGCGAATTTGATCCGCCCAGCAAGTTCTGGGTCCAGGGGCCCCCAGATCGAACAAAGTTCGAGGAACGTGGCCGCTGCCTGGAAAGTATCTGCCGTTTGCCTTTTTCGGTGATTAGCCATTCGTAGCTCAAGGTACCACTTGAAGAGCTTACTTTGTGACTTTGTTGGCGTTCATAGCGGCCTCGGCGCGGCTAAAGACCTCCAATCCGAATTGCTCGACATAGGCGCTCGCCGCAACAGTGTCTGTCACTGTATCATTTTCTGGGTTTTCTACTTTAAACTATTTCAAGCCAATATCATCAGCTGCTAGGTCTCAAGCGCGGGATGCGGAATATAGACTAGTAGGAAGGGAACGAAGATGGCAAGCCCGACTCACCTGCTCCAGCTTGTCCACGAGGTTTGTCGTGTAGATTTTGATCTCGTCATCAGCATTGTGAAGACCTCTCTCAATAATCTGGTTTACAATATGGAAGTTGCCTACATAATTGAGGTTCAATCAGCTCAACTGTTCAGTTGCGCTCTGCGCGGGGTCTTGCGACTTACACCAATAGGCAACCACAGGTTTAGCCTTCTCGATCTGAGCTGCTCTGATTGCGAATCGCCCGATATCTGCCGATCGGAGTCCAGCTGGTATGTTGCTCGCCATTGTTCAGAATGTTCGTTGTGTTAAGGAGAAGATGCATGTGGTGAACAAATGACGTTTAGAGCTCGCGGAATTCCCACCGCCCGTGTGCGGGGGCGCCAGCTTATCGGATCTTATCTACCGGTTCTACTGAACGGTTTGGAGATCTATGAAACTGAAACTATTTCATGATATACATATGTACATATGCTATGTATGTATTTCCGACTGTACTGGGTATCATTCATCTTCAATTGCCCATTTTCCAATCTCCACTCTCTCCTCCGCCAATGCTTCCACTTCAAAATGATCCTCCACCTGCCCTCCCGGACCCCCAATGCGCTCAATAACAATCCACACACAGCGTGATTCGGCACTGGGTAGCAAATCGAAGTCATCGACTCGTACCCCAGACGCGGCATCGCTATGGGTTCCATCCTCGGAGGTGGCCAATATCTCCTTGTATGGCCCCTGGCCCAGCTCCACAGTAATCAGCACAGGAGACGGAGCAACAGCGCGAGAGCCGATCGTGGACCGCTTATTCCTCGCAATAAGTCGGATCCGCGTCAAACGGGAGACCCGCAGTGAGGCCAGCATCCGGTCCTTGCCCGGGGACAAAACGCCCACTTCGGATAGAACGGCGCGCCGCCCAGCAGACTCGGAAACCAAGGGCTGGACTACACACGGGATCGTGGATGAAATCCACAACGTGAAGCGTCCAAGCTGGTCAGGTGCAAAGGTGGAGCAGACGATGGTGTAGGTGCCTTTGTCCAGGGACCTGGTCTCAGCCAGCGCGCATCCGCGACGGTAATCACCACTATCTGCGATGATGTCTCGGCTTCGCACGCGCGATATGCGCTGTCCGTTTGACCAGAAGATTTTCACGTGGGTCGCGAGCTCGGCTTCAGTGGTTTCGAGCAATATCGAGACGTCTGTCGGCTCGGAAATTTGTATACTGAATTGTGGATTGGAGTGGTATCGAGATGACTCGGCATTCCCGCCCGCTGTCATTGCTGTCCAGGAACCACTTGCCTTGGTCAAGCATAGATATTTATCTAGCGAGGGCGCCACGGCCACAGGGGCGGTTGAAAATGCAGAGAGTGTGAAATTCTGGGTGGATGATGGGAGTGATTGCTCCGACACCACTGCAGTGTAGGTTGACTTGGGAGGCATTTCCAGCCTCATAAGCGTGTTGGGGGAGTCCACGTATGGTCCGCGATGGAGCGCGCCGTCACTGAGAGATACTCTTCGGCCATCTGCTTGAAATATGTAGATGCTGATAAATCCTATTTCGTTTTCCGATCCCCCAGAACCGAATTGTTGATTGTCTGTCTTAAAATGCTTCCCCAGCAGCAGCCAGACCGTTCCTCCTAAATCACTGGAGATGGAGAATTGGGGATTCTTCACGAAGCAGCCGGCGATAACCCGACCATGCGACAAATCCCAAGTAAAATGGATGTCCTCGCGGTATTTGAACAAACCAGGATTCCAGTTAAGGTAAAGATTCTCGAAATTTTGGAGAACTTGTTCACAATCCATCCAAAATGTCCCTGGGGAAAGGTGAGGCTTATCATTCAGGCTGAGTGAGCCGAGATCAGCCGTAAGACTGCTTTGTATATGGGGTTCTGCACCGGCCCAAGGGTTCTTCAAAAGAAACTGACGACGACCCTGGACTTCCTTCAAGTCCAGGATAGCATAATCGTGCTCGCCCACTAGCCCCAGGCCTTGTTGTTCCCGTTCGGACAATTTCCCAGTGCCGATAGTCAAAACAACATCGCCATGCCAGAAGGCACTGTATAGACGCCCCCAGATCTCATCGGAGGTCGAATCGTCGTGATGTAAAAAGACTTGTTCCGGAATCCAACCAGTAAGCACCCAAAGGTCGGTCCCTGAGTTACTTCCTGGGAAATCATAACCTCCACGGACCTTCAAGTAGGCCTTTTCCACAAGAGCAGGCCACAAAAAGTTCGAGTTATTGCGATCAATCACGTAGAGTGAGCGTGTAGTCTTCGACGATGGCAACCGATCATCTATCACTACCTTTCGAAAAGACCCGTTGAAGTAAAAGCGAAATATGTACTTCCCAGAACGCGAAAGTATTGGGTTCTTGTCCTCACTGCATGGGTACAGTGTTGGCGATGCGTGCTGTTCGAATTAGCTTCGAGGACTCATCTATGTGGGATCAAAATACGCCGTACCTGCCCTAGACCTCGTTCCGATCGAGATGTTGTGGCACAGAGGCTCGCGACCACTGAACAGTCCGTCAAGACATCCTGCACAAGATCTGTTTGCTTCGAAGTCGACATAGCTGGATCAATAGCATCATGTGCCTGGTTGGCAGCATTCATTGTCCGTAACAGATCATGCGGCCGTTTCCAGCCTGCGAAGATTTCTCTCTGGCATTCAGAGAGGTGCAAATCAGGCGCATCCCTACACCCAGTTAGGAACAAATCAGCGTTAGGCCATTTTCTGCACATACGTAAAAGGCTGCCCTTTGAATACAAATTCATCCTGAAGCGGTGCACGACTCCATGGTGGAAAGATATAGCCGTTGAGTTTGGCGCCCTCGAGGATGATGATTTCTTCACGGGTGGTGAGCTTCCGCGTGGATGCCGGCGGCCGTAAGCTAGGGAAGGCTTTCTGGGGCCCCGCACGAGCAGCCGACTGCCAGTCAGCAGCGGCCTTGATCCTCTCGGCTTTGGACAGCAATTCCTTGCATTTTTTGTCCAGTGGTTTTTTATCGTCGGCGGGCGCCAGGCGCAACGCTTTCATGTAATGCTCCGCGGCATTGATAGCCGCCTCCAATGCCGCTTTCTGGGAGGTCGCTGCGGCTACCGCCTCTTCAGCGCGCTATCAGGTCATTAGCTTTGTTCAGATGTAAGTGCAAAATAAAAATACCAATGCTTGAGATATATAGGATTGCGTGGATGCAGGTCTAGACATACTTGCTCGTTGACCGGTAGTCGTGGAGTACCCAGGTAATCAGATCGAACAGCAAGTAAATTACCGGATTCGGTTGAGCCGAGAGATGGCCACCCCTACATTAATTCCGGTGAATATTCCGAGGCTTGGATTTGTAGAGATCAACATATTTGGTAATAATTCAATGTTACTATATTGAAAATATTGTACACAATATAAAATAAAAAAATATACTAGAGAATCAACTACAAAGAAGTCAAGTAAACACACATGATGTAATGGAAGACATGACATAAGCTCATACTCACCCCCGAAGTGGACCTCGGCTTGTTTTAAGGTGATAACGCCGAGGTGCATTTGTGAATTCCGGCTCATGGGCTCGGTCTCTTTTTTTATTGTTCGGGTGACTTCGGTATGATCATCGTCTCTGTGTATTTCTCCATTGTGCTCTCTCTTACATTTCACCCTCTCCGCTGTTCGGAGCCAAGCAGTGTAGAGCCCCGCTCAATATTTCTCCTGTCGCCCGGCCGCTAAGTGAAGCGAGCCCTCTCTCTAGATCTTATTCTTATTTGTTGTGTTCCCTTGATTTCGAATACCATAAACCGACATCATGACTGGTCAATCCAAACCTGTGCTATCGCCATGGGGCAGCGCCGTGGCGGGCGCGACAGGCGCCGTCCTTGCGAACGCGATGGTGTACCCGCTTGACTTGTGAGGTCCCAGATAAAGCAGTCCTCAAATTTATCAGATCAAAGCCCGCTGACTGTACCGTTCCCCATCTGTAGAGTCAAGACAAAACTGCAAGTACAAGTCAAGGAGAAGAACGGACCCGTGCGAGCCGACGATCTCGAACATTATGAATCGACCATGGATGCTATCACGAAGATTGCGGAGAAGGAGGGTTATAGTGGTCTATACTCCGGAATGGCTGGAGCTCTTCTAGGTGTCGCCTCAACAAACTTCGCATACTTCTATTGGTACAGCGTCGTAAGAACGCTCTACATGGCTTCTGCCAAGTCGTCACAGGCTCCCGGCACAGCAATTGAGCTCTCCCTGGGCGCCGTCTCCGGTGCTGTGGCTCAGATTTTCACCATCCCGGTGGCTGTTATCACGACCCGGCAGCAGACACAGCCTAAGGGCGAAAAGAAGGGGTTGATCGAGACGGGCCGGGAGGTGGTCGAGAGCGAGGACGGCTGGACCGGCCTGTGGCGCGGCCTGAAGGCCAGCTTGATCCTAGTCGTTAACCCGGCCATCACCTATGGCGCATACCAGCGCCTCAAGGAGGTCCTCTTCCCGGGGAAGAACAACCTCAAGCCCTGGGAGGCATTCCGTGAGTATTTGCAATTCTTGAGGTTAATAACGGCTTGTTAATTATTATTCTAGTGCTTGGTGCCATGTCCAAGGCTTTGGCCACGATCGCAACCCAGCCTCTTATCGTCGCCAAGGTTGGATTGCAGTCTCGCCCACCGCCTAGCCGGAATGGCAAGCCCTTCAAGACTTTTGGTGAGGTCATGAAGCACATTGTTGATAATGAGGGTCTCTTTTCCCTCTTCAAGGGTATTGGACCTCAGATCCTGAAGGGTCTTTTGGTCCAGGGTCTGCTAATGATGACCAAGGAGAGGTATGTTTTCTGTTTCCAAGTTCGCATCTGCTTGTACTAACTTTCGCAAAGGATGGAGCTTCTTTTCATCGTCCTGTTCGCCTACCTCAAGAACATCAAGAAGGATAAATTGCGCAAGGCAGTGGATTTGGCAGCGGAAAAGGCCAAGACCAGCATGCCTGCTACCCTGAAATAATTGTCTTATAGTTAGACGGAGGGATTTTCGGTTTTCCTTTCGATTTCAAATTGTGTTTTACCTAACTGGCGCGTTGGTATGCTGTTGACAATTCTGGTGGATTTTGAACAGTCTAGACATTTCCCGGCATTTTCTTGCTGGAAACACTTGATATGATAGAACCCTGTGTTTGTAGCTTTTCAATATCATTATGGATCTGTACATGATCATGTCATTCCTTACTTGCTAAAGCGGGCTAGAACCGGAGGCAGTTTCGCGGGATTGCTATCAAATCTGTTTGGTCTTTTTGGTAGAACGCCTGCCTTTGAGAGCATCCTTGTACTTGTATATCATTAGTTGAGTTGTGAGAAATGGGGTTCATAAAGCCCGCAAGCCTATAAAGAGATGATAATACTCCTCTTAGAAGCGCAACCTCTCTGTGGCAATTCTGATACTTAACACAGTCAGTAACTAATATGTAACCTGTACGCTTGAGCCAAATTCCAAGGCTTGCAATTTCAGTCATAGCAGTAAATAGCCCTGGGGTGCTGCTGCGGTCAAAGTTACCCCGAGTCGTAACTTTCAGGCTATAAGAGGTTCAATTAGTTCCACCAGAGTGTGTTGCGGAGTACACTAGGATAGAAGGGAGGACAAGTCTGCTAGAATCAATAATCACTCGTGCTTTCGTGAGTTCTGTTAATAAAATGCAACAGATCATGTACGGACTGGGGAACATGTTGTATCTGAAGCGTTTCAAAGATCTTGAATGAAACGAATCTAGCACATCTTGGAACTTCCCAATATTCGTGTCAGCGTAGAGAAAATACATCTTATCAATAAGCTTTATGGGTCCCACGGTTGTAAAGATTGTGAGGTAATTGATTAATGGTCCATCTGAAGAAGACAGGAAGACTGAACTTCCACGTCGAATGGGATGACGGGAGAGTATGGTACATAGTAATGGCTGCTGAGTACCTTAGTAGAATTGGAAACCTGAAGAAATCCTGCGTCATTTGACAAGGGTTCCGCTAATATATTCGAAGGTTGTAGGTATTGATTGTTTACCAATAAGAGGAACCGGTGGTTGTAGCTTTACCCGTGCAGATGAACTTTGCTTGGCCGATCATCTTTTACCCCAACAACCACCCGTGGACCCTCACCAAACGCTCGTTCTAACGCCACATAAACTTGTCACATAAGTGGCATGGGTCGTGATGCGATGGCCGCCATGGAGCTCCGAGTCGACCAATGACGAACAAAAACAAACACCCAGCTCCTGGCTCTCCTCCGCGGCAAACAACCCGAGCTCCATCCTCGACTGGACAGCGTTCACAGAACCCAGAACCATTGTCCCAACCCTCGTCCTAACAAGCGGCATTCTCATCGCAGTGCGCTTCCACCGCCGCTACCTACGGCGCATCCCCGACGCGCCTAGCATCTCGTCCTCGTATCTGCGACGGCGGAGCATCTTCGGCCAAGTCACCAGCGTCGGCGATGGAGACAATTTCAGGATATTCCATACACCGGGTGGCCGCATGGCTGGATGGGGCTGGCTACCGTGGAAAAAGGTTCCTACTGTGAAGAAGGATCTGAAGGATAAAACAGTTCGTCACCCAACCACCTGCCTATTCTCCCACCCTCAACACTTCCAGCCCGGAACAGGCATAATTATGCCTCGCCATATCATACACCACAATCCCATTCTTTATATCTATATCTAGCTCACATAACTCATCAACCCCAGATCCACATCCGTCTCGCTGGCGTCGACGCCCCAGAACTAGCCCACTTCGGCCGCCCCGAACAACCTTTCGCGCGCGACGCACACACCTGGCTAACATCCTACCTGTCCGGCCGACGAATCCGTGCCCTCGTCCATCGTCAGGACCAATACTCGCGCGTGGTAGCGAGTGTCTTCGTCCGGCGCGCATTTGACTTCCCGCCATTCCGTCGGCGGGATGTTTCCTACGAAATGCTGAAGCGTGGCTTGGCGACTGTCTACGAAGCGAAGGTTGGCTCAGAATTTGGCGGTGCTAAGATGGAAAAGAAATACCGCAAGGCCGAGTGGTGGTCTAAGAAGCGAGCCAAGGGGCTTTGGAAGGATTATCGCCGCGTCGGGTCTGGTTGGGAGAGTCCGAGGGAGTATAAGAATCGGATGGGCATGGGAGATCCTGCTCCGATTGAGAAGGGGAATGGGAAAGGGAAGACTGGGCAGAAATAGATAAGTCGCGGTAAGCTGGGCTTGCGATTATGGCTATGAGCGTTTATGTGTTGTTTTTCTTCTGTTCTGACATTTACATTTGCATGCGACGAGGCGGCACGACTACGTTTCAACATACAGCGTTGTAAATGTATGGCTGGTATGCGATAATCATGATCAACCGCGCTTTGAATGCTGAATATGATACACCAAGTTGCGTTAAATTATACATGCGCGGACGGTGATGTTGCCCCCAAATCAGGCCCCAATTGCTAAATGGGCATGAAGACTCGTGTAATCTCCCGAGGGGTTGGAAGAATACAAGAAAAGAAGTCAGTATACAGGCTATTATTTGCTCAGCAGAACCGTCGCTCAACCTCGGCAAACAGCTTTGGGCTGATTTCGTCAGAGCTATTGCCCTCCGCACGGAATAGGCACCGCTGGCGGTCATAGTGCTCCAAGAGGGATTTGCTCGTCTCCTCAAACTTCCGTAGACGTTGCTTCCATGTATCGAGAGAATCGTCCTCTCGCTGCGTCAGCGGCTCGCCCGTGACATCGTCTTTGCCTGGCACCTTTGGTGGGTGAAAGTCTGTGTTATACACCCGCCCTGAGGGCTCGTGGACCCAGCGTGATGCGATGCGGGCGAGAATCACTGATGGTGGAGTGATGATGTGCACGACAAAGTTGACCGGTACTAGGCTGTCCAAGGTTGTTGCCTGAGTCGCGGTGCGGGGAAACCCGTCGAGGATAAAGGAGGCAGAGGAATCGATTGAGTGGGCCGAGGAGGAAGGGTCGGCTGGAGAAGAAGATGACGAGGATGTTGCGGAGAGTACTGAGGATGCGGGTGGTGGGAGGAGCCAGCCCTTGGATTTCATATCATCGGAGATCAAGTTCAGGATCATTGAGTCGGGAACAAGGTTGCCGGACTGCATTGCGGCCTCAGCTTCCAGGCCTGTTACTAGGGTTAGAAATACTGGCTCCGTACGCAATCAATTATTGCACCGATGCTGGCTCTACTTACCGAGGGGCGTGCGTCGGCGCACATT